ATTCTATTGTGCCTTACAGATGCTGGGTAGGTCTGTCACAGCCACTGATTCTATTGTGCCTTACAGATGCTGGGTAGGGTCTGTCACAGCCACTGATTCTATTGTGCCTTACAGATGCTAGGTAGGTCTGTCACAGCCACTGATTCTATTGTGCCTTACAGATGCTGGGTAGGTCTGTCACAGCCACTGATTCTATTGTGCCTTACAGATGCTGGGTAGGTCTGTCACAGCCACTGATTCTATTGTGCCTTACAGATGCTGGGTAGGTCTGTCACAGCCACTGATTCTATTGTGCCTTACAGATGCTGGGTAGGTCTGTCACAGCCACTGATTCTATTGTGCCTTACAGATGCTGGGTAGGACTGTCACAGCCACTGATTCTATTGTGCCTTACAGATGCTGGGTAGGTCTGTCACAGCCACTGATTCTATTATGCCTTACAGATGCTGGGTAGGTCTGTCACAGCCACTGATTCTATTATGCCTTACAGATGCTGGGTAGGTCTGTCACAGCCACTGATTCTATTGTGCCTTACAGATGCTGGGTAGGTCTGTCACAGCCACTGATTCTATTATGCCTTACAGATGCTGGGTAGGTCTGTCACAGCCACTGATTCTATTATGCCTTACAGATGCTGGGTAGGTCTGTCACAGCCACTGATTCTATTGTGCCTTACAGATGCTGGGTAGGTCTGTCACAGCCACTGATTCTATTATGCCTTACAGATGCTGGGTAGGTCTGTCACAGCCACTGATTCTATTGTGCCTTACAGATGCTGGGTAGGTCTGTCACAGCCACTGATTCTATTATGCCTTACAGATGCTGGGTAGGTCTGTCACAGCCACTGATTCTATTGTGCCTTACAGATGCTGGTAGGTCTGTCACAGCCACTGATTCTATTATGCCTTACAGATGCTGGGTAGGTCTGTCACAGCCACTGATTCTATTATGCCTTACAGATGCTGGGTAGGTCTGTCACAGCCACTGATTCTATTATGCCTTACAGATGCTGGGTAGGTCTGTCACAGCCACTGATTCTATTGTGCCTTACAGATACTGGGTAGGTCTGTCACAGCCACTGATTCTATTGTGCCTTACAGATGCTGGGTAGGTCTGTCACAGCCACTGATTCTATTGTACCTTACAGATGCTGGGTAGGTCTGTCACAGCCACTGATTCTATTATGCCTTACAGATGCTGGGTAGGTCTGTCACAGCCACTGATTCTATTGTGCCTTACAGATGCTGGGTAGGTCTGTCACAGCCACTGATTCTATTGTGCCTTACAGATGCTGGGTAGGTCTGTCACAGCCACTGATTCTATTGTGCCTTACAGATGCTGGGTAGGTCTGTCACAGCCACTGATTCTATTGTGCCTTACAGATGCTGGGTAGGTCTGTCACAGCCACTGATTCTATTGTGCCTTACAGATGCTGGGTAGGTCTGTCACAGCCACTGATTCTATTGTGCCTTACAGATGCTGGGTAGGTCTGTCACAGCCACTGATTCTATTGTGCCTTACAGATGCTGGGTAGGTCTGTCACAGCCACTGATTCTATTGTGCCTTACAGATGCTGGGTAGGTCTGTCACAGCCACTGATTCTATTGTGCCTTACAGATGCTGGGTAGGTCTGTCACAGCCACTGATTCTATTGTGCCTTACAGATGCTGGGTAGGTCTGTCACAGCCACTGATTCTATTGTGCCTTACAGATGCTGGGTAGGTCTGTCACAGCCACTGATTCTATTGTGCCTTACAGATGCTGGGTAGGTCTGTCACAGCCACTGATTCTATTGTGCCTTACAGATGCTGGGTAGGTCTGTCACAGCCACTGATTCTATTGTGCCTTACAGATGCTGGGTAGGTCTGTCACAGCCACTGATTCTATTGTGCCTTACAGATGCTGGGTAGGTCTGTCACAGCCACTGATTCTATTGTGCCTTACAGATGCTGGGTAGGTCTGTCACAGCCACTGATTCTATTGTGCCTTACAGATGCTAGGTAGGTCTGTCACAGCCACTGATTCTATTGTGCCTTACAGATGCTGGGTAGGTCTGTCACAGCCACTGATTCTATTGTGCCTTACAGATGCTGGGTAGGTCTGTCACAGCCACTGATTCTATTGTGCCTTACAGATGCTGGGTAGGTCTGTCACAGCCACTGATTCTATTGTGCCTTACAGATGCTGGGTAGGACTGTCACAGCCACTGATTCTATTGTGCCTTACAGATGCTGGGTAGGTCTGTCACAGCCACTGATTCTATTATGCCTTACAGATGCTGGGTAGGTCTGTCACAGCCACTGATTCTATTATGCCTTACAGATGCTGGGTAGGTCTGTCACAGCCACTGATTCTATTGTGCCTTACAGATGCTGGGTAGGTCTGTCACAGCCACTGATTCTATTATGCCTTACAGATGCTGGGTAGGTCTGTCACAGCCACTGATTCTATTATGCCTTACAGATGCTGGGTAGGTCTGTCACAGCCACTGATTCTATTGTGCCTTACAGATGCTGGGTAGGTCTATCACAGCCACTGATTCTATTGTGCCTTACAGATGCTGGGTAGGTCTGTCACAGCCACTGATTCTATTGTGCCTTACAGATGCTGGGTAGGTCTGTCACAGCCACTGATTCTATTATGCCTTACAGATGCTGGGTAGGTCTGTCACAGCCACTGATTCTATTGTGCCTTACAGATGCTGGGTAGGTCTGTCACAGCCACTGATTCTATTATGCCTTACAGATGCTGGGTAGGTCTGTCACAGCCACTGATTCTATTGTGCCTTACAGATGCTGGGTAGGTCTGTCACAGCCACTGATTCTATTATGCCTTACAGATGCTGGGTAGGTCTGTCACAGCCACTGATTCTATTATGCCTTACAGATGCTGGGTAGGTCTGTCACAGCCACTGATTCTATTGTGCCTTACAGATGCTGGGTAGGCTATCACAGCCACTGATTCTATTGTGCCCTTACAGATGCTGGGTAGGTCTGTCACAGCCACTGATTCTATTGTGCCTTACAGATGCTGGGTAGGTCTGTCACAGCCACTGATTCTATTATGCCTTACAGATGCTGGGTAGGTCTGTCACAGCCACTGATTCTATTGTGCCTTACAGATGCTGGGTAGGTCTGTCACAGCCACTGATTCTATTATGCCTTACAGATGCTGGGTAGGTCTGTCACAGCCACTGATTCTATTATGCCTTACAGATGCTGGGTAGGTCTGTCACAGCCACTGATTCTATTGTGCCTTACAGATGCTGGGTAGGTCTGTCACAGCCACTGATTCTATTATGCCTTACAGATGCTGGGTAGGTCTGTCACAGCCACTGATTCTATTATGCCTTACAGATGCTGGGTAGGTCTGTCACAGCCACTGATTCTATTGTGCCTTACAGATGCTGGGTAGGTCTGTCACAGCCACTGATTCTATTGTGCCTTACAGATGCTGGGTAGGTTTGTCACAGCCACTGATTCTATTGTGCCTTACAGATGCTGGGTAGGTCTGTCACAGCCACTGATTCTATTGTGCCTTACAGATGCTGGGTAGGTCTGTCACAGCCACTGATTCTATTATGCCTTACAGATGCTGGGTAGGTCTGTCACAGCCACTGATTCTATTGTGCCTTACAGATGCTGGGTAGGTTTGTCACAGCCACTGATTCTATTTTGCCTTACAGATGCTGGGTAGGTCTGTCACAGCCACTGATTCTATTGTGCCTTACAGATGCTGGGTAGGTCTGTCACAGCCACTGATTCTATTATGCCTTACAGATGCTGGGTAGGTTTTTTTCTGGGCTGGCTCAGTCTGGATCCTGGTGTTGCTTTGATGAGTTTAATCGTATTGATGTGGAGGTATTGTCTGTGGTGGCCATGCAGATTCAAACCATTAAATCTGCCAAAGATGCACAGTCGCCCAGGTTCCTGTTTGAAGGCAGAGATATTAAACTGAACCCAACATGTGGTTACTTCATTACCATGAACCCATCGTAAGTAAATGTACTGGTGTGTTATTTTTTTAAATTTTCTTTTTGTATCCATGGACATGTTAGTCATATGAGTTCTGTCCTTGTATCCATTGACACGTTAGTCATGTGAGTCTGTCCTTGTATTCATGGACAAGTTAGTCGTGTGAGTGTGTCCTTGTATCCATGGACAAGCTAGTCATGTGAGTCTGTCCTTGTATTCATGGAAAAGTTAGTCTTGTGAGTCTGTCCTTGTATCCATGGACAAGTTAGTCATGTGAGTCTGTCCTTGTATCCATGGACAAGTTAGTCATGTGAGTCTGTCCTTGTATCCATGGACAAGTTAGTCATGTCAGTCTGTCCTTGTATCCATGGACAAGTTAGTCATATGAGGTCTGTGTTGTGAGTGGGTTGTTATTGTTCTTGTTTCCTGGATATCATTGCATTGGTATTTAATTTAAAAAAAAATGTTTTTAAAGGGTAAAGATGGTCTTATAGGCTATGACATATAAGATGGCGCGACCAGATCCTTTTCTCACTATCTTTGCTTGTCAACAAATTCTGGAAATAGTCTGGTTCCCATTTTATGAGACTGGATTCACTGGTTAGGAAAAAAACCTAGTGGTTCTAGGGATTCAACTTAGAGTCCTTCCTCAATGGGAGTTGCCGTGGCCGAGCGGCTAGACGCTCGTCACCGATCGGAAGGTCGTGGGTTCTCTCCCTGGTGGAGCCGGCCTTTTTTCAAAAATGACCTTGGCTCCCAGGTTGACCCAGCCTTGAGTGGGTACCAGGTGCAGTCCCGGGAAAGTAAAGGCGGCTGGCGTGATGCTGACTACATCACTCATCTTGTGCTGATTGGTCTATAAAAATATAGGTCTAGCCCTATATGCCCTATACGCCTAAAGGCGTGGAAAGGGGTCCTTTACTTTACTTTTACTTTTTACCTTCCTCAATAACCATGAAAACTAACCATTATGCCACCATTTTGTTTGCCATATTATTATTGATTAGTTGTTATGTCTGTACACAGCTATGCTGGTCGCGTGGAGCTTCCTGATAATCTGAAGTACCTCTTCAGGCCTGTGGCCATGATGGTGCCTGACTATACCTTGATAGCAGAGATCATGTTGTTCTCTGAGGGCTTCATCGCAGCCAAGTCTTTGTCACAGAAGATTGTCAACCTCTACCAGCTGGCCAGCAAGCAGCTATCACAACAAGACCACTATGACTTCGGCATGCGGGCCATAAAATCTGTTCTTGTAATGGCAGGGCATGGACGGAGAAATGCTCTCCAAAAGTAAAACTTGTAATCAGAATGTCATTCTTTGATCCTCCTTTCAGAAAATCTTTTATCAGAAGGCGAGTAACCTTGATGAAAGCTTTTATGCAGTCCAAATCTCCCTGTGTGCCATTCAGCTTTGTTTTTTATTATTGTTGGAACTGGTCAGATGATCTTTCTGTTAGCAGCAAATAGTCTACAGTGTTAGAGTACATACTTAATATTTTCAGGTGCCAAGTTGCAGGGACACATTTCTGTGTTCTTGATACTGAAAACTGGAACAATTTTGGCAAAGTCTGTTACACCCTGTCCTTAGTCTGAATATGAGCCTCTCTTGGAAGGCAGTGAAGTGAGCTTTGGGGTACAAATTTGGTGTGGGTAACCAGCCAGCTTTCTTGGATACTCATCAGTCAGCAAGTCCTTTACAGAACATCGCTTTCTTAACGGCACGCCTGCAGGTATCCCTTTCCCTTCATTTTTGATTGTGATATGTGGTTGGTGCACTCAATTTACTGAGGACATATTTTTGTTTTTCAAGTTCAGAAAAGGATTGACTTCTTCAGTGTGTTTTTTTTACGGCCAGAATTAATTTTTCTTAACCTTGTACATTGTTGGAAAGGAGAACTGTGTTGTCTGCATATCTAAGTTCTGGGATAGGATTACCTCCAATTGTTAGTGGATCAAAGCTCTCACATGCCTCATTGCTAACTGCGTTTCTCATAACATTTTCAGCATATTTGTTAAAGAGGGAGGGTGAAATAATGCAGTCCTGTCTCACTCCTTTTTTGGATACTACTGTTTGTTAATGTCTTAGTCTCCTGTTGAGTTCAATAATTTCAATTACAGATTTTCATAGTCTGCATGTTCACCTTATTAGTTTATCATTATATGTGTAGCAACTTCTGACTCATTCAGTCCATAGTGAATAAACTCAGTGTTCGCTGCATATCCACAGTCACCAGTCATCTTCTTCTTTTTCCTCCTCTTCTTCTTCTGCTGCTGCTGCGGTGGCTGCTTCTTCTTCTTCTTCTTTTTCATCCTCCTCCTCATTCTCTTCCTCTCCCTATTCCTCTTCTTCCTTCTCTTTCTCTTCCTCCTCCTCTTCTTAACCCTCCTCCTATTATTATTATTATTGTTTTTAAATTCTTCTTCTACATTATTCTGACTCCGAGCCTTTGACATTCATTGCCTGAGATAGTACCCACCTCCATTCATTGCCTGAGATAGAACCCACCTCCATTCATTGCCTGAGATAGAACCCACCTCCATTCATTGCCTGAGATAGTACCCACCTCCATTCATTTCTGTCCTTTCTTTTATCATTTCAGATTTGTTGACTTCAAATGTTTGCGAGTCTTCCTGTGTTTGATCTGTTCCTCATCTTCTTGGTTTGTCTTGTGGTCTCTGCTAAGTCAACTCTTCTGTGTAAGCAGTTTTTGTTCTCTCTGTTATATGCCATTCTCTCTATATGCCTCAACCATCTCAGTCCTTATGATGCCAGTAATTGGTGGTGACTTAAACAGAAAGTGAATTTTGTTGTTTCTTCTTGCTTTCCATTCTTCACATTTATGATTATTCCAAAATTTCTGGAAATCTGGATTTGTGGAAACCCTGTTCTCAAATATTTTAAATTAAGACTATGTCTCTTTTAGTTGTACACCAGGTTTCAGAGCCATAATGTACCATCTTCTGATATAACTTCCCCTAATTTTTTCCACCTGTTATTGTAAAAAAAATTCATATTCCTAATTTATTTCACCAATATGAACCCGCATTGAACTGAGCTAGGCTCTCTAATCTGTTGCTCTGAGGTTGGTTTTTTTTTTCAAATAACTGTGAACAATCAGTTTTATGTGTATGATATACCATCTCCAGCTCCCCTTCATCTTTCTGTACTCTGCTGACTCTTAAAAAAACAGCATTCAAACAGTATGGTATTCAGTGTACAGCCAGTGTTGTAAAGATATGCACTGTTACTCTATAAAACTTCAATGTTTCTTACTGCAGTATTTGCTACTTTATAGATTGTCTTTACTTATTGGACAATTATATGACTCAATATGACAACCTTAGGATGCTGTCTTCTTTTCATAAACAGGACTCATTCTGGCGTGAAAGAAATAACAGAAAATGAAGAGTCATACATTTTGATCCATTCTTTGCGAGATGCCAATATGCCAAAGTTTTTGTCTGAAGATGTGCCGCTGTTTGAAAGCATTGTAGATGATTTATTCCCAGGGATTGAGCCTCCCGATCAGGATCAAGGATCACTAGAAGTGAGAATCCTTCTGTTTTCGATTTTAGAGTAAAAATAATGCTGAAGTAATTAATTAATGAACTTTTTCAGCCCTATATTGTTGCTTCTTTAACTGATTGGTCCTAAAATGGCATTACTTAACTCTTTGAGTCCCAGAGGATTTAGTTTAGCATCAGAGGCCCAAGGGGTGGTAATGCAATTTTTTTAAATTTCTTAAGTGATACACATTAAAACAGACCATACTAATTCAGCTGCCATGCAACATACACATGTTGTACATCAAAGGGACCAGGGATTATTAGGAAATAATAATATAATACTGCTACAACAAATAATTGCGTTAGTAATTAAATATTAATGAAAAACACAGTATGCTTACAGAAATTAGTAAAATGAAATAATTAATTGTCCACTTACCGCCATGGCAGTCAAGGAAAACTTATTAACTCCTTGAGTCCCAAGGAATGCATTACGTGCTAATTGTTTACTACCTGGCGGCCCAACCAGTGTGTGACGTGTGACGGTTTTTATCTGTAATTACACGCGAACCGCTCAATTTAAACTTCCTTTCCGGTTCTCAAGTGTGTAGTGAACACACGTGGAGTGCATTTGTTTGGGTCTGGTGAGTTTTTAACGCTATAAATCCATATTTGTGTGGTCTACTACGTTACCAAACAATTGTCTGAAAACAATATGTCTGATCAGTCATCGTCTTCACGCCCAGCAAAGCGATTTACTGCTTTAGAAGCATCAACTTTGATAAACAGTGGATCGATCAAAGTAATGTGGAGTTGGATAATGATAGTAGCGACGTGGAATTTCCCCAAACCGTTGACGGGTCAGGTTTTGATTAGGAATGTGTGCGTAATTTACCTCCTGCTAAGAGGACAAAACCGACTAATTCTGCCATGGCAACACAAGAGAAGCACCTGGTAACCCGACACCAGCTAATCCAAATGTCAGCGCTTCTAGTACTACTATCCATATCACCTAAAACCATAGATTGAACAGGTTGACATGTTTACAGTGCCTTTCCAATTTTTTCTATGTAAGGAATTCTATTGTTTTTAGAAAAGTCACTGTTTCTGGTAATCTGGTAATCCTAGTTTCAGCATCATAGCAAACGGGTCACCCCATTGTTGCTCCGCTCCTGTGCCAACGAAAAACACTCGTAGCTCACAGTGTCACACCATGCACTCAACTCAGAAGCTGGGTGACGAAACTATATCCTTCCAGTCTACAAATGGAGAAAAAATGCAACGGCCACCGCCTGGCAGAACTGCCACGGTTAAAAAAAAAAAAAGTGGCCATGCCTAGCGTCCACTGTGACTTGAAGCATTATGTTAGGGGTTAACAAATGGTCACCCCAGCAGTACCCTCACTATTAGCTGGGAAAGGGACTTAGGACATTACATCCACCAGCAGGCGTCTACAACAACCTGACTGCCTTCGTTAACGACTGTTCACCCAACAGTCATGCAGTTCTTTGGCACGAAGGAGACACCTTGAACTTGGGTTTCGGAATGCCGACTTCCTACAAAATGTTATTTTGTGTTTTGTTATCACAATCGACGTCACTGCACATTGGGCATACCCATGCGTGCGCAGTCCTCCGAAGCAGCAGCCACTCCAAAGTACTTCTACTAATTGTCCCCATGAGAAGCTGGTTATATTGTCTCCTTTCTCGGCCTCGCAGACGGCAAAGACGTGCTTCACCATGCTTAACTCCCATGTCACGCAATCGTGTTAGTGTCAGGGATTCGATATTATCCACTAGCCCAGTACGTACAGCGTTAACGATATCTGCTCTGTCCATGCTTTTTCCCGCAATCATTAAAATAGTGCTGTGCTTGCCAGTTGGTCCGCTCGCTCATTTCCCTTTACGCCCGCATGACCCGGTGTGTAGATCCAGGTTACGGAAGTTAAGTGCGATTTCCGAATGCTTTCTATCCATTCAGAGCGCATACTGCCTGTTGCTATTTTCTGAAGCATATTCATTGAGTCTGAGATTATTACTGCTTGTGTGGCGGTTTGCTCGGATACCCATGCTAAAGCTCTAGAAGTCACTGTTTGTGCCACTGGAGAATATATTTTGACGTGTTATGGTAGTGTTATTAAAATTGCTATGGAACAACAACTATTTCACGTTTTGCTTTAATATTGGCTGTGCATACTTATAAGTGGTGTACCTTCCTTTGTGATGCATTTTGGATATACTATATCAAGAATTTTGGGATCAGCTTCTGGGTAAGTGGAAAAAACTTGTTCATAATTTACTTAACTCTCAAACTAAGCCACTGTTTTCTCTACTAAATACTAACTAACTGTATAATTGTTTATTGTAGCAGTATGCTAATATTAATCCTTGTCCATTTATGTTTATTTTCATGTATGATATGTGTATGTTGCACATCAGCTGCAGTTGTGTGGTTTGTTTTAAAGTGCTGCATTTGTTAAAAGTCAAATCATATACCTCCTCCCCCCCCCCCCCCCCCCCCCCCCCCCTTTTCCCTTTGGGCCTTTGATGCAAAACCCCCTGGGACTCAAAGAGTTAAAATATATCCATCATGTATCACAAATGAACATGAGCCAATTAGTATTGTATAAGTAAAATATAAACTCAATCTGTACATTAGATATTGTTTCATAGAATATTTTAAAGCATCATAACAGAGCACCATTATTTCGTTAAGCAAACTGACTTCCCTAAACAATTAGTATCTTCACACAAAACAAAGTTTATATAACATTAAGTTTTGCCTGTAATGTTGTAGCTATATTCCTAAATAATAAGGAGAATAGCACTAGAACTAACAGACACTGAAGAAAATCACCTTTTTTCACTAATATTTTTTCTGTTTTTGTCAATTAAAGTATGTTTTACCAGTTGTCTCATTTACATTGTACTGATCAGTTGTTTCTTTTCCGCTGCCCTGATTTGTTAATTAGTTTACTGTTTGTGTGTGTCTTATCTAGAAAGCAATCAGTTTATCCATCAGAGAACTGAACCTGCAACCCTGGCCCAGTCAGACAGAAAAAGTCAAGCAACTGTACAATCAGATTCTGGTGCGACATGGTGTAATGCTGGTTGGTCCAACTGGTGGTGGGAAAACTTCTGTCAGAAACATTCTCCAGAGAGCCCTGGTTCTTTTACCAGCAATTCAAAGTGATGATAGTGAACAGCACAACCAAAAACTTGTACATGGCAGAAAACGGAGTGTATTTTATGTGAGTATTTTTAAGTCATATATTGAACTCATTTTGTCTCAGAAAATGTCTAATATATTAATGGTTCTTTTCCTTGAATCCCATCTATTGCATATTGTAATCTTGTACTTTTCAGATTGATCAGAGAATGCTTAAGGTTTCTAGGTGTCATTGTAATCACAAGCATTATGAATATAAGCCTCATTAAAAGTTATGTTTTCAGTTTGTCTGTGTTTTGTGTGTGCCACTTTAGCGAGTGCTACCAAACCTTTTAGGATTAAAAAAATGTTTAAAAAAATGTTAATCAAGTCACTGAAGTCCATTTCTTTATGGTTATAAGCTGGGACATTATCAGCTGTATGTATCTTCATGGAGACTTAAAATTAATGTTTAAAATATGCATCTGTAATTTTAAAAATTAAAAATAATTAATAATGCAAACTATAGTTGAAAGTGACTATTCAATTTTAATGTTTAATGGATACTGAGGCCTACTTCAAAATGATAGGCATTTGTGTTTTGGGTTTACCGCCTGTTTTTTTATACACATACACAATTATCAATTTATTTCTATTACTGTTTACTCTGCAGGCAAGTAGAACCAGAAAAGGTCATGTTGAGACATTTGTAATAAATCCCAAATGTGTCACATTGGGAGAACTGTATGGTGAGACAGACCCTAATACATTTGAATGGTCAGATGGCCTCATAGCCAATGCTACACGCAAATTCTCCCGGAATCTCACATCCACCCAGGTTCTCACCACAGATGAAATCAAACCTGTTGCTGAAACAGCCTTTAGGACTTTGACAGACATGTCAGCAACTTCTCTTGCAGCTCATGTTAGTATCAATAAATTAATGTCATGTTCCTGTTTCCAAATGGATAATTTATTGTATCATATTTTTTCTTAAGTAATTGCCAAATTATTTTGAAGCAGTTTAGGTGTGGTTTTATAGACGAATGATAAGAACACCCTGGGCAGATTAAAAAAGTAATAATAAAGAAGACAAAAACTGACTCATAAAGATAACTGATTGCACACATGAGAAAGAGACAATCTACATTCTTTGGTCGTTTCACGAGGAGGAGGCAACTGAAACACATTGTGACAGTGGGAAAGTTGGAGAAGAAAAGAGGTGGAGGTAACCTAGAGAAGATCCTGGACAAATTGACATCAAGGCGGTGAATATCACCTGTGTTAGAATTGATTGAAAGTATGTGAGACTGAATGTGGATAGATATGGCTACCAATGCCACATGATGTGGACTATAAGAAGAAGTAATTGTCTTTAAATCAGTAATAAAATACATGTAACATTTTGTCAGAATTAATCATAAAATGTGTAATACAAGCTTAAGATGGTAATATTGGAGCAGACAGTGGCAGGCATCTTGTTGACACGCCAGAAATAACTAGTTGTCCCATTTTATATCAATCTAAGGACATTTTGAGGATATTACGTACACTTATTGTTATGTTTGGAAACCTTTTTAGTTTTCATATTTGTAGATGCTTTTATTGCTTGAAATATTTTTATGGAAATGTTTATTTTTAGCATCAACCCCCCCCCCCCCCTTCCTCCTGCTTTTCCGCCCCAGTGAGGTTGGGGAGCATATTATTTTTAGATTTTTTAGCAGTAGTTGTTTTTTTATTGGTACAATTTTTGAGCAAGTAATTAACCCTTTTACCCAGGTGACCTAGAAGAGAGAGGGAAGTAGAGTTAAACACTGGGATGCCATTTTTTTCTCCCTTTGTAAGTCTCTCAGTCCTTAAGAAAGAGAATAGGGGCTTTTGAGCTGAAATGCTATAGAAAGATTCTCAGAATATCTTGGACAAAGAAGAAGAGAAATATTGACATCTTAAAAGATCTGAACATCAAGGAAGATTGGCTAATAAACAGCATCATTTCTCGAAAGCTGAAATATTTTGGTCATATCAAGCGTCACGATAGATTAGAAAAAATGATAGCAGTCCTTGAACATAAAGAAAACAGAGGTAATGGGGTATTATATATGTATATATATATATATATATCTATATATATATATATATAATATATATATATATATATATATATATTATATATATATATATATATATATATATATATATATATATATGTGTGTAATGGATATATATATATATATTAATATGTATGTGTATATATATTTTGTGTTGTGTGTATATATTATATTTGTGTGTGTGTGTGTCTATATCTATATATATATATATATATATATTATATATATATATATATATATATATATCTATATATATAAAAACACAATACCACCACAGTATGATGTTAGAATAGAAGGTAACAAAGGAACCTAAGTCAACTAATTAAAATATTTGGGTACAATCATAACATCAGACGGAAGATGTATGTCAGAAATTAAGAGCAGAATAGGCCAGACTAAGGCTACATTTCACAGAATGAAGAACATGTTGTGCAACAGGTCTTCCTCTTTGGATGTCCGAAACAGAGTACTAAAATGTTATATAGAACCCACATTGCTGTATGGTAGTGAATCATGGATTGTGAATGCACAAATAAGAAAGACCTTGGAAGTGACAGAGATGTGGTTTTTTAGACCTATGTTAAGAATCCCTTGGACTGCCAGAGTAACAAATGAGGATTGCTCGAAAGAAGCTAAAGAAAGCAGATCAATATATACAGCTATAAGGAAAAGACAAGCACTGTTCTTGGGTCATGTGATGAGAGGGGGGACTTTGGAGAATATTATGATGACTGTGAAGATCAACGGTAGAAGAAGAGGAAGCGGCAGACCGAGAGATGATGAGGGATGGACTGCGACGGTGGCACGGAGGGACATCATTGGTGGAACTGATTCAGAAAACAGGGGACTAAGATCTGTGGGGATGTATGAATACCTACACCAGTTAGCAGGGCACATGATGTTGATGAACCAAACTCTTTTTGTTTGTTTTTTGTTTTGTTTGTGTGGACAGCTTGTCTGAATGCTCACAGTGGCTTTTTCTGACTAACCTATCGTATATAATTCATTCAAAATAAATGCTTTGTTTAATTCTACTATACCTGTTGATATTTCTTCATGCTTTTGTAATAAAGCCATCGGAAAGGGTTTCATATGAATGCCACTTATTTTTACTGCTTTATAGTTACTCTAAACAATAGTGAATACTTTCTTCCCCAAAATTTTTTTTAAAAAAAATATTTCATTAGACAACAGAAAAAGCAGACACAGTAAATGCTGTTAGTACAGGAAGGGAAACTATTGCAGCACCTAGCACAGAGGCTTTCCTAGCCAGCAATATGGAGAATGAGGACGGCACAATTACAGACTGGCGATGGTTAATTCTTGATGGACCTGTCGACACCATGTGGGTGGAAAATCTAAACACTGTACTGGACGACTCAAAGGTAATCAGTGATATTGAACTTTTTTCTTTTTTTTTTGAAACAAAATTTAATTTATTAATATTGCTAGTAGTAGTTTGATTGTTCATAACCCACTGACACTAATGGTAGATTTATCATTTAAGGAAGTCTTTCCATATTTGGTGCTACTTTTGTTTTTTCATCTCTGGAGTTTCCTTATTTTAAGAAGTTCTTCCTGGCCATGCATACAGTGTTCAACCTTTCCCCTCTCTTACTTTCTTCCAGTTTTTGTTAGAAGCTTTCATTGTTATACAGGCCTTTATTATTGAAACCTTGCTTTCTCCTGCTGCCTTGTCATTAATAATTGACATTGACTGAAAGTGTTTTTTATGATAAAAGTATTTTAAATGCAATTTATTACCAGAATAAATGCTACATCACTTGGTAATTTCCTCAAATAATAGTGGTTATTGTTGGTATCAGTAGCGGATCATCCTCTCCTAGGATAACCCTCAAGAAGTTTGTCTAGTTGTAGGCAACAAATAAGGTTAAATAAAACCCTGTTTGCCACCAGTGTTGTTTTTGTATGTGTGTGTGTGTTTTTTTTTAGGTCCTATTATATTCTTCTGATAGGCCATTGCATATACTAAAACTTGAGCATGTTAGAAGTATCTTAGAAGTAAACTGGAAATATTAAAAAAAGCAAACTCCACATGTACACAAGTATCCTTGTGGGTAGAACCGAATGAATGCTTCAGTAAGTAAATTACATACAAAGACAGCAAAGGAAATGTTTCGCCCCTTAAAGAGAATTCCTTGTGACACCATACAATACAAGTCATACACCCCCCTCCCTTTTCATTTTCACTTCTTAATTTGTTTCCCTTTTATTACATGATTGAATTTCTGATTGGTTCATAACCAGGTTCTGTGCCTTGCTAATGGGGAGAGAATTTCTCTGGGTGTAGGAATGAGGCTTCTGTTTGAGGTGGACAGTTTGTCTAAAGCCAGTCCTGCAACGGTCAGCAGATGTGCCATGGTCTATATGGTGAGTTAAACTCTTTATTTCAGTAACTTTTATCAGTCAAGTGCCTTCTCCGCAGTGAAGGTCAACAAGACTGGATCACCAACACTTTTTTTTTGACCAATTGTTGGTAGATTTTGGCTCATGCTTATACACAGAAATAACCAGATGGGAAACCATTGAGGCCATAGAAACAGTATATTTAGTAAACAGACAGACATGTATTGATTAGCACTTATTGAAAGAAGTAGAAACTTTCCACTTTTTTTTTCTGTCAGTGCCGATCAGTACATGTCTATTTGTTTACTAAATATATCTGACTGACTGCTAGTCATCTGTCTTTTCATAATTTCTGTTGTTTGACTGGTGTGTATAGTGGTCTATGTTTTACCATTAGAATAGCAGTTTTACCGTAATAAAATTTGGATGGAACATTACTTGTATGCTAAGAAGTGGAGCCTAGAGCGGAGAAAGGCCAGAAGGGATAATCACGGGAACAACATGTATCTTACAAAATACAAGAAGAACTAAGTGATGTTAGAATTCTGCATGCAAACTGAGTGCATGAGGCGAAGGATGAAGGAATCTAAATTCAGTCTATATCAACACAGCTAACGTGAATATCTGGCCATGTTGTTAGTAAAAATGAATGACTGCAAGAACGTCTGCCTGAGATATTTACTTGAAGCTGAGAGACCTCATGATTGTCTACAAACATTCAAATGTATGCAGGATGATATTTTATGAGTAGGACTTTCTATGTGTGATACACTTGACATGAATGATTGCCAGTCACATGTTAGATGACTTATCAGTGACAGAAGACTGAGTTGCAGCTTGGAATAGAGATTAAAGTCATTGTAGTCCAGCATCATGTTCAAGCTAGTCTTTCATTGACTTCTACACCTAAGTTTGTCATTGTTGCTGTTTACTACAGGGACAAGCCCTCTGCAATGTTACTGAGCCAGTAAAGAAATTAAAGTCATTGTAGTCCAGTATTGTGTTCAAGCTAGTCTTTTGTTGACTTCTGCACCTAAGTTTGTCATTGTTGCTGTTTACTACGGGTTCTAGTGCACTGACTGGCCAGATAATTTCTTGCAGGATCCGGTTGATCTCGGTTGGAAGCCGTTTGTTACAAAATGGTTATGTCAACTGCCTCAAGCTATGCCTGAGTCTGGAAGAACTTACCTTCGGGCACTCTTTGATGCAAGTATTGACAAAGGGATGAAGTTTCTCTGCAAATACAAGGAGCATCAAGCAGTGCCTGCACCTGATCTCAGCATCATTGGCACTCTCTGTACTATCTTGTCAGCTTATACAGATTTCCTTGACAGCCATGGGGGATTTGGTACAGCAGGTGAGATGAAAAGCTCCTGAGTGTGTGGAACAGTCACTTGTCAGAGTCAGAATTAAATAAAAATCACCATTATTATTATCTATTTTAGCATCCTACTTGCCATCAACACTGTCATTTTTCTGCTTCTTCTAGTCCATTCCATGTCACATTGATCGTCATGTCTGTCCACGACCCTCCCCTCTGTCTCCTATTCAAATTTTCTTATTTGTATATATGGGTAAAGCAAAACTAGGTCTGAAACCTGTCCTACAGCTCACTAAAGAGCAACATGAGATAGGCTGGCCATCTGGCAAGAATGTTCTGGTACCAGCTTCTACAGAGAGCTACACTGAAGAACATCAATAAAGATAAGAGCTAGGGAAGAAATGAAGACCAGCTTATGCAGCACGTTAGCCCGGCTCGCTAGCTCAGTTGGCTAAACCTGATTGCGTGGTGACTGGTTGACAAACTCGTGATCTGGGTTCATGCCCGGGGGTAGGCAAAAAAGCCTTATTTCTGCCCAATTTACGGTATCTATCGTGGAATCAAGGCCAAGGGTTGCGATATCCATAGTACCGAGCCAAAGGGTTAACAACTCATGGTTTCTGCATACTTAAAACAAAAATACAAGGCGTTAGAAAGAGCACACAGAAGATATTAGGAGTGAACAGGGGATCTGCTTAACACTCTACACTTATAGGAAAGGAAAGACAGACATATAATCAAACTACTACTGGCATCCTTTAGTGGAACTCTTTGCTGGCTGCTGAAGATGGGGATGAAATGTTTATGGGAATGTCCTGAATGGTTTAATGTCAGTTCTTAGCTCAGCACTCAGCCAAGATGCTTACGCTCCACCTCAACACTTTGGTGAGGTAATTGGAGGAGCAAGAGAAGACAGTGAAGCAGCAGAAGGAACTAGGTATATGATGCTAATTCTAGACCATGAATTCAAACTAACAATCTCTTTACCTGACACACATATATTTTTCTTAGACTTTGGAATCACAATTATGCAAGTTTTTCTCAGGCTGTGTGTCAAAACTTGTCTAGAAGTAATCATTTGATGAGTTGTTTTTCTTAAAGCACATTTTCTATCTTTATATTAATGAAGATATGAAAGGAAAAGTACAAACAACCGACGCTGATAGTCACACATCTCCTAAGTCTAACAAGCATGCCAGGACATCGAAGTTGAGTCAGCAGCATAACAAAAAGTCACCAACACTTGATGGAAATGCAGAAAATTCTGAGTTTACATCCAGCAGAAATTCACAAAGGTAAATGAACTCTTCATTAAAAATGCAGTTGTAGGCCTGCATGATTCAGTAGCTGCCATACCATAGGCAGTCATGTTTTCCCAGTCTGCATATCACCAGAATCATGAATCAGGTCAATGCTCATTCATGTGACCTAGCCAAGACATTGATCTCTTTGTCTCTGGCTTGCTGGGAGCTGACCTGGTGTAGCAGTTAGATGCTTGCCTGAGGATCTGAAGGTCATGGGTTCAGGTCCTGATAGAACCAGACTTTTTTTTTAAAATGAACTTGGCTTCCAGGTCGACCCAGCCTTGAATTGCTACCAGGTAAAGTCCTGGAAAGTAAAGGTGGCCGGTATGATGTTGACTACATCACACATCGAATGCCGATTGGTCTATAAAATATAAGTTTAGCCCTTTATGCCTATCATTTATTTTTCTATCATTCCACAATATTCTTTGAATTCTTCTCAACAGAGAGGCAGACGACATGCATGGGGGTTCATAGCAAAAGCGATTGGACATCGCTTGGTGCAACAGAGCCTGGCATATAATTTCCCAAAGTCTTGTTTGAGAATGAAAGTGGAGGCAGTTACTGCTGCCTTCCGCTGGCTAGAGAATAAGTTGTACACACATGTCGTCATTGTTACTGATTCACAGAACACATTGAGAAAGGTGGAGACAGGCATGCTTTGTACAGTGTGGCAAGCATCACTTCAGAGGTCCTGGGTTGTTAGCATCCTTTGGATATTTTCTCCAGGTCATGTCTGTGTGTTGGGTAATGAGCAAGCAGATAGACTGACCGATTCTTCTCCACTTGGTGGTGAATTGACGTATGACAAACTAGATGTGGTGAGGGCTCTTTGGGAGTGAATGAACAGTGAGGAGGCACAAATAGATCTTTATGATCTGAGGAGAATGGCGCTGCCAGGAGTTACCAGGAGATCTGGTCAATGCTTAACAATCAGGGAAAAAGTGAGATGGATATACAATCAGAGTTACTGGTGCCATTGAAATTGGAACTCTTCACATGATGCTGAAGATAGGGACGGAGTGCTTATGGGGGTACCCTAATGCTATGATGTCGATTCCATATTCGACATTCAACATTCAGCAGCCACATTTCTCACATGTAACAACACAAGTTCTGTATAGCACTATTGTTTACATCTTTATGTTGTATCTTGCATCTATTGTTTTCTTTCCATCTTGTTAAAGGCAAATTTTGCCATAGCGATTCTTGTTCGTGTTTCTCTGGAGGGCATCATGCATCAGATGATATGACTGTTCTAAGATGGTTTTTGCAATTCACCTGTATAAGACTTTGAAATATTTTTGCATATCATTGGTCACAGTTTGGAATACTCAGTTGTGAATGTAAATGTAGTTGTTATTGTGCAGCACTTATAACTGATACAGATGCCGACTAGATCTATATTTGAATTGTGAAAATACACTAACTATCATTAATCCCTTATAGCAAAGGCTTCTTCCTTCCAGGACAGCATGGGAGTAAGCCTAGCCTTTTCAGATTAAACCAGTGCTTTTTATGAACAGTTAAATTTGGCTGCAATGGCATTGGCGATGCTAGTCATCCTTAAGTGCCTTGCCGACTGGTGTGAGAGATCATTCCTCTCCACATCTTGCAGTCTTCAACATCATGTACGCTCATGTCCTTCCAAGCCATGACAAAATGTTGTCAAGAATGTTGCCTTTCTCTGTCTGTGTCTTTCTATATATCTGTCCTATTGTTACAGCATGCTCCAGTTTTTTTCGTTCAACACTTTGTTTCTAAACTGGCTTGTAGGTATGTATACTGACTTTATATAAGCATCTCAGTAGAAAGTTAACAGTTGTAAATATTTCCAGAATTGTAGTCTGAAACAGTTCCTTCCTTTGAATCAACGTTCAAATATGGTTCAGTCCACACATTATCCCAAAAATTAGCAAACATTAACCATTTACTGGTAACATTTAGGTATTTGTTTCCCCAGCAGGCGTGAGGTAAAGATGTTCTACCTAGAAAAGAACCCTACACATCTGACAAACCTCCTTGGAAAACTGTTTGTGTTTGCTTACACCTGGAGCATTGGTGGAGTTTTTAAACGAAGGGAGTTCATGGAAGAAGATGACAGCAACATCAGAAGGGCAAGCACTTCTACTGAAAGGATAGACATGAATAATGAATTTGATAATTTTGTTCGTGAGCTCTTTGATGTGGAGCCTCCATTAGGTAAGTTCCTTTATATAACTTTTATGTTAGAGCTCTTGAGTTTATTATGGAAACAAAAAAATAAAAGACCCCTTTAACACCATTGTTTCCCTTACGGACCATAGTAACATGCAGACATTTCTTGCATAGGAGAAAGTTAAAATGTTGGTTAACCCTTTCATCTTAAGATGTTCATAATCTGGCATTACAGTCAATTATAAATCCCAGATAAGAATTGAAGCTGGCATTTCTACACTGGCCGGTTCCCGGCAAGACTAGTTATTGGCATTGGTTGTTTGTGCACCTGTGCAATGTTTAGGAGGGCCAGATCTGATTATATTTACTGAAAATAGTGGGGGAGGGAGGGGGGAGTGACCTTTTGTGTATGAAATTAAAAAAAAAATTTTTAGTCATTATATTATGTTTTGTCTTCAGCCTCCAGCAGTGGCTTAGCTGTGAGGTCAATGTATGAGTCATTATATACATTTTCTAAAGATAACATCTGTCTAGATTGAGATAGGATATGAGAGTTGCACTAAGAGAGATGATACAAGAGTTGCACTATGATACAAGAGTTGCACTAAGAAAGATGATACAAGAGTTGCACTATGAAAGATGATACAAGAGTTGCACTATGAGAGATGATACAAGAGTTGCACTATGAGAGATGATACAAGAGTTGCACTATGAGAGATTATACAAGAGTTGCACTGTGAGAGATGATACAAGAGTTGCACTATGAGAGATGATACAAGAGTTGCACTGTGAGAGATGATACAAGAGTTGCACTATGAGAGATGATACAAGAGTTGCACTATGAGAGATGATACAAGAGTTGCACTGTGAGAGATGATACAAGAGTTGCACTATAGAAGGGACTGGGGCCTGACCATAACATATTTTTATATACAACAGGGGATGTATATATCTACTGCAGCCAGCCTCTATTGGTGAGATGGTACACAGTTTTTTATGACTGAAAGAGACATAGTAAATCGTCTGCACTTTTTTTCAAATTATTGATTTTTACTTGCCATGTAATACAGCCACTTTGAATGATTTCCCTCAAATCACTTTGTATAGCAGATTCTCTTTTGTTCATATTGAGGTGTGAGACTTCCAGCTGGAAATCGCAGCATCTACGGCTATTTTGTTGACATGGAAAGCGGCAGTTTTGTCCCATGGGATGTCCTCATTCCTGGCACAAAGTCACTCATTGAGAAAGGTGTAGTGCTAAGTATAGGTAAGCATGCTTCAACAGCATCCTATTAATGTTGATTTACTATAAGTGAAATGTCCATAATAATGTTGATTTACTATAAGTGAAATGTCCATAACAATGTTGATTTACTGTAGGTGAAATGTCCAGTATAATAATGATTTACTATAGGTGAAATGTCCAGTATAATGATGATTTTCTATAAGTGAAATGTCCAGCACAAGGATAATTTAATATGTTTCACTTTAAAATGTTCAGTAAAATGATGATTTAGTATAAGTAAAAAGTTCAGTAAAATAATGATTTACTATAAGTGAAATGTCCAGCACAATGATGATTTAATATAAGTTTCACTTTTAAATGTGCAGTATAATCATGATTTATTAAAAGTGAAATGTCCAGCCCAATAATGATTTAGTATAAGTGAAATGTCCAGTATAAGTGTGGAGGTGTTGTTGACAGTGAAAGAGCTCTGGCTTAGTTGCAGATAGCAGGCCATCTTTTGGATTGTGCTGACATTTTTAATGCCCTTCAGTAGATTGGTTAATTGAAAGGTTAGGGAGCAGCAAATCTACATTGTGGCTGAGAATGCGAGAATTGGGAGTAAAGTTCAGCACAGCCAGGCACAAGAGGCTTACCAGATGTACAAGAAGTCTTAACAACCTTAGTACTGCCACTGTTAACCATGGGATGCTGATGAATATGTTGAAGGGGAAATATGAACACCTGTAGACATGTCTGGAGTGTCGTAAAGATATCTCATAACTCATATTATGCTGGCACCATCTATGACCATCCTGTCTATATTCCTTGTGTGAAATCTTGATTTTAAGCCTTGCCCTATGATAGTGCAAGTGTAGACTTCACTGATGTAAGCTTAAGCACATATCTACTTCGGATTCAGGTATTTCATCTCCAACTCAAGACAATTCTCATTCCTTCAGACTCCACTCTGAGTTACCATACTGTTGTTAGTATCTTCTTGTTTAAGTTTTAATTATTCTATAGCCATTAAAAACAATTGATGAATTATACATCTTTCCTCTAATCTTATTGGAGCATTGGCTTTTAGCCAACTCACCCTAAGCACTCATATCTTTTGCTGTTTCTTCCAGCTTTCTCCATTTATTCTCCATGTTAATAATCTTTGCAACTTATTCTCCTCTACAAGTGTCAGTATTACAACAAAATATTAAAATCACAGAATATTCAAGGATATCAGACATATGAAGTTTATTTACACAAAAAATGTTGTGCTTACCTTACTTTTTACTTGCTCAACAACACTGCTATCTGATTCTAAGAAGTAACAAGCTTTCTCTGTTCAATTATGTATCAGCTATTCTTTATTTGAAACAAATATTTCAAATACTCTGAATGTTATGACCATTTTTGTATGACATGTCAGATTTCACAACAACCAAAATCAGGAAAACAGGTGATTGAAACAGAGATGATCTGATTAAAAAAATGTTTCAACATCATCCTAACCTACATTATCGCCAGTAGGTTTGTCACTTGCATTATCAGTCATCTTATCCAGATTATTGTCACTATCTGGTTGAGATTTGTCAACCACAGAGCAGAATGACCAGTTGTAGACCTTTTCCTTATTATTTAGTCTAAAAAATCACACACAAAATGTATAAAATGTATTTAATCTAAAACAAATAAGTGATGCAAACAGCATGCCGAACTTTAAAAATAAAAGGACTTTGTGTCACTATTTCTAGTTTTTTTTAAACATCTTCATACAAAATTGTTTTCCCAGCAAACGAAACAATATTAGCGTGTGTCTATAAAGCACCACTTTAATGGCAGATAGTCTGAATGGGAGGATTCAAAGCCACTTAAGGGGTCAGTAGTCTGTAAAGAGTTAACAGCACCAGTGTCTTTTCCTCATTTGATTCACTGGCTTTTGTTTATATAATTCCTTAATTCTTTGAGGCCTGAGCAATGCTGTGTGTGTTGATTGAGAAGTTTTGATTTGCCTAAACAACACTGACCATGTTGATTGCGTGTCCCATACATTTTGACTCACATACAGCTCCATATTTGTTTAAAATGTTCGGAAATACTATTAAAGTTCTCAGGGAAGGTTACCCTAACGTTTGTCAGATTTGGATATTTACTGCTCTTGCGGCTGCTGAGCCATGGTAAATGTATAATTTTGTGTGTGTAAAATGTTGTTTTCTCAACACCTGCTTAATTCTTTTTTCCTACTAACTATAGCAGTACTAAACATACACATATTATCAGATTCAAAATGTACATTCATTCCTCTTTTTAAAAAAATTATACTTTTGTATGGATTAGAAATATATTACATTCTTTATTGCTGTTATTTTACACCACAGCCTCTGCCATTTTTGTAAAGGGAAATAAATGTCTGAAAAAGTTGAGCTGATTGTTTATATCTCTCCTTACACTCTGCATTAGTTATTCTGTCATACTGTTTTAAACCATCTATTGTGTACTGACTCAAGCACATTTTAATTTTAATTATATCTTTACCACTGCAAAATTGCTTGATGAAGTGTACACCATACACCCTGAAAACTAATTACTGGCATCACACCGCAGGTAAAACACTTGGAATGGCTTTAGACAAGAAAAAGAAAGAAATAACAGAAGCAGAGATCATCCCTACAGTTGACATTGTGAGATTTTCTTTCCTGGCCAGTTTACTGTTAGTGAACAAACAGGCGGTGTTGATGACAGGTAAGGGCACCACAAAATGCCACCCAAAACAAGTGAATAAATGTGAGTTGCATCCTGTGTGTGCATTTGTTGGAGATCAAGGTACAAAGCCAATTAATAGAATTGTATTATCTAAGTATATTTTTTGGAGTTCAGGGTACCATGCCCTCAGAGGTCATGACACCGCTACTAGAACTATCACTGCATGGACTTTAAAGTGAAAGTGAGACTGAACAAGGATATGTGAAAATCTATAGTTGATAGTTTGATATCATCATCATGTAGCAGGTCCTTTGCAGAACGTCGCTCTCATCACAGTCTGCCTGTAAGAAACTCGTAGTCTTGCCAGTTCTCCCGCCTCATGAACTTTCACACTCAAGGAGTCACTTATATCCTGTGCCCATCTTTGTGTCGGTAGGCCTCTGCCCCTCCTTCTTGGTACCATGCCTTCTGCTATAATTTTTTCCAATCCGTCGTGGCGCTTGATATGACCAAAATATTTCAGCTTTCGAGAAAGGATGCTGTTTATTAGCCAATCTTCCTTGATGTTCAGATCTTTTAAGATGTCAATATTTCTCATCTTCTTTGTCCAAGATATTCTATAAATCTTTCTATAGCATTTCAGCTCAAAAGCCCCTATTCTCTTTCTTAAGGACTGAGAGATAGTCCACGACTCACATCCGTATGTAGCCACAGGGAAGATGCATGCTCTCAAAATTCTAATTTTTATCTCCTTGCTGGTGCTTAACCGTAGACTTTTAAGGCTGTTCAATTTTTGCATTGCTATGGCCATCCTCCTTTTAATTTCTGTCGAACAGTCTCCATTGTTGTTTATTATAGAGCCGAGATATTCAAAGTTTGTGACATTTTCAATTTCTTCATCATTTATTGTTATTTTTGGGTGACAGCCAGTTTTATCTGTGGACATTATTTTCATTTTCTTTAAATTCAAGAACAGATTTTGATCTTCACTGTGCTTTTGGACGGACAATATTAAATTTTCTGTTCCCTTTACGCTGTTCGAAAGGAGGACTGTGTCATCTGCGTAGCGAAGTTCCGAAATAGGGTTGCCACCAATTTTGAGCGGATCATAACTGTCACAAGTCTGGTCATTTTTGACATTTCTCATTATATTTTCTGCATATATATTGAATAGGTATGGTGGGAGAATGCACCCCTGCCTCATTCCCTTTTGCACCTCGAACCAATCAGATGTTTCACCTGCTGCTCTGATGGCTGCTTGTTGTTCATGATAGAGATTTTCAATTAATTGCACTAAATGCGCTGGAAACCCCATACTTTTCATAATAGTCCACAGTTTGTGGTGTTGGAAACAATCAAATGCCTTGCTATAATCAATAAAACAAGCATGAAGATCTACATTGTATTCTCTGCATTTTTCAAAAATTATTCTCATATTAAATATGTGATCCCTAGTTCCTCTACCCTGTCTGAAACCCGCTTGTGCTTCATCTAGTTCATATTCTAATTTCCTTTCAATCCTTTTCATGATAATTCGTAAGAGGATTTTGCTAGCATGACTTATTAATGCGATGGTACGATAGTTTGATAGCGTTTCTAATTTCCTTTTTAGACATTATGTCACGGTTGCTTCTTTTCTGTAGGCTGGATATCTGGTGGATCTTAAGGTTTCAAAAATACACACCAACACACAATAACCTTCTTGGGAATAGCACTTAACCACCTTCTAGTTGATGGAAGAAGGAATAAACATTAAAGAGCAACTAAAATTTGAGTTTTTCTGATATCTTACATGATGTTTAGCAAAGAAAATAATCAGCTAACAATGAATATCATAGTGAACGGGGTGAAATTGGAACAAGTTAAAAATTTATCATATCTTGGACAAGTAATAACATGTGACGGCAGAAGTGAAACAGAAGTCAAGAAAAGAATAGGGATGGCCAAAAACATTTTCAACAACATGCAAATGTTACTGACATCAAAAGAAATAAGCAATACATTAAAAATTAGAATTGTCAAATGTTATGTATTCTCAACCTTACTGTATGGCATAGAGACATGGACAATGAACAAACAACTGGAAAATCGTATCAATTCTTTGGAGATGTGGATATACAGAAGATTAGGTCATATTTCATGGAAACAAAAGCTATCAAATACAGAGGTACTGAGGAAATTGGGAATGAAAAGAGTGATGCTAGGTGAAATAAAAAAGAGACAAGTGAAATATTTTGGTCACATTAAAAGACAACAGTATTGTAAAGATCATCCTAGAGGGAAAGGTTCAAGGTAGGCGAGCAAGAGGCAGACAGCGCTACAAGTGAGAGGATAACATCAAGAGATGGACGAACAGCAGTATGAGTGAGTGTACATCAAGGGCAAGAGACAGGGCTTGTTGGAGATGCATTGCAGCCAACCTTCATTGTGGAGATGGCACCTGATTGATTGATTGATTGATATCTTACATCACAGTAATAATTTATTTGATTGTTATTCAACCTTTTCACTCCTAGTCACTGATATTTGTGCTGTGCTGTCCGTTACATATCCCCAGAAAACCCATATATAGGCTTTACATATTTGACCAGTCCCTAATGGCATTGGTTCTATGTGTGCCTGCACAGAGTTTAGGAGGGCTGGATATGATTATATTTACTAAAAATAGCATCTAGTTTTCTTTTTTTCAGTGAAAATTAAAAGGACTTTTTAGTAATTATGACATCATAATTCACCTTAAGTGTTTGCATAACAACCGGAACACATTAAAACTAATGCTGAACTTAAAACTTTCAATTCTAATGTCAAGTTAGTACTATTGTTGGGAACGGAAACATGAAGAACATTTTTCATTAGCTGGTGCCTGTGTAGAATATAGAGAATTAAATGGTATGATAGAATGGCTAATGTAGAACTTTGGGAGAGAACTAAACAGCTTCCAGTGGACCAGGAAGGGGAGAAAAGACGCTGGCATTGGATAGGACACACGCTGAGAAAATGTGAGAACAAAAAAACTAGAATGTGCACTGGAACCCACAGGGGCATACAAATAAAGGAGGACCAAAAAACACATGGAGAAGGGAGCTAGAGAGTGAGATTAAAAAGATGGGAGAGCTGCATATGATAGTGAAGGATAGAACAGCTTGGCGTGAGTTGGTTGAGGGTCTATGTTTCATGGAGGGTTAGAATGACAGAAGAAGAAGAATGAAGAATGTTTTTCTTTTTTAACAGAATTCCTAAATTCTGGACTATTCACTATTGTTTGTGGAGTGAAAGGGTTGATTTGATTTGATTTGATTCAAGAACCGACATCACAGCACTCGGGGCATTTCCATAAGCAATCCCTCCCCATCTTCAGCAGCCAGCGAAGAGCGCCGATACTAATGGTGCCAGTAGCTTTCTGATTAAATGTCCGTCTTGCCTTTCCTCTGAGCCTTGAGTTTCTGCCAGAACCTCTCGTCACCCCCAGCTGCATCAATCTCACCAAACTCTGGTGATCCATCTGCTCCTCCGCATTGTACACGCTCTCCCACAAGGCACTAACCACGTCTGCCCTATCATGTAGCAGTATTCCACCAAGTTGTGCAGAGCCAGCCAGTCTGTCCGAAAAATTCCAGACAATACTCCTCACTCGTGTCCTCCGCAGCGAAGCATGCCACTCTGCACGAAGCATACCTGTTCTGATCTTCCTCAGCATGCTTTCTGAATCAGTTACAATTACAATGAGTGTGTGTGTCGTGTTCTTTAGCCAGCGGAAAGCTGCAGTGACCGCCTCCACCTCCATTCTTAAGCTGGATGTTGTGGTATCATATGCTAGGCTCTCCTGCACCAAACGTCGACCATTAACTTTTGCTAAAAAGCTCCAAGCACTTCTTTTGCCTCTTGACACTGAACCGTCTGTGTAAATGATCAAATCCTCTGAGCGAGCATTATCTTGAATTAATTGCTGAATTTCCACCTCTGTGGCACCTGCTGGCCAGTCTCTTCATTTCCGGCTCAGCGTGATTATGACTACACAAGTCTGACTGCTCAGGTGGCACTTTGACCCACTCCTCTCCTTGCGTAATGTTCTCAAGGATGCAAACCTGTCTGATTGTGTCTTCTGCCTGAGCCATCCATGACCTCCCTCTTATCAGCCGCTGACCCTTAACTGCATCCAGAGCTTCATGCAGAGGGGGGTCTGTGTCTACAGCTACCCTGAGATATGACTTCGCATGCATCACCTTGTGCCTAGCTGCAACCGTCGGCAAACCAAGGATGTATCGCATACACACCACCACTGGGGTGTCTCTGGTGCAACCCAGAATGACCCGCATAGCCGCGTTCTGTATGCGCTCTAGTTTGTCCATCTGACTCTTTGAGACGGTAAGCAGTCCCAGGCCATAATCCACCACTGACAGGATCAGGTGCTGATATAGTGTGAAAAGCATTCTCTGCTCTATGTAAATTGCAGCCATAGTCTTAAGTGCACTAAGTCCTTTTTGGCATCTTGTCACAACACTCTCCACATGGTCCTTAAATGACAGGCTCCTGTCAAATGTTATTCCCAGATACTTCAGTTTGGCTCTCTCTGTTGACATCTCTACCATCTATCGTGAGACTTGGGACATTAGTTTCTGTTGTCCAGAGAACACTACAAAACAGACGCCTTTTCCGGGTGGACGACAGCCTTCATTTCTGTACACCACTCAGTCACTTTGTCTACTGTCGCTTATAGCTCCCGGGCTGTTTGTTCCCTCTCTTCCCCCTGCCTATATGCAAGTATATCATCTGCAAAAGTCAGTATCCTTCCAATTCCTGGTGCTTCTAGGCTTGCAATCTTGCTCGTATACACGTTGAAGAGCACAGGTGAGATGGCCGATCCCTGTGGCAGTCCTGGGACTAAAGTGCATGGTTCAGAGGTCCATGAGCCCAGTCAGAGAGCAACCTGTCATGAATAGAAAGGGTTAATATTATTTTCATGTTTTCTCCAAATTAAAAATATATCATATGTTGACAGGTGAGTCTGGAGTTGGGAAAACAGCTATCATCAACCACATGCTAAAACAACTTGAACAAGATGGAGGCACATCCACAGAAAAGTCTTCCACTATTTTAGGTTCCATTTTTCAGTACTCAGATAAAGTATCTGGCCTGCTGGAGAATATAAGTAATTTGACATCATTCCACCATCGTACCGATGATGGAGATTCTGCCATGGAGATGTTGCTGGGATGTGAGTATGTGTGAACAGATGCAGAAATATGATTTTTTATTTTAAGCAATGTTTACCCATTGTAAATTTGAACAAAGAAGACACAAACAATAGATTGCACAACTTACTGCCTGAAATATTTCGCTGTATCTCGTTAGGTGCATACTACAGTAACAATTACATAAATGAAGCAGATAAGTAAATCCTTTATAACAGAAGTACAATTTCAACAACGATCGAACATGACTGCTTGTTTTTACCAGGGCAGCCGTAAAAACAGAACCATCTCTTTCTGAATACAGAGTTCCAGGTGCATGTGTGGTACAAACATTATGTAGATGATATTCTTATTGTTGCCCCTGATAAACAACAAGCAGAAATACTACACACGCAGATGAACCGGGCACACAGAAACATCTCACTGTCCCTACAACATGAATTAACAATTGCCTTTTTTAGACGTCCTGATCAGACGAAGGGAAGATGGCACCATCCAACGATCAGTATATAGGAAAGATACTTGGACGGGCCAGTACATGAACTTTAATACTTTTGCACCCATCCAGTACAAACGGGGCCTAGTACAAACATTATTCAACCATGCTAGAAAGATTTGCTCCAGCGATTCGCTACAGTCTGAACTAGAAATCCTCAAACAAATGTTATTGAACGGATACCCAGTTCGATTTATTAAGCGCCACTGCCATCCTGCTCAACCAACTACTACAAAAACGTCAGTCCCCAAACAACAAGTCTACATACATCTAACCTATCGAAAGAATGACGTTATAAAACCGCTATATGACCAGCTCAAAACAGCAGTCAGCCAAACTTTCTACTCCGCTTTGCCAATTATTAGGTTTAAAACTACCCCCGTGCCAACCCCCTCGGTGAAACAACCAGTGTCGACGTACACCAAATAAAATTGTATCTACCAATTTAAATGTATCTGTGAAGCTGCTTATGTGGGCAGAACGGATCGACACCTGGAGAAACGAGTCGCTGAGCACATTCCAGTTTAGGTGGAAAAAGCCATGCAAAATAATATTTAAAATGAGAATACTGGCCGCAAAGATCACCCCTCTGCAATAGCACACCATCTTCTCAAATCTGGACACGTGGTGACTAAAAATAACGCATTTCAAATCCTTCATACGTCAACCAATGGCAGAACTCTAAGATTTCTCGAAGCTTCCGTGATTCGTCACCTGCGCCCGGAACTCTGTATTCAGAAAGAGATGGTTCTGTCTTTACGGCTGCCCTGGTAAAAACAGGCAGTCTTGTTTGATCGTTGTTGATCTTTTATTTTTTTTACCTACAACAGTTTTTTTTTAATGTGTGCTTAACATAACTAGATAAGTTAAAGTAAAACCAAACTAATTATGTCAAGTTGATTTTAGTCAAGAATGTTGACTTAAGAATCATCATTGCACAAGGGACACTCCCATAAGCGATCCTCCCCCATCTTCATCAGCAAACAAAGAGTTCCAATTCTGATGAGATCGGTGAGTCAAGAATTGACTTTACAGCACTCAGGGCATTTCCATATACCCTCCGTCCCCATGTTCAGCAGCCAGCGCAGAGTTCCAATACTAATGGTACATGTCTTAGTCTGGTTATATGTCCATCGTGCCTTTCTTCTGCGTGCAGTGAGCCAGCCAGACCCTCTGGTCACACCCAGGGCCATAATAATCCAGGTAATGTATTTTATTAACAAGCTCGAAGAATGAGAATTGTGTCATTGTAATTTCTCTAATTGGTTTATGGTTTTCTTGTGTGTGTTTTTAAGTCCTGTCTCACAGACCCAATTGACACATGGCTGTGGAAGTGCTGTATTAGAATGTCAAGGTAAAATTTCAGTTTGTAACTGTATTTGGGGATGATGTTTTAATACTCCTCTGTACTGTATATGATTGCAATTAGAGCTCCCAGGATAAGTGACAAAGAAGAGAGCATAATCTATTGATGCTGGTATTCAGAGATTTCATAATAAAAGGTGGAATGTCAGAAAAGTTACAAGGATGAATAAACCACACTAATTAGCATAAGTAACATAGTGACAGAAATCCAACCAATCACAAACAAGTTGTAAAATCACTCTAGTTAAGCGATATATTTTCCATGTAACAATTTGTTTCAATATTATATTTCTGTGGAATTCCTAGCAAAAAGTAGAAGCATGGGTGTTATAAGTACGGTGGCCCAGTGCAGTGCTCAGACTACAGCCAAACGTCTGGAGGCTCAAATTATGCTTAAGCTTATCAAGAAAAGCAAGACCTCAATGGGAGCTCCCAAGGGCAGGAAGGTTTGTAGCAAATTACTGCTTCTGCAAACCCATCAGGTTTTTATTATAATCATCATCAAATATTATCAAGTGCCGTGCCAGTCAAGAAGGTCATTGTTTCCTATATCACCGGAGTCTCAAATCAGCTCTGTTTAAAAACAAATGCTGTTAATTAAATATATAAGGAGCAAATTTAGCGAGTCTATCTTACTAAATATATAGTATAAATATGTAATTCTGCCTATTTAGTCATAGTCGAGAGATTATATTATGTACATACAAAACAAGAAATGTGAGAATGTGCTTTGTTCCCTGCAGTCCAGCTCCAGAATCTGAGTGTTGTATGCTTATCAGTTTTACAGATCTGATTCACTTGAATGTGTACTGTTAGTTCCTTGCCTGTCAGGCAGATGTACTCTGACTTCAAAAAAAGCTCCCAGCTAATCAACTCTTATGACATGCTTTTGGGTAGGCAGTTGGTCTGTTCTTGTTTTCCCCACAATGGGACCCCAGAACCCACACAGGGGATGCAATCACTGCAAATATCTGCCACAATAAATTAGAGTAGTGGAACATGGCAGTAGTCAAGGACCCAGCTCCACAGCAGGCGGTGTGTTGGGCATTTGGTGCTCAACATATTGTTTTATAGATTAATCAGCTCTCACTGGATAATTCTCTTCATTCCTTTGGCAGAAAGCAAGCTGAGAAAGGTGAGGACAGGCATGCTTCACTTCGGAGGTCAAGGTATAGGTAAAGGTAAAGTCGGGAGATGTGAACCAGCGTCATTGCACACGGTTATAAACCTTAAGTGCTCTGCCACCAGTACGGACAGCTGATAAGAAACTGTCTGTCTGTGTCACCTTCTGCACGCAACTCCATAGCTACAGCGACGTTCCTCCATTCACCCCAGATTGTCAACTCTGGTACCCATTTTCTAGAGGCTGGGGGAACCCCGGGAACTGCCCGGTTTCGAACACCGACCATGGCTGCATCGAGTCGCAGCTGGATTTGAAAGCGAGCCTTCTATCGACTGCGCTAACACGGCTCCACTTCGTAGGTCACAGATGAGGAGCATTGTCTGGATCTTTTCTCAGGGAATTGCCTGTGTGGTAGGAAATGGACAGGTGGACAGACTGGCTGGCTGGCTGGCTCTGCACACTTTGGTGGAATACTGATGCCTGGTAATGCAGATGTGGTCAAGGCATGTACAGTTCAAAGGAGCAAATGGATTATCACAGTCTGCTGGTGAGATTGATGCAGCGAGGAGTGACGAGGGGATCAGGTTTATACTCAGTGCTCAGAGGAAAGGCAAGACAGATGTATAATCAGACTGATTGGTACTGGAACCCTGTGCTGGTTGCTGCAGATGGGAAGGGAGAACTTAGAGGAATGACCTGATTGCTGTCATGTCGGCTCTTTTACTAAATTCAACTCAGCTCATTTGGCTTTGACTCCAGACAATCAAAACATAAACACAGAATTGCAACATCCAAGATGAGATGTATAAGACATGCAGTGGGAAAAACAAGAAGAGATAAGTCACCAATGAAGAACTGAGAACAATGGTAAAAACAGTAAATGATTTCATAAAACATTAAAGAATCAAATGGTTTGGTCATCTGGTCACAATGGAACAAAACCAGCCAGCAGCTAGAGCGTACTACATGAGAAACAGCAGGCTACAAGGCAAGAGGCAGACCAAGATATAATTAGGTGGAGGGAGTAAAAGAGACACTACAGAAACAGAATAGGACATTACCACAAGCCATGCCATTAGCAAAAGGCATGAAACTACGTCTAACTCCTGTCTATGACACTTTACAACATAAGCATTAGTGAAAAAGAAGAAGAAGAAGGCTTTCACTTCCCCACACATTTCCTATGAGCCTTTTTAGGCTGGGTTGACCTGAGAGCCAAGGTCAGTTTAAATTATCTTTACCAAGATGAAACATGTTTTACCACATGCACATAACAAATGTATTGCCACCCATTTCATCATCATCTGGTGTGTTGCCAGCTGATGTTGGTGTTCATGCATCTCCACAGATATTGGTCTTTGGTGTTCTGGATCAGTTCCACTGATGATATTCCTTTATGCCACTTTATCTATCCACCATCATTTCTCTTGGTCTGCCTCTGCCTCTTCTACCAGTGATCTTTCCAGTCATTACGATATTTTCCAGTGGTCCTTTTCTCATCACATCACCAAAGAACTTTGTCTCCTTCTCATTGTTGTATATAATGTTCTACTTTCGTTAGCCATTTCCAGGCAATCATTGTTGGTTATTCTGGCAGTCCAAGGTATTCGCCATTGTAGTAGTAGAGAGTGCTTAAAAGCATTTTCCTTGAATATCCAGAAAATAGAAAGAGGTTATACATGGGCACAATGAAAACATGCTCATGTGCTCATTGGGCTGATCTGATTACAAAGTTAGACATCAGTCTCCACATGCATTGTCCAGTGCTTGATTTGATCATGCCTTGTATTGTCAGATTATATCCCATAGAAGTTGAACAAGAAACACAATATCTTCTTCTGCCTTTCTAACACCCAATGATACACAGTGTGACAGCTGTTATATTATTGCAGTTGCATTCTTTATTTGAAGGATTCTGCATACCAATACTACTACTTTTCTTAAAAAATCTTTTTTTTTTTTCATTTTACTTCTTGAAATTTCCAGGTGATTGTGTTTATTGATGACCTGAATATGCCAGCAGCAGACAAATATGGAGCCCAGCCTCCACTGGAGCTCTTACGGCAATTTTTAGAAATGAGAGGATTCTATGACACCAAAAAACTGACCTGGAAAGTAAGCAGATGCCAATGGAAGTTTATGATTGAAACCTGTTTGTTGCATTTGTCAGCATCTGTGGCTTAGGTGTTGTGAACACAGCCAGATTAATTCCAGCTGTGGACATTTTGGCAGCAGACCACCTTGCACTGATTTTGACAGCAGTATGGAGAGTTGAACGTTTAGAAAGCAGTGACAAACTACTGAATGCAAAATGTCCTAGTAGTAAAATCAAAACAGCAAAGAGATACTGGAGTTGGTTCTGCAATGTCCTCTAAAGGATACGCAACTGAACTTGTTGCACTTGTTTGCTCTTCTGAAGAATACCAGAATTTTTACATAATTGGGTACAGAATTCCTACAGTCTAGTCCATCTGATATACTGCTCTGTGTACTGTTCCACCCATTGTAGGCTGACTATGTGAGTCAAATTTGGCTCAACATAAGGTCGTCTTGCAGTAAGGCCTGTATCTCTGTCGTCGTATGACTGTCAAATGAGAGACTTGCCTAAGTTTACCCATTATTGCTGCTGCTGTTTGACTTGCGGGAAGAAAATTATTCTTTAGGTGACTCTGCATCTTGCGCAGGTGTAGTAACTCATGGTTGGCCACTCCCACGTCCAGTGGTTCTGTAATGTTCATTGGGACGTACTTCTCTTCTTCTGCTTTGCGTTAACCAGTTAACTTCTACAGAAAGTTTTAGTTGTTCATCCACTTCTGGACTGTAGTAATCTTCCAGAACCAGAGAGTAGCATGTGCATCCATTTTACGGATCTGAATCATTTGTATACATACTGTTGGTTCCTTGCCTGTCATGGAAATGCACTCTGACTTTGAAGGAAGCTCCCGGTTAGTCTACTTTTACAATATGCTTTTGGTAGACAGTGGGTCTGTTCTTGTTTTCACTACAATAGGGTCCTGGAATCCACACAGGGACATTCAGATGTACAACAGTGCTGTGATGGCAATTCATTCTTCTGGTAGTGACCCGTGAGCTCATTCCAGTCTCCAACAGACCAGTGGCTATAGTCATGGCATTAGCACATGTAACTGGGTTTTTTATCTCAACACATTTTCATATAGTCATGGCTGTACAAGCACATGTAACTGGGTATTTTATCTCAACACATTTTCAGATAGTCATGGCATTATGAGCACATTTAACTGGGTATTTTATCTCAACACATTTTCAGATAGTCATGGCATTACAAGCACATGTAACTGGGTAATTTATCTCAACACATTTTCAGCATCATAGCTGTTAGGAATCATTTTGCTCCTGTAACTTGCATTTTTTTTTTTTCATTTAGTCTGTACAATGATCTGTGGCTTTAATTATTTGGCATAGCCATTGACTGGGGGATTAAAAAATGTGTTGGAAACACTGGCATTGACTGGGTGATGAAAAAATGTGTTTCACCGGCATTGACTGGGTGATGAAAAAATGTGTTTCACCGGCATTGACTGGGTGATGAAAAAATGTGTTGGAAACACCGGCATTGACTGGATGATGAAAAAATGTGTTTCACCGGCATTGACTGGGTGATGAAAAAATGTGTTTCACCGGCATTGACTGGGTGATGAAAAAATGTGTTGGAAACACTGGCATTGACTGGGTGATGAAAAAATGTGTTGGAAACACTGGCATTGACTGGGTGATGAAAAAATGTGTTGGAAACACTGGCATTGACTGGGTGATGAAAAAATGTGTTGGAAACACCGGCATTGACTGGGTGATGAAAAAATGTGTTGGAAACACTGGCATTGACTGGGTGAAGAAAAAATGTGTTGGAAACACTGGCATTGACTGGGTGAAGAAAAAATGTGTTGGAAACACTGGCATTGACTGGGTGAAGAAAAAATGTGTTGGAAACACTGGCATTGACTGGGTGATGAAAAAATGTGTTGGAAACACTGGCATTGACTGGGTGATGAAAAAATGTGTTGGAAACACCGGCATTGACTGGGTGATGAAAAAATGTGTTGGAAACACTGGCATTGACTGGGTGAAGAAAAAATGTGTTGGAAACACTGGCATTGACTGGGTGATGAAAAAATGTGTTGGAAACACTGGCATTGACTGGGTGATGAAAAAATGTGTTGGAAACACTGGCATTGACTGGGTGATGAAAAAATGTGTTGGAAACACTGGCATTGACTGGGTGATGAAAAAAATGTGTTGGAAACACTGGCATTGACTGGGTGATGAAAAAATGTGTTGGAAACACTGGCATTGACTGGGTGATGAAAAAATGTGTTGGAAACACCGGCATTGACTGGGTGAAGAAAAAATGTGTTGGAAACACTGGCATTGACTGGGTGATGAAAAAATGTGTTGGAAACACTGGCATTGACTGGGTGATGAAAAAATGTGTTGGAAACACCGGCATTGACTGGGTGAAGAAAAAATGTGTTGGAAACACTGGCATTGACTGGGTGATGAAAAAATGTGTTGGAAACACTGGCATTGACTGGGTGATGAAAAAATGTGTTGGAAACACTGGCATTGACTGGGTGATGAAAAAATGTGTTGGAAACACTGGCATTGACTGGGTGATGAAAAAATGTGTTGGAAACACTGGCATTGACTGGGTGATGAAAAAATGTGTTGGAAACACCGCATTGACTGGGTGAAGAAAAAATGTGTTGGAAACACTGGCATTGACTGGGTGATGAAAAAATGTGTTGGAAACACCGGCATTGACTGGGTGATGAAAAAATGTGTTGGAAACACTGGCATTGACTGGGTGAAGAAAAAATGTGTTGGAAACACTGGCATTGACTGGGTGATGAAAAAATGTGTTGGAAACACCGGCATTGACTGGGTGAAGAAAAAATGTGTTGGAAACACTGGTATTGACTGGGTGATGAAAAAATGTGTTGGAAACACTGGTATTGACTGGGTGATGACACAATGTTGTGTTGGAAACACTGGCATTGACTGGGTGATGACACAATGTTGTGTTGGAAACACTGGCATTGACTGGGTGATGACACAATGTTGTTTTGGAAACACTGGCATTGACTGGGTGATGACACAATGTTGTGTTGGAAACACCGGCATTGACTGGGTGATGACACAATGTTGTGTTGGAAACACTGGCATTGACTGGGTGATGACACAATGTTGTGTTGGAAACACTGGTATTGACTGGGTGATGACACAACGTTGTGTTGGAAACACTGGTATTGACTGGGTGATGACACAATGTTGTGTTGGAAACACCGGCATTGACTGGGTGATGACACAATGTTGTGTTGGAAACACTGGCATTGACTGGGTGATGACACAATGTTGTGTTGGAAACACTGGTATTGACTGGGTGATGACACAATGTTGTGTTGGAAACACTGGTATTGACTGGGTGATGACACAATGTTGTGTTGGAAACACTGGTATTGATTGGGTGATGACACAATATTGTGTTGGAAACACTGGTATTGACTGGGTGATGACACAATGTTGTGTTGGAAACACTGGTATTGACTGGGTGATGACACAATGTTGTGTTGGAAACACTGGTATTGATTGGGTGATGACACAATGTTGTGTTGGAAACACTGGTATTGACCGGGTGGAGAACACATGTCTTGGAAACACTGGCATTGATTGGGTGATGACACAATGTTGTGTTGGAAACACTGGTATTGACCGGGTGGAGAACACATGTCTTGGAAACACTGGCATTGATTGGGTGATGACACAATGTTGTGTTGGAAACACTGGTATTGACCGGGTGGAGAACACATGTCTTGGAAACACTGGTATTGACTGGGTGATGACACAATGTTGTGTTGGAAACACTGGTATTGACTGGGTGATGACACAATGTTGTGTTGGAAACACTGGTATTGACTGGGTGATGACACAATGTTGTGTTGGAAACACTGGTATTGACTGGGTGATGACACAATGTTGTGTTGGAAACACCGGCATTGACTGGGTGATGACACAATGTTGTGTTGGAAACACTGGCATTGACTGGGTGATGACACAATGTTGTGTTGGAAACACTGGTATTGACTGGGTGATGACACAATGTTGTGTTGGAAACACTGGTATTGACTGGGTGATGACACAATGTTGTGTTGGAAACACTGGTATTGATTGGGTGATGACACAATATTGTGTTGGAAACACTGGTATTGACTGGGTGATGACACAATGTTGTGTTGGAAACACTGGTATTGACTGGGTGATGACACAATATTGTGTTGGAAACACTGGTATTGACTGGGTGATGACACAATATTGTGTTGGAAACACTGGTATTGACTGGGTGATGACACAATGTTGTGTTGGAAACACTGGTATTGACTGGGTGATGACACAATATTGTGTTGGAAACACTGGTATTGACTGGGTGATGACACAATATTGTGTTGGAAACACTGGTATTGACTGGGTGATGACACAATGTTGTGTTGGAAACACTGGTATTGACTGGGTGATGACACAATGTTGTGTTGGAAACACTGGTATTGACTGGGTGATGACACAATGTTGTGTTGGAAACACTGGCATTGACTGGGTGATGACACAATGTTGTGTTGGAAACACTGGCATTGACTGGGTGATGACACAATGTTGTGTTGGAAACACTGGTATTGACTGGGTGGAGAACACACAGTTGGAAGATCTTGATTTGGCCAATGATATTGTTCTGCTCAGTAAAAACAACATGCAAATGAAAACACAGCAGAAATCATGAAGTTTTTTGTTTTGTTTATAATTCAGGAGATTGTGGATGTGACAGTTGTGGCAGCATGTGGTCCACCTGGTGGTGGCAGAAACTCCATCAGCCCTCGGCTTCTGAAACACTTCAGGTGAAGTTTCTGTTTCACTTGCTGCATATTTGTTGAGATTTAAAGTACCACACAGGTAACTTATGAGGAAAGGGTTTGGGGGCAGGAAGCTGGTCCTGATTTTTCCTGGCAGCAATACCAGCAACATATGATTGTAAATTAGTGACTGCAAGATTTGCATGTCATAATTTTTCATATATAATGCGACTAACAGGAGTTACAGAAAAAATAAGAAATCAGAATAATAATATATACTGCCTATACTCTGAAAAGTCAGTTGAGGAAGAAATAACCAACTAGAAAACTTTTCTCTTCGAGTTAGTTACTTTTTATATTCACTCAGCTCTTGATGCTTTATGCAGAATGAGTTAATCACAGATCTTGGAAGTGCTCATTTTTTTTATTAAACTTTTTTGAGTCCCAGGTGATTTAGCATCACAAAACAAAGGGGTAGTAAAGAGAAACATAAAATCGGCACATCATGTGTTAATTAGGCTTCTAGATAGGAACTTATGAACGTATTATGCCTTCTTTGGGGCTCAAAAGAGTTCAACATGAGAGGGTCTGGATTTTATGCCAACAAGCAGCAGGTAAATCAACAAGCAGCAGGTAAATCAACAAGCAGCAGGTAAACCAACAAGCAGCAGGTAAACCAACAAGCAGCAGGTAAACCAACAAGCAGCAGGTAAACCAACAAGCAGCAGGTAAACCAACAAGCAGCAGGTAAACCAACAAGCAGCAGGTAAACCAACAAGCAGCAGGTAAACCAACAAGCAGCAGATAAACCAACAAGCAGCAGATAAACCAACAAGCAGCAGATAAACCAACAAGCAGCAGGTAAACCAACAAGCAGCAGGTAAACCAACAAGCAGCAGGTAAACCAACAAGCAGCAGATAAACCAACAAGCAGCAGGTAAACCAACAAGCAGCAGATAAACCAACAAGCAGCAGATAAACCAACAAGCAGCAGGTAAACCAACAAGCAGCAGGTAAACCAACAAGCAGCAGATAAACCAACAAGCAGCAGGTAAACCAACAAGCAGCAGGTAAACCAACAAGCAGCAGGTAAATCAACAAGCAGCAGGTAAACCAACAAGCAGCAGGTAAACCAACAAGCAGCAGGTAAACCAACAAGCAGCAGGTAAACCAACAAGCAGCAGGTAAACCAACAAGCAGCAGGTAAACCAACAAGCAGCAGGTAAACCAACAAGCAGCAGGTAAACCAACAAGCAGCAGGTAAATCAACAAGCAGCAGGTAAACCAACAAGCAGCAGGTAAACCAACAAGCAGCAGATAAACCAACAAGCAGCAGGTAAACCAACAAGCAGCAGATAAACCAACAAGCAGCAGGTAAACCAACAAGCAGCAGGTAAACCAACAAGCAGCAGGTAAACCAACAAGCAGCAGGTAAACCAACAAGCAGCAGGTAAACCAACAAGCAGCAGGTAAACCAACAAGCAGCAGGTAAACCAACAAGCAGCAGGTAAACCAACAAGCAGCAGGTAAACCAACAAGCAGCAGGTAAACCAACAAGCAGCAGGTAAATCAACAAGCAGCAGGCTGTCAGAATGAAGCACCAGCCTTCAGTGTGGAGATGTCACTGACTGGAGTTTAAATTCAAGATTAATGTAGTTATAAAGCTAACTTACTTGAATTTGCTATGTGAAAATAAATAATTCCTTTTTTTTTAAATTAGAAATCTTCCTTAAAAAAAAAAACATCAAGTGTGACACATTGTTTTCTATAATTAAATGTTAAAGTCGAGAGGATCCACTTCATTGCACCGGGTTTTATCCCATATGGATTGGTCTCTCTCCACAGAACAGCTAGCTGCCTGCTGAGAGCATCGCACAAAGCATGAGCTCCGTAGCTCTGGTGATGATCCCCAGGGATTTCCTTTAAAATTGCACTCGTGAACTAAACGACACAGCCGTGCAACAAGCTTGTGACCTTCTGAGCATGAGGCAAATGGCAATGAATTCCAGTATTTTTAGTTAGTATATGCAAGCATTCTTTATTCGTTCTTTAATGTTTTTATTTTGATTTTGTGTTTTTCAGCATGTTAACACTTCCACAACCATCCAGCAAGTCTCTTCAGCATATCTATCAAGTTCAGCTAGGTCGGTTTTTAAAGGAAGGGGAGTTTGTGCCAGAAGTACAAAACAGCTTGTTTCCCATGGTATCTGCAAGCATTGCCATATACTACCACATGTGTACTGTCATGCTGCCAACGCCAACAAAATCTCACTACACTTTCAACATCAGAGACTTATCCAAGGTTGGTCCTGATAGATATGTATTTGACTCAGAATTACAGTCACGGCTTACATGCAAATGTGGGTTTTATAAGATCAACCTTTTTGCCCAAAAAAGCCAAAAAACCCACACATTTCGACACTTGGTACAGTTTTCCCATAAGAGCTGTTTTTTTCTTTTAAATTTGCTACCGAGACGTGTTTACAAGACATCTAGCTAACGACTTCATTGCATGTGAATTTGGGTCAAGGGTCAGTGTGGTCACAGGGTCAAGTAAGTATCACACTTTGGTTAGTTTACAGGCCTCAGGAGATGTAAGCCAGTTGATTCCAAGCAGCATTCATTTTTATTTATTGCTCCCATTACTCTTAATAGTATTTGTTCAGATTTATTTAGATGATAAATTAACTGTATGGGATTTTGTGTAAACACAATTGTATGGGACAAAGGAGTTTAAAAAACAAATTACAACATAATGAGTTAAAGTAATACCTACTTTCCATATCTTGAATCATTTGTGATATGGAGAATTAAATAATGTTTCTTTTGGCTGTTTTCTTCAGGTGATCCAGGGCATGCTACAGGCCCATGAATCTGTAATCGTGGGAAAGGAACATTTTGTTCAACTTTTTGCACATGAGACCACACGTGTGTTTCACGATCGCCTGACCTGTTCTGCTGATCGAACCACATTTTTCCAGATACTTGCTGATAATCTGCATGCTTATTTCAAGGTGAGCATAGAGAATAACCTTGATCATCTACATAGTCATTCTAACAAAATGACAAGAGTTCGGCTTGAGGCATGGATGTTTGTTAAAGAAATTGCTTTCTCTACTTATAGACTCTTGTGTGTGCACTCTGTCATTCAGGTCTAGTCAGTTATTATGCACAACTTGCATATTCCATATTGATAATTTTATTGTTTTCATATTTCATCTTGGATACACAAGTGGTGTGTGTGTCGTTCAACCCCACCAGGACCGTACAATGAGTGACAGAAACCCTGTTCAACCATTAGGTTATAATAGGGCCCCTGACTACAGCTGCAGTGGGGCCTTAAAAAAAACTAAAAACTGAGTGCCACATGGGATGGGAATAGTACACAAGTTGTGTACCAGGGTCAGGACTCATGCCGCTTTTAGTGGTCGTCCTGGAAACAGGTACCCACCTGTGAGAGCCTGGTCAACATAGATAGAATTGACGGTTACTTAGAAGTCAGAGTGCATCTTCCTGAAAGGCAAGGAAGCAGTAGTCTGCACACAAATAAACTAGATCTGTAAAATGGATGTGCATGCAACCCCGTCCCTAAATGAACCAAATGTCCAGAAGTAGATGCACAGTCTGTCTTGACCTGTCTTCTTCTTCACATTCACCTGCTGTAAACTCTTGACAGAAAGTTCTTGTTGTTGGTCCATATCTAGACTTTGATCTTGTTCCATGATTTCACATGCGTATCATATTTGTATAGATCAGCTTTGTGTGATGTAGTCAACATTATGTTGGCCACCTTCACTTATCCTGACATTTCTTGGCATCCTTTTTTATGCTAGGTCACCAAGAAAGTCAAGGTCAGTTGTACATTCCACTTCAGTGAGGATTTTAAATCCAAGACCTTTGGGTCAGCAGGAAAGTGTCTAGCCACTGTGGCTACCCTTTGTTCTGTTTTATCTTAATGTTTACTTTAGCTGTTAGAAAAATGCTGTTTACTTCTTCTTCCTAACGTCCATGTCGTGTGGCGTTGGTAGTCATGTCTATCCACAACCTTCTGTCTTATGTACTTTAAGTCAACTCTGACACAGATGATCCTCCACTGCCACTCTTTTTATGTGTCAAAGGTATTCTCATCATTCATCTATAAAACCACATCTCAGCAGCTTCCAGATCAGTTTTCACTAATTTACTGTTAATAAAATAACCAATAAATCGACATTAGGCTAGCTAAGGCAGAACAAAGAAAAGCATATTGACGAAAACAATTTGGGAAAACACGGTTAAAACAAAAACCCTTGACTATCAGGCTTGTGATCTCGGCATTCCTCTTTACCGCAGTGAAACTTGGTCTACGTGCAATACCTAAGACAAACACCTGTTAAGTGGCAATAAAAGAACACAAACAATGAGGTATTGGAAAGACCAGGTTTCACAACACTTTTCTCAATGCTCACTTTTCAAATGGTCACATAACTAGTACACACATGGCAAATGGAGGATGTTAAGAGTCCCTAAGAACATCCTCTGGTGAATTAAATACATGGATAGAAGATATCTTGGTCATCCCCTACTGTGAGATAAAGATTTTTGCAAAAGGGATATACATATTGAGGTGAATTGATGGGAACAGTATACCTTGGACTTTTTTGCATGGAGGAGGGTGGGAGAAATCAGGATGCAAAAAGAGATAAGGAAGAAAATTACTGCAGGTATGTTAAGAGCTGAGTGTCTGAGAAGATGGATGCTAAATACAAGTAATGGTAACAATACTGCTCTAATTGTGCTAAATGTTTCCTAGCACGAGTGGGCCTGATAGTCACACTCACCATCGCTGTAATTCCCATACCTCCCTCAAGCACCATATATATTTTTTACAGCCTTTTTTTCACTTTACCACAGTCTATTTAAGTTTTTTTTTTTTGTGTGTGCTTCAGCTCATTACAGCCTAGACAGTTATTAAAATGAATCCCTATTACAGAACAAAATTGAAAGTAGAAGTAATACCACCAATATACATTCTAGCTATTGTCTTCTTATACCTTGAGGCATATACATCATAAATTAAATCAGTGTTACACTGCATGCATGATACAAAATGATATCAATTTTCACTGCAGGTGCGATGGACATCTGAAAAACTGATGAAAGAATCTATACTGTTTGGTGACTTCTTTGATTCCACTGATCATACTTCAGTACAGCGGATATACAGGCCATTGTCTGATCCAAACAAGCTAGAGCGAGTCTTGGAGGAGTATCATATGAGAATGAACATGGGAGAAATGGTACATATATATATACACTTGTCTTCAGGTGATGTGGAAGCTGCAGTTTATCAAGGCTACTATCATTATGTTTCTAAACTTGATCCACCTACTTGGTAAAACTGACTCGCTTACCTATTTACTCAACAACCTGACACACTACAGAGATAAAACTGCTGCCCATAAATCTATGGATCAGTTGTTTCTCTCAGGGTGGAACCCAGTATTTCATTCACAATTGTACACTAATAAAGATATGGCAATGAAATTCGGAATGGACTTACCTCCATTCATGCAAAGTTGGTTGACTTTTTACCAGGTGGGGAAATGGCCACCATTGCCATCCAGGCAGCATTGGACGCGACGTTCCATGTTGTGGAAAGTCTGTCTTGGTACATCAGGTGTTACTGCTTGGATGGCTGCACTGATGTTTGCTTTCAAGGCCTCTATAGTTCGTTGTTTTTTATGATGTCACTTGACTACGCATGAAAAGAGGTGGTAATTCCACTCCAAATTTCATTGCCATATCTGAATTAGTGTCCGAGTTATGAAAGAAATACTGGGTTCGGCTCCGAGTGAAACACCTGATACAATGAAAATCCCTAAACATCAGACATGTCTGCTTAAATATATTACTGAAAAGTCAGTTTAACAGTCAGTCACTGACAGAGCAGTGGCATGTCTCATCCACTGTCAAACCCATGAATAGCAGAAATCTGCTGCCACTACACTATACTTGAAAGAGGGTAGTTCCCAGAAAAAAAACACCCTAATTAGTCACCTCCTATGACATACTTATTATGGGGGCAGTGGGTTGATACTTAATTCTCCAAAATGGAGCCAGGAACCCACAGGTGGAAAATGATTAGGATCGATTAAAAGTTTACTAGTACATATATTTCTCGTATAGAAAATAACAGAGAAGTTCACACTGCAGCAGTATAGTCTGTAGGATTCACATCTAATGAATGAAAATCAAACAAGAATGAATCCCAGAAATCTTGTTTAATCGTTTCTTCTTCTGCCTTTCTAGCCCCCAATGGAGCATAGGCTGTCAACCAACTCACGCCAAGTTGTTCTATCCTTCACCATCACTTGCAGTTCTCATGTCCTCCACATTTTTTTTAAACTCTACTCTCTAGTTCTCCTCTTCATGCATCGTTTGGTCTTCCTTTATTTCTACGCTTCTATGGGTTCCAGTGCAAAGACATTCTAGTTTAATTGTTCTCGGGTTTTCTCAGCATGTGTGCCATCCAACGCCAGCTTCTTTTCTTCACCTCACTCAACTGTATAATACAAGTGTATTTACCTAAAATTGACCTGCAGCCAAATTGGGGGTGGTTATGTTGGAGAATAACATTGTATGATAACAGTTAATTTTTTTTTTAATCCAATTTACAATTAATGTTTACTATTTGTATGTAATGTTAAAATGTGTACATTTGTCTAGACTGAACAGCTAGTGTTCTTCAAGGATGCCATGGAACATGTGGTCAGGGCAGCAAGAGTGTTTAGACAACCTGGAGGACATTTGCTTATGGTGAGTTCTTTCCAGTATGTTTGTTGTTTTCTAATCCAACATTAGCTCATTTAAATAGAACCATTTTTAGATATTTTTCTTCTTTAAATGCATACTGTGTTTTTTCTTCTTTTTCTTTTTCTTCTTTCTCTGTTCACACTAACTAATTGGCACATTGTGGTGTGGTTTACAGCTAGGCTTGATACAGGCACTTTTCATTCCAGCTTATCCCATTTCGATCCCAGCTTCGGGCCATGCACCCTGCTTTGGTTTTGACAGTAGTATATTTGCCTAGAAAAACCACACAACAGCCAGGTACTGTTGGGGTTGGTTCTGCAACATCCTGTAAAGGATACGCAACTAACCTTTATCCCATTTCTGGAAAAACTTAAATCAGGGATCCTTTACACATGCTTCTAAAGGCACAGTGAATATATTCCTTTTCCTTCAGAAGGGAGACTGTGGAACTCACATGCATGAGGAGAGTACAATGTTTTACAAAAATGTTGTGTATTTGTTTCAGCACACATCTTATGTAAACTTTTTAATTCCTTTCAGGTTGGCCTTGATGGCACAGGCAAGTCCACAGTGATTTATCTGGCCAGCTATATCAGCAACTGTCAGATGTTCCGCCTGAAACTCCATAATCAGTATGGAAGCCCAGAATTTCGGGATGATCTCAAAACACTGTGTCTGCAAGCCGGAGTCAAAGGCATACCATCTGTTCTCTTACTAACTGACTCTGACATTGTTAAGGTTAGTTTTCTATGGCAAAGAATCAGTGATGAAAACTTGGAAAAATCACTTGAAATCAGTTTTTATATTACATGATGATACTAGTGAGATTACAGAGATGCAGGAACCCAGAAGCTAGCTGTTGCCCTTTGTCCGTTTTATTGGAATATCCTCTCAAGCTGGGAGTTGTAGAACCTGGGGTTTTCAGGTCAGACCTGCCTAAAATGGGCACCAGGAAACTTTCTGTGATATTGACAACATCCCAACTGAAAGTACAATGTTCCAAAAATATGAGAATTGCACCATATACCCTGTGTGCCTCATGGTGGGAAAAAGAAGTCCTTCAGCTTAATTTACCAGTGCAGGTAACACACAATGACCTTTTGTTTAAATGTTGGGCTTATCAAAAAACTTTAATTTTTTTTTTTTTTCTTTTTTAGCATTCCGGGCCCCTGAGGTTCCTTGCTGCAGATGTCACCCGCCTTCGTTCTGTAACTGACTTTCTCTTTTCATTTGCTGACTGCAGGTGTTTTCAGGTCTGCCTGACCATTCTTGCCACCTTCTTTTTGAGCCGCCTCATGGCCTACTCCTAGGCAGTATTTTTGTCCATTTAAATCCAGCTGGTTTGAAAGTTTAAATATCCATTTTGTACAAAATTAGATTCTACGAAGGTGAGGGTGTTGGCCCCATGCTTTACCCCCAACCTGGAGGACTAGAGTTGATTTCCCTTGCGGATAAAGGTGTCATTCTTTGTTTATTCTCTACCGTTAGATCTGTCTGGCTTATGCCACTGCCAACATAGTAGCTATGCCACTGCCAACATAGAAGCTATACCACTGCCAACATAGCAGCTATACCACTGCCAAAATAATAGCTATGCCACTGCCAACATGGTAGCTATGCCACTGCCAACATAGCAGCTATACCACTGCCAAAATAATAGCTATGCCACTGCCAACATAGAAGCTATACCACTGCCAACATAGCAGCTATACCACTGCCAAAATAATAGCTATGCCGCTGCCAACATAGAAGCTATACCACTGCCAACATAGCAGCTATACCACTGCCAAAATAATAGCTATGCCGCTGCCAACATAGTAGCTATGCCACTGCCAACATAGCAGCTATGCCACTGCCAACATAGCCCTCAAGGTCACTGAGAATCTCAAGCTTTCCCACCGCAACATTGCCTGCATAAATTCACTATGTTTCAGTTTTACAATGTGCAGAAGTAGTTAGAATAAAGCAACAGTGCATGGCTATATTGAACAGGAACAGTTAAATAAACTTTATACAAAAAGCCCATGTCCCAATGTCAGACACAGTTTGTTGTTGTTTTAAATCCCAACTCTGGCTGCTGCCAGGGGCCCTAATATAACTCAACCTAAAGGTTGAAAGGCATTTCTGGGACTTGTCAACAGGTGATCCTCATCCGAATGGTGGCACTTTGTGTCACAGTGTGTTTATCGCTCAGTTTGATGTCCTGGTGGGGTTGAACATCATTGTCCTGATATTCTGATGTTAAATTACTGAAAAAATACAGCTTGATGTGACAACTGGAACTATTTTTGGAACAAAGAGAGAGAGGCAGACAATAAAAGAAGATTCTGGACGTCTTTTGTCTTGGTGCAGAAAAGCTTAACAGTAAACAGTTATGCAGTGTGGTATATGATGATGAAGAATAGACCCACACAAACATTTATTATAACATCTGTCTGCTTGCTACTTCATGTGTCAAGTTGCTAAGCTAAAGAAATTATCTACAATTTGTAATTATTATTTGTTTCTGTGTAGTATTTTCTTCTTCTGCGTCCATCCGAAAATGTAAATGCATTGTGTCTATTTAGAACATAGACACGAAATGTGCTGACATATCTGACCTCTGCAGGCATTTGTTGACTGGTTTAGCTTCCCATATATAGTATTATCTGATTGTGTTTATATTTTTTTGTTTTGTTTGTAGGAATCATTCATAGAGGACATCAACTGTATTCTCAATTCTGGTGAGGTTCCAGACCTATTTGACAGTGAAGAGCTTGATGGCATCACAATGGACCTTCAGGCAATTGCCAGCGATGCAGGGTTCTCTGATGCCAAGACATCGGTTCATGCTTTCTTTATTCAGAGAATCAGACAGAAATTGCATGTGGTTTTGGCCATGAGTCCTGCAGGTGAGTGATCACAGCCCAGCTTTGTCAATGAGGCTTTTACCATGATCAAAACTTGTTTAACAATAGAGCTGATGGCAATGAAAAAAAATCATTAAACTAGCTACACTCTAAAAATGAGTCAGGTGTGTATACCAAATAACTCAGTGAGTCTTCTTCTTCTTTTCTTTTATCAAAATCTGCTTGTGCCGCTAGGCGTCGCAGTCTATCAGATGATCGGCAACCGAGCCAGGGCGCGCTCAGTCGCTTCATATGACGTGATGTTATGAAGTCTCAAGTTGTCCGTGACTCCTTCAATCCATCTTCTTCTTGGTCTTCCCCTGCCTCTTGTTGTTTCGATTTTCATGTTGTATGCTCTTGATGCTGGCATCGTTGGTTCCATTCTCATTAGGTGACCAAACCATTTCATTCTTTGCTTCTCAATAAATTTAACGATGGGTATGGTTCCAATAGTTCTTGTAATCACATCGTTTCTCACTCGATCTCTTCTGGTTTTATTCGCAGCCATTTTCAAACATCTCATTTCACAGGTGGTTAGTCTTCTCTCATGTTCTTTTGTTAATGTCCAAGTCTGACATTGATAACCTAATGTCGGTATAAAGATTGTATTTATAATTTGTCTTTTTATCTCAGCTGGGACAGCAGGGTGTTTTAAAATTGGGGCAAGCTGGTATGCGACATTGTTGGCTTGTTGGATTCTTGCTTCAATCTCTCTGTCTATTTTACCATTGGATGTAAAGATACTTCCCAGGTATTTAAATTCTTGCACTTGTTTTTTTAGGCTGTGATCTAGAATCTTTATGTCGATGGTCTGTTGCTCTCTACTTATGCTCATGACTTCTGTCTTTTCAGTATTGATCTTCATATGATGCTTGAGGCAACTGTCGTGTAGTAGGTTCATGTGGTCTTGCAGCTGTTTACTATCACTGTGAAATATGCATTGATCGTCGGCAAAGAGCAGCTCATTGAAGTCCTCCTGTTTATCGACATCTGTTGGTGTTATGTCCATTTTATTAATATTGTCCATAAATATTATGAAAAGTAAAGGTGATAATACACAATCTTGTCTTACTCCTGATGTTACTTGGAACCAGTCTGTGATGCCAGCTCTTGTTCTAATGGCGCTTTCACTTTGTCTATAAATAGCCCTAACACAATCTAAAATTGTTCCATTTATACCGTAGTTTTCAAGAACTTTCCATAATAAATGTCTGTTTACTCTATCGAAAGCTTTTTCTTGATCTATGAAAGCGATGTTCATTTGATGTCTGTGTTCTATTGTCTTTTCGCTAACTTGTCTTAAAGCAAAAATAGCGTCAGTACACCCTTGTCTCAGTGAGTATATTCCAAAAAGTCACCACTGATGTTGTGTGAAGTCATGGACGAAGCTGAAGTCACACAAATGGGGTGTGAGCAGTAAACAAACTTTCAAGCTTACTGCATTGGCTACTTCAATAGATGGCCAGCTCATTGAATAGCACCATTCCTAGTGCTCTTGGGGATCAATAGATTAGGACAGCTTGCTACCCAGAGTCCATTCTTCAGGAAATGGGAGAAAGAATTGCAATTGCCAGGAAAGAATGCCACATAAATGTTAAAATTATGTAGAAAAGAAACACACGCATGAAATAATGTATGTCAGTACAGAACTTGTACAATAAGCTACATTACAATAATGAACTTAGGAAGGCATCTGTGGACCTGTCTATGATACACTGAAAGGAAGTAATCCATTAATAACTTTTTTTTTTTAATTTATATGTGTGTGTTCTGAAGCATTGTGTGTTTTTCTCATAACTAAACAGGTGACCGTTTCCGACAGAGATGTCGTATGAATCCTGCCCTAATCAACTGTTGTACCATTGATTGGTTCGATGATTGGACAGAGAAAGCCATGCTGAGGGTTGCTAGAGTATTTCTGGCTGATACAGAGTTTATTGCAAATGAGTCTGTGTATAACTGGGAGGTGAGAGAGTTGACTTGATTAAATTATTGATTTTTAGTTTCCTAAGAAAGATGACACTGATGTTGTGCATCATTTTTTATTTTAAGGTGCCTTTTTAAAAAACGAAATCCCTGTCATTGGCACCCATGTCTTGCAATTTCCTCCAGATTTGGGGTGTCCAGTTTGTTGTACTTGAATACTGGCTCAGAGTGGCAAAAAGGGAAACCACTTTGATCGTCATCAGTCAGCGGGTTCTTTACAGAACATCGCTCTTGCCATCTCACACCAGAAAGTCGCAAATTCTCCAGCCTTATGTGCTTTTATAGTGGTGCATCCAGTGTCTTAAATCCATCTTTACGGAGATGGGTCTCAGCCTTTTCTGGAAACTGTATCCTTTATTACTGTTTGTTCCAGGCCACCATGTTGTTTAACATGGCCATAATATCTTAGCTTTCAGGATAGGATGTACCTTGATAACATTAAATAGTACAGGAATGACTTTAGCTGGTTTTAACATGGCTTTGTTCAACATCCCCATACAGTAAACACACAAGAATCCATCAGTAGTGTATGCCAGAAGTCATTGTGTGCCTTGTCAATAGACATGAGCATCCATATTTCTGTACAGATCTGGGTCTTTAGAGTTCTGATTATTTCTGTTGATGATATTCCTTCATGCCACTATGTTATACCATCATCTTATACTCCATTTCTCCAATGCCTATCTTCTCATTATTAGACCAAAGAGCACTTTTTCTCACTGTTGCCTGTAAAATTCTACTTCCATGAGTCTATTTTATGCAAACGTTGATAGTTACTATCTTTTTGGTTAACACTTCAGTACTGTCTTTCTTGTCGGTGTCTGTGGCTTTTAGGAATTGTTAACATGCTTTGTAATTCCGGGGTGCCGGGTTCAATCCCGGCTGCAGACGATTTGTCTTGCATTAGGTTTAACTGTAGTACCAAGTGCTCACCGTTCAGAAAGCAGTGGCAAACTTCTGAACGTAACATTTGCCTAGACAAACCAGAACAGCCAAACAATGCTGGAGTTGGTTCTGCAAACGTCCTGTAAAGGATACGCAACTAAGTTTTTACTGTCTTTTTGACAATCAGTGTTAAAGATACTTTTCATGCTCTGCAAAGGCTTGGCCTTTTCTGCTCTTATCTCTGTCGTACATCTTCCCTCTGATGTTATGAATACCTCCAAATATATTTTGCTACCTTTGTTCAGCCATTTCATCATAATATTGACTTGTTTACCTTGGAAAAGGTTTAGGTAGTTAACCCATTTGCGAATGCCATGTAGATTGTAGGGCTATGTAGATAGTGGGTTTGTAAGACCGAATACGTCATAGTTTCATCACTAGGGCTACAGAATGTGTGATTTATGTGATACTCTTATCAGGCACCTGAATGTTCCTCAGAGCTAGGCCAAGCCATATGGGATAAAGTAAGTAAGTAAGTAAAGATCCCTTTTCACGCCTTTCGGCGCATCGGGCATATGGGCGGAGCGTTCCATATTTTTTACAGACCAATCGGCACTCGGTGGGAAATTTGGTCATTATGCCGGCCGTCTTCACTTCCCCAGGTCATGTGGGATAAAACCTGATGTAAATCAATCCTTTCAACTATACACTTTTTTAAAAACCATTTCACCTTTGCCAGATCTTTCTTGTGGGATTTTATTGTATATTTCTGTCCCCCCTCCCTTTTTTCCGTGCTTTATCTACATGAAGTTTGGCTATTGTGCTGCTGTCTTTGGGAATGTTACATGATGAGCGCTAATCTCTTCCAAGGTTTTAATCTTATCTTGTACTACTGTCCAAAAACCATTTAAAAAATGTTGTTGGTTTTGGTTTTTTAACTGTCCAGTGTGGAACTTGAACTCTAGTACTCGGAGATCATGAAATGGTTAAATGCATTTAGTAACTTACAAGCCACAGAGCCATAAGATTAGCTTAGTGGTTTCTTAAATATTAATTTTGTCATCTGCAGAAATTAACAGAGCACACTGCACAGATTTGTGTGGAGATTCACAAAAGCATATCATATATGAGTCGCAGATTTTGGGAGGAGAGTCGAAGACATTATTACTCTACTCCAAGCTCGTATATGGAACTGATTCGCCTGTACTCTCGCATGCTTGCAGACAACAAACAAGAATTCACACACAACAGGTTTTGCTTTATGTGTTTGATAATGTTACAAAATATCATATAACTCTGTGATAAAATGTCTTCTTATTGTATGGTAAAATATCATTCCATTGTGTGATAAAACTTCATGTTATTGTATGGTAAAATATCATTCCATTGTGTGATAAAACTTCATGTTATTGTATGGTAAAATATCATTCCATTGTGTGATAAAACTTCATGTTATTGTATGGTAAAATATCATTCCATTGTGTGATAAAACTTCATGTTATTGTATGGTAAAATATCATTCCATTGTGTGATAAAACTTCATGTTATTGTATGGTAAAATATCATTCCATTGTGTGATAAAACTTCATGTTATTGTATGGTAAAATATCATTCCATTGTGTGATAAAACTTCATGTTATTGTATGGTAAAATATCATTCCATTGTGTGATAAAACTTCATGTTATTGTATGGTAAAATATCATTCCATTGTGTGATAAAACTTCATGTTATTGTATGGTAAAATATCATTCCATTGTGTGATAAAACTTCATGTTATTGTATGGTAAAATATCATTCCATTGTGTGATAAAACTTCATGTTATTGTATGGTAAAACGTCATCTCATTGTATGATAAAATTTCATTCTATTGTGTGATAAAATGTCATGCCATTGTATGGTAAAATGTCATTCCATCGTGTGATAAACTGTTGTGTTATTGTATGGTAATATGTCATGTCATTGTATGATAAAATGACATTCCATTTGTCATAAACTATCATGAAACTGAGTGATAAAATGTCTTGTGTATGGTAAAATGTCATTCCATTGTGTGATAAAATGTTATGTTATTGTAAGGTAAAATGTCATGCCATTGTAAGGTAAAATTTCATTCCATTATGTCATAAAATGTCATGTCACTGTGTGATAAAATGTCATGTCATTGTATAGTAAAAATTAAAGGACCTTTTTCCATGCCTTTAGGCGTATAGGGCATATAGGGCTAGACATAAATTTTATAGACCAATCAGCACAAGATGGGTGATGTGGTCAGCATCACGCCAGCTGCCTTTACTTTCCCGGGACTGCACCCGGTACCAACTCAAAGCTGGGTCAACCTGGGAGCCAAGGTCATTTTTGAAAAAAGTCTGGCTCCACCAGGGAGCGAACCCACGACCTTCCGATTCACAGCGAGTATCTAGTTGCTCGGCCATGGCGACTTCCTCGTGTCATTGTATGCTAAAATGTAATTCCATTGTGTGATGAAATGTCATGTCATTGTGTAATAAAATGTCATGTCACACTGTGTTAAAATGTCATATCATTATATGGTAAAATATTATTCCATTGTGTGATAAAATGTCCTTTCATTGCATAGTGAAATGTCATGTCATTGAATTGTGTGATAAAATGTCATGTCATGGTGTGAGAAAATGTCATGTCACTGTGGTTATCCAGGACTAGGATCATCATAGCTCAGATATTAGTCTAGTTTCTCACGTGGGTGTGTAGTGTCAGGATCCAAACCCATACACTCACAATACAATTTTTCAAGTTCACAATAACAAGAACAATGATTAATTTTCCTCCAGAAATCGTCTGCAGAATGGTTTATCAGCATTATCAGATGCATACGCAATGGTTGGTGTCATGCAGGAAGAGTTAGTTTCTCTTGGCCCGGTCATTGTTGCTAAAGCTAAGGTAGGCAAGCTAAGTGATGGTGTTTGGTTGTGTACACTTCAAACACTTACTGGACATGCTGACCTGTGCTTTATTTTGCATTTGTTATGCTAGGGCATGTAGGCGTAAGTGAAAATGTTCAAGCAAATAGACTTTCAAACAGGGTACAACTCGGATGGGTATATGCAACAGACCAGGCTGACATATTGAAAACTCTACAAGAGATAGGATGATTGCGTGAAACAGATGATGACTAAATCTGGAACCATGACCATACTGCAAAATCGGCAAACAAAAATGAGTGGAGCCAGACAAGAGAAGAATACAGGAAGACAAAGAAAAATGAAAAACCAGCACAGAACTGTGTGCAGAATTATATTTGGGACACTGAAACATTCAGTTAGAAATTTGATTGGAGAATTATTAGTCTTGTCACAGCTTTATAATATAAATTCAAAACATCTTTGCAGTTATCCATGTTCAATAACAGTTACTATTAAAACTTTGGATTTTTTCTTTGCGTTCAGTTTTTTATGCTCAGATCAGACCATCAGGTGGGTTGCCTCTATGAACTCCCGTGTCAGCAACAGGTTCTTCATGGTTCCCCATAGCTGGCTCTGCACATTTTGCTCTTGAGGCCAGGTTTCTTTTCGAAGTTGTAGGTAGAGTAAGCAGGTCTGCAGACTGTGCTCAGTTGTTTGTGGTCCTGTTTGACAGGCACACTGTGGGTACTGTACACTCTTTATTTTATGCATGTCGTAGTTGAGCCTGTTGTGTCCTGTTCGTAGATGGAGAACTATTGTATGTTGCTTTCTATTGAATCTGCTATTGGGGTCTTGTGGATGTTTACTGCTGGTTTATTCTCTCCACAATTATTTGTATTTTCCATTGATTAGTGTTTTGATTTCTGGTAATGACAATGAATGGGTTTTGTTTCTTGTTTGTTTCATTTTTTTTTTTGCAAGTCTGCTAACTCATTTCCTAGAATGTTGCTGTGAGCCGGGATCCACTAGAGAATGATTTGTCTGTTTAGCTGCCGGGTCAGTTCTCTCTCCATGTTGTGGATCCTTCTGAGTCGCCTAAATGACTGACATGCAGTCACAAAGAAAAACAATTTTGCTGTTTTTAATTTTTCTTTGAAGCACTTTGGTTGCATTAATAATTTCTTGCAGCTCTGCTCTGAATTTGTTGAGAGTCTTCCAGAGGTGCATGCTGTTTCTACTATGGTCCCATCTTGCAGCATGATGACCGATCCAGCTCCTCCTTTTTTTTCTGTTCCCTCCAATGATTCATCAATGTAAATGTGTGTCCATTCAGGTTTTGGGTAAGAGTTGTAGACATGTTCAAGGGTCTTTGCATGCAGAACTAGGTCTTATTCTTCAGCCTTTCTGTCTATGCCTGAAATTGTTTTTGTGACTGTATAGTTAGGCTGTAGGTCTATGTTGTATGCCTGGATCATTTCCCAGATTGAACGATCTTTAGAAAGGATGTCACTGTTTTTTGATAGTACAATTTTGATAGATGATGAAAGCTTTGTTTTTTTCAGTCAGTTTTTAGTTCAGTTGTTTGCTATTCTGAGCATGGAGTTGTTGTACATGCATTAAAATTGTTCTGTTAGGGTAAGCATCTTTTCTTCCCTTCGATGGCTAAAGCTTTAGAGGCCAGAAGTTGCCTCCAGCTCATTGATTGGTGTGCTTCTCGTACCTCCAGTGATGATTCTGAGACCAGTGTTCTGTATTTTGTCTGCTTTGTATAGGTTTAATAAGGCTGCAATGGAGTGGCTTCCATATCATTCTCCAGTATTGGTCATATGTATCCTGTGTGTACTTGTCATACAGTTTTGGCATCTGCAACCCAGCTTATTCCAGTAAGTTTCTTCATAAGTCTGAGCTTTCCTTTGGATGTCTTAAATGTGAGGTCCTCAGGTTAGTCTTTTGTCAAATATTACTTCAGATATGTGGAATTTTCCTCTTTTGGAAGGAGGTTGCCCTCTATGTACAGATCAGCTTGTTCTAGCTTTGTGGAAAGAGAGAAGAATGTTGAGTCAGTTTTGGTCTGGTTTATTGTGACTCCCCAAGGGTCTGTTCATTTACTGTATTTATAGCTTCCTGCATTCTTGTTATAGTTGTTCCTATATGTTCAGCTTGGGTCCATATGGCCAGGTCATCTGCATGTGGGACCTTGTGAATGTGGGTCGTGAATTGTTTTGGAAGGTCACTAATGAATATAATAAACAGGGTAGGAGACCTTCTGGTAACCTGACCAGCTTGCTGTTGTGTACTTCCAGTCGATTCTGGCACAGCATTTGTAAAAAAATTCTCTAATCCAGGCAAACATATGCCCTTTCATCCCACTGTGTGCTGGTTTTAGCAAGAGTCCTTTCTTCCAGACCTTATCAAAGGCTTTGGTCAGGTTGAAGAAAGTAGCTAGCGGTTTTTTCTGGAAAGCATCTTCAATTTCCAAGCAAGCTGAAATGCATGAGGTCCGCAGCTACATCACAGCTGTCAGATCACTAAATAATTTGTATTCATTATTTTTATTCACTTTTCTTGCAAAATAATTTTCAAAGTAAAGGAATTAATTGTGAAACATAAATGGAGCAAAACATTAGGATTTACTTCCCTGTGATCATGAAGTGGGGTCTGGGGGGTTGGGGTAACTTAGCAAGTGTAGCCACATGAGGTCATTATGGGATAATTTTGACATAACGATGCCATCAAAATTTTTTTTAAAGGATTTAATTGAATTTTTCAGAGCATTTGTATTCTTATAGTCTATTTTTCATTGTCTCCACCTTTGTTCACAAACATTTATCTAAATGCAGTCTAATTGTGTGTTGTACCCAGGACACTGAGGATTTACTGAAACAATTAGAGGAAGACAGACAAGCAGTGAAGGAGATAGAGGATATTGTATCTCAGGAGGAGAACATCATGTCTAGAGAGACACAGATAGTCCAGGATTATGCAGATGTAAGGTGTCCCATTTGTAAACATTTTTTTGATTTTTATGTGACTATTTTTAAAATGCCGGTTAGCGGGGTAGGGGTATCCCCTATCAAAGGAGAAGTAAGACGCCTCCTTTCCTCCGCTAGTCTACGGGACACCCTTGGGCAAGGTGGAGTACCCGTTTAGCCCCCCAATCAGGGTTACGTGAAGCCATGGAAGCAGGTGGTGGATGGAGTGTAAGAGCAGCCGACAGGTATTGTTGGTTATGGTCTGCACTCTGCGGCGATAGGCAGATGATCTCATCAGTAGAGACAATGGCTATGGCCACCGACTAGTATAGTCACTGCTCAGGAGGAAAGCAACGGCAAACTACCTTCTGCAAATTTTGCCAAGAACCCATAACTTACTTTTTAAGAGGAACAAGAGATCATATATTCAACATGCGTTTAATAATAGAGAAGTGTAGAGAATTTAATGTAAATCTGTTCTTATGTTTTGTGGATTATTCAAAAGCATTTGACTGTGTACAACATCAGAAGCTTTGGGAAATCATGAGGAATATGGGCTTTCCATCACATATAGTGCAGCTCATTAAAATGCTCTATCAAGACCAACAAGCAGCAGTCAGAATAGATGGAGAGACATCAGACTGGTTTGGCATCAAGCAAGGAGTCCGTCAGGGATGTGTGCTGTCACCGTATTTGTTCAACCTGTACGCCGAAAATATAATGAGAAATGTAAGAGATGATATAAACAAGGAACAATATGATGCCCTAAACATCGGTGGTCATGAAATACCAGAAATTCGTTATGCTGATGATACAGTATTACTATCAACATCACAAAAAATGGTTTAGAAAAAATTATTAACCTCACTCCAAAGAAATAGTGAAAATCATAACTTATTTCTTAACACAGCAAAAACAAAAGATAATGCATACAAACAAAACTGCCATGGAGAAGGAAAATATATGTTAATGAGGAAAGATTGGAAGTGGTGGAAAATTTCGAATATCTTGGGTCACTGTTTACCAACAATGGTGACACAATGAAAGAAATTAAACGGCGACTATCAATTGCTCTTCAAAGACTAAAACAACTGAATAAATTATGGAATTGTACAGATAGAATTACAAAGGTCAGATTTTTAAGAGCATGCATCTTTCCCATTGCAACATACGCCTGTGAGACCTGGACACTTACTAAACAAGCGGAACAGCGCATAAATGCATTTGAATATAAATGTTACAGACAGGTTCTAAGAATATCTTGGGTAAAGAAAAGAACAAATGCATCCATACTTCAAGAGCTGAATATTGAAGAGGGTTGGCTAGTAAAGACAATAAAACAAAGAAAATTGAAATATTTTGGTCACTTGAAACGTCATGGAGGTCTAGAGAGAACAATAATGGAGGGGTATATGCCTGGGAAGAGAGGAAGAGGAAGGCCAAGGAGAAGATGGGTGCAGGATGTGGCAGATGATCTCCAGATGGGTGTATCAGACGCAGGACATCTTGCTCATGATAGGAAGGTTTTCCGGAGGGTTGTTATGGCAGCGAGGTTCCGCGAGAGACATGCTACTGAATGAATGAATGAATTTTTAAAATGTGAACTTGTCTTGTAATGTTTCTTATTTGCTTTTCATTTTTATCTTCAGTTTTGTTATCTCCTTAGATGACACTTTTATTACCATATTTATCATCAAGCGTACATATTATCAATAGCTGTTTATTTTATATTAAATGTCGAAGAGCAAACTAAACCAGTAAAATACTTTACCGAAATATCTTTTTTCAAATTTGTCTGCATGTTTGAAACTATGACTTCCTGTTCTGTGGAGTATTAAAGTCAAAGTAAAGATTCCTTTACACGCCAGTGGCCCTTCGGGCATTTGAGGCTATATTCATATTTTTATAGACCTCGATGGTTGATGGGGTCAGTAGCACGCCAGCCGCTTTTTCTTCCCAGGACTTTACCTGGTACCCATTTACGACTGGGTTGACCTGACAGCCAAGGTTCATGTTTGAAAGAATCATTCTGCATGCGGATTTGACCCTATGATTTTAGGATCTGCAGCTGAGCATCTAGCAGCTACACAACGATGACTCCCTCTGGGAGCATTAAGTTAATTAGTTAGTTAGTTGGGTTATCATCATTGCACTCCGGACATGTCCATAGGTGCTCAGATCCTCCCCTCAGTATGAACCCCAATGTCTGATGGCTAATAGTACCAGTTCTGTGTTGATTAACAAGTCTTCTGGTGTGTCTGGTGTGGGTCTCATTTTTTGCTGTCTTAATTCCCAAGTCTGCCATTCTGGCTAGTGATGTGGATTCACTGCTCCCAAAGTCCTCTATCCTTCCCATTACGTTAATGTAATTCCATAACTGTTATTCTCATAATAATTTGAGGGGATAGGGCATCATATACATTATATTCATGATATTGTGAGCTGAAATGACCGGCTGCATGGCAAGCTGCATGTGGTCAAGGCCCTTTGGGAGCAACTGAACAGTGAGGAGGTATGGATAGATCATTATGGTCTGAAGAGAATGATACAGCCAGTAGTGACCAGAGAATGTTGTTGAAACTCAGAGGAAAGGTAAGACAGACATATAAGAAAAATGCTGCTGACACTATTGGAATTGAAACTCTTCGTTGGCTGAAGATGCAGACAGAGCACTTATGGGAATGTCCCACATTCTGTGATGTCAGTTTTTAGCTGAACACTCAACTTTGTCCTGGACATGCAGGAGAACACATCATTACATGGCTGACTAGCTTCTAAACACCTACAATAGAATATTTTCAAAAAGACATACCTTCAGTATTGAATGCTATCAAGGAAAGATGTGTGCATAATGGCAGAACATAATCAGTGAGGCAACTACATGCAGGTGATAGAATATAAAACACAACCTGGAACAAGTGATGCATTCAGTTGCTGGGATGAGTTAAAAAAGTGTATCCACCTAGAGTACTACATGGGTACTATCTATATCTGCTAATGGAGACATGGTGCTTAGGGCAAGTTAACAACCAAAATCAAGTTAGAGAATGTGTGAAGAAGAAGCCGCAGTTAATTAGTACACATATTTACTCCAGGAATGTGAATCAGACTTGACTTCAGTTCTACCAGTCCTTCAAGATGCTATTACCTCCCTGGAGACTTTAGATAAAGCCTCCATCTCTGAGCTTAGGTAAGTATATATGTTAAACACATTTCAGTGTTTATTCTTTCTAAGATTTTATGTTATCTTTTATAAAAGTAGTTTGCAACTTTCAAGATGTCATACAGAGCTAATCTGGACGTATAGAATTTAATGGACAGTCAGCTGATTGGTGTGAAATTATGCAGAAGCTGCGTGGATATGGTTTTACAGAAGAGTGATAAGAACATTGACACTTTAAAAAAGCTTAATGGTGCTTTTTTTAAAGATGTTACTCACATCTGTAAACAGCAATATACATTTGTTACCCACATCTGTAAACAGTAATATACATTTGTTACCCACATCTGTAAACAGCAATATACATTTGTTACCCACATCTGTAAACAGCAATATACATTTGTTACCCACATCAATAAACTGCAATCTACATTTGTTACCCACATCAGTAAACAACAGTCTACATTTTTTACCAACATCTGTAAACAGCAATATACATTTGTTACCCACATCAGTAAACAGCAATATACATTTGTTACTCACATCTGTAAACAGCTATATACATTTGTTACCCACATCTGTAAACAGCTATATACATTTGTTACCCACATCTGTAAACAGTAATATACATTTGTTACCCACATCTGTAAACAGCTATATACATTTGTTACCCACATCTGTAAACAGCAATCTACATTTGTTACCCACATCAGTAAACAACAGTCTACATTTGTTACTCACGTCTGTAAACAGCAATATACATTTGTTACTCACATCTGTAAACAGCAATATACATTTGTTACTCACATCTGTAAACAGCAATATACATTTGTTACTCATATCTGTAAACAGCAATATACATTTGTTACTCACATCTGTAAACAGTAATATACATTTGTTACATCTGTAAACAGCATTATACATTTCTGACACATGATGTGAAGCAGGAAACTGGAATACATCATGATGACAGACAAACTGGAAGAGGAGAGAGGAAGAAGGAAACCAAAAGACAAGACTAGACAGTCTGGTATGAAGGAACATCTATATCATAAATGATCGGTAGTATACAAGACAAAGCTGTGAACAACAAAAAGACCTGTGCTCAGCACATAGACTTCAAGAATTTACCACAGTTGGCACCTGGAGGCCAGCACGTTTTTACACTGAATACTGAGGTCTAACTGGGTGTTGTCTGTCTAGACCTTTCAGTTTGTTTCCTTACTGAATAGTTCTCAGCACATTATCTGTTCAACTTTGTCAAGTTAGCAACTAGGAGTTTTAGAACTGTTATATAGCTTCTCTGACTAACACTGACTTGTTTTTCTTCAGGGTATACACCAACCCACCCCAGCTGGTGGCTACAGTGATTGCTGCTGTGTGTGTGCTGTTTCAGAAGAAGACAGACTGGGCTACAGGAAAGTTATTCATAGGTGACCCACAGTTTTTAAAGCTGTTACTGAACTTTGACAGACACAGTCCATCAGACAGGGTAAGCTGGAGACAAATGTCAGTTGGTTTGTTTCTGTGCCTAAGTTTATTATTTATAACTTTTCAGGATGGAATATTTTTGGGGGGTTTAGACAAAATGATTTTGAGCAGAATTTTTTTAACCGCACCATTACAAGGCTAAAGCCTTCCAGGAGAAAAATTGAAGGCTGTATATAGACATATTATGTATCAGATTAAAGAGAAACAAATACATAATACATCTAAACTACTTAGGATTAGTATTGCAACAACAGAATATTACAATAACACACATTTTCAAGGATGTTAGACGCACATGAAGACTTTTGACACATGAAGTTTTGTACATACCTTACTTTTTTAAAATTTGATCAGCACTCCATTTCAGCTATCCATTTCTAAAATTTCACAAGCCTTCTTAATTCAATTATGCATCAGCTTATCTTAATTTGAAACAATCTAAATATTCTGGATTTTATAACCATTTTTGTGAAATATGTCAAATTTCACAACCGATTTCCAGACACAGCTGATCAAAATTCGAAACAAGGAATATCCAATGAAACATTCTGTTTGATTTCATTTCAACCCATATTATTGATGGCAATAGGTGCTGCACTTGCATTATTAATCATGATGTCAAGACTTTTATTGCCACCATTTGGCTGAGATTCATCAGCGACAACAGCAGGATGGGTCTAGCTGTTTTATTGTTCTGGTTTGTCTTACAATCTTCGTAAGGAAAAATCACAACAGTTGTAATCCAATGATTTAATTTTAAACGAATCAGAAATTAATTCTGTCACTAGGCCTCACTTAAAAAATGAATTTACTTCCTGTTGCTAATTCTAGGTTCATATAAATTCATTTTCCTACCAAATGAAACAATATTATAATGTCTATATTGAGGGCCGATAAATCGGCATATGTGGCAAACAAGACGGATTCTTACTCCCATTGATCAGCGATATGTCCGAAAAGTTTATTTAATTTATGGTAACTCTCTACTTTAGATTTTCACTATTCTGGTATCATAGAGTGTGTTCTTTGGAGTTTTGAAATTAACTTATATCTATTCAGATGTTATTTAGCGTACTAATTAACATGCACTAACAAAGAAGAATAGAAATACTGACATCCTAACAGATCGGAACATCAAGGAAGATTGGCTAATAAACATCATCTTATCTCAGAAACTGAAATATTTTGGCCATATCAAGCACCATGCAGATTAGGAAAAAAAAATAATACCAGGTAAATGGTACCAGGAAGTACGAGCGGGACTGACCAGCATGGATGGCTGTAGGATATAAGTCTGGTAGTCTGGTAGTCTTAGTTTCAGCTTCATTGCAAATAGGTCACCCCATAGTTGCTCCGCTCCTGTGCCGACGAAAAACACACATAATGTTTATCACAGTCCCTTGCGGAAAGATTGACAGACTGCTGTCTCAGCATATTTAGCATACACACGCATTAAAGCATACGGTAGCCATCCGTTCATCATTGATGGTAGCAGAAGTCACCAACAGATCAGCAGTTGCCGATGCGATCAATTTTAATCACATACGGGCACCACCAACACTGCGACGACAGGCATCGCAGTAGCGCCATATTCTGAATCTACAATTCACACCACCATGTTAGTCACATTCGAAAAAACATTCCAAATGAAATCCACAGCTCACAGTGTTACGCCATGGATTCAACTCAGAAGCTGAGCGACGAAACTATATCCAGTCTACAAATGGAGCAAAAATGCATCGGCCACCGTCCAGCAGAAGCAAAAAATTTGCCTCGGCTCCAAACAGTGCCCCTGCCTAGCGTCCATTTTGACCAGAAGTTTCTCAATCAGGATAAAAAGTGACACCCTGGGTGGGAAGTGCATGAGGCGGGAGAGCTGATGAGAGACCTGAGTTTTCTTCATGCAGACTGTGATGAGAGCGACATTCTACGGAGAACCTGCTACATGATGAATTAACGTGTATTGCTAAATCTCACACTCACAGCTGAGTAATAGAAAGCCATAACTTGTTCAAAGAAAATCCAATTTTGTTTTTTCAGAATATCACAAGTGATCTTTTCTGCCTTTGATTAGATTATATTAGTAACACTAGAACAGATAATACATTTTAAAAAATCCTTTTGCACAGGAAGAAAGGGGGTGGGGAATCATAAACAAAATAGGATAACAGGGAAAGTGACAGCAGACAGGTGAAGTGCTGAGCATCTGAGGAGTTCAGCTGAGTTGAGTTGATTCAAGAACCGACATCACCGACATCAAATCTGAGATGAAGCATATTAAATAATGGGATGTCAACAATGGTCCTGAAATCCCCAGCTGTAATTATGGAAGACTTCTCAACATAAGTAGTTTTTGCTTACAACACTTTCCAACTTTATAGGCTGGTATTGCTATGCCTGCACAATATAATTTATTGTCTGGAATGACTGAGAGCTGCCCACTATTGCTTATTATGAGAACCAGCGAAATGTACTCAGAACCTTTCTATTATCTCTGTCAGCTGCTAAACAATTTGTATTGGCCTCATGGCTAGTGCAGTTGCCACGTACTGTGCATGCTAGGAATTTTATTTTAGCTTCTGACAGAAAAGATATCAAACAAGGTCTTCTTCCACAATAGAGTTGAGCATTCCAGTCACTTAATCATAGAGTTATAAAATTGGACACATTTTAAAAGAAAATACATTTAGGCACTGTGATTTTGGTCACATGTGTGAGGGAAATTCATCCTTTAAAAACAATAGCCACATAAACCAACCGGCCATAGAAAAGTCAAAAAAGAAAAACAAGAAAAACCTACCCAATTAAGACGAGGGGAGGCTATTCTAGTAGAAGACGGGTAGAAGAACCCACAGGGGCATAGAAATAATAGAAAACCAAAAAAACACATGGAGAAGGGAGCTAGAGTGTGAATCTAAAAAGATGGGGAGGACATGAGTTGCCTACGATAGTAAAGGATAGAATGATTTGGCATGAGTTGGTATGCTCCATTGGGGGTTAGAAGGCAGAAGAAAAAGAAAAGTTGCATTCAGTTGAGTTAAGAACCTATCTCGTATGGCAGTTTTGTCACGCACCTTTACTTCCGGATTGCTTTCCCAAAATCCTCAGGTGATCTGAGATATGGGTGTTCTGAATGGTGGCTCTCGTTTGTCTAGAGGCCTAACCCTCAGTTCAAACATCCATTTAGCCTATCTCAGGAATGAGGTGACTCGAGCTCTGACTCCACAGGGTTTATATAAACTCTTGGGTACCACTCGGCCAGACATTCTCATTACTAATTTTGCTTCCAGACTGGTAAACGACGTTAACACAGTCGAATAAATAAACAACAGTTGATAAGACAAGACATTATTATCATCCCAACGACCACAAGTAACTAGATCAACTCAACTTCGTTCAAGAACAAGAAGACTTCCGAACAAAGATCATAGTGTAATAGAGTGTTGAAACAATAAGAGACGACATATTCCACTGGAACCGAACGAAAGTTCAACTTGAAGTTGCAGAACTAGAATTAATAGACAGGTCTGCATCAGGTGCCACCAACAGATCCATATTCATCACTGCACTGAGAGAGTAGTGAGATAGCTCGAGGTTCAAGAGCGGAGGTCGTCAATATTCCTTGCAGATAACTGGACTTAGCTTATGGGGGTCCTCAAGTGTATCATCAACAGAGGAATGTAAACTTCTGTATTTTCTTAATTCCTCAAGCAACTGCGTAAAGAAATAATTCTCTTCTCTTGTGACGAAAGGAAGGATTGATTCGTCTCTCGGGTGTCAACCGCAGCATGTAGACCACATACAAGTCGACAATCACTGCTTAACTTCTTCAGCATAGTACCTCGGGCTTTAAAAAAAATTAGGGTACAATGTTACTTAATGCTCCGGCACTCTACGTGGACATAACAAAGGAAAGGATAGTCCGACTGTAGCTTTGGCACTTGTTGGATTCTCCGGCATCCCATGCAAACGAATGTTTTCAAAGAAAACGATTAACAATCAAGTGGCCATAGTGCCAAGACACAACTGTTCACTCAAACGGGCTAAGTAGAAGTGATGTACAGAATTCTAGTCCCTAACTACGACAGTTAAGGCGAGGATACGGCTCAAGCACGCAGTGAAGCGGTCAAACTATTAAGCTTGAACAGGCGCAGAAAATGTGTCGTATCATACATATTGACACTATACGCCAAGAAGGATCAATCCAGGAGCGATTTATATAGGTTTCTCACAGCTAGACTCCCCAACAACAAACAAACTATATATCTACGGACAGACTATCCGAGATTATAGATACACACTATTAATATAGGGGTGTCCAGACTGTGGGCAGGTCTATTGTGGTAGGGGAGTTACTGCTGTTATGTGACAACCTACATTATAATAGCGCTTAGGATATTCCTTTTAGCACACTATCCCCATCGTAAGCAGCTAGCATAGAGTTCCAATTCCGATGATACCTTTAGTATTCTGATTGTATGTCCATCTTGCCTTTCCCATAAGTGTTGGCCAGATCACCTGGACATTGCCCACTGCATGGTTCTCCACAGACTGTGATGATCAATTTGTACCTTATTAACACAGCTTAATATTTCTCAGGTCTATGCCAAATTGAAGAAGTACACAAAAGACCCTAATTTTAACCCAGAAACTGTCGGCAAAGTGTCACTTGCCTGCAAATGCATTTGCAGTTGGGTCCTGGCTATTGACAATTATAACACAGTCTACAAGGTAAATAGAAAAAAGAAGTTTCTGTTTTACTTTCTGACATACTCAGTATTTCTTCCATTTAAAAAAAACAATAAAGAAATCATGTAATGTGAAAACAAAAATCATTTTTGCAGATTTGTTATGTTCTCAGTGTAACTATTCAGGAGAAACTGCTGAACTTTGTCCCTTTTGTAAATGTTGGGAATTCTAATGGATTGGATGCCTATCTAACTATTGCATTAGAAAAATTATGTAGCAGATGCACAAAGAAGGAAATACCATTGTGAGAAATAATGAGCATTACTTACAAGAAGGCATATGCAAATGACCACAAGAGAAACCAGACTTCTTATTATTATCTGACCAAATATAATCATTTAGACCAAAAATTACACAGAGGTTGGAATTTAGAGAAAATGATCTCTCATTGGTCATATGTTTTCTCAGACTGAAAGAGTTTCCACTCATAAATGTTGCTTCCACCAAAATATCTACTTCAGAACTACATACAATGCTTAAGTTAAAAGAAGAATGGAATACTTATAGGTTACACCCGTGTACGATGATGTTGATCCGTTGCATAAACATAAGCCTAATAAACATACAAACTGTAATGTCATAGACATATAACAGTTACTAATGTTTTCATTAGATGGTGACACCAAAACAAAAGAGAGTACATGAAGCAAGAGAAGCACTTAAACTAGCCCAGGACAGCTTGGCAAGGAAGCAGGGGAGTCTACACAAGGTTTGTCTGTTTCAGTAACTACTCTTGTTTCTGTTATTCTTCAATGTTATTTTTGTAAAGAGTGAGTTACACTACTGTTAAACTCTTAAAAGGCTGGAGAGCCAGTTTGGGAGGCCAGTAATGAGAAACTACAAAACATAGTTGCTATCACGAAATCATTGTTTCCTTTACCCCCATGTGTTTATATGTTGCCTTTATAATGGTGTATTACATGAAACCTTATTTGACAATAAAATTAAGGACATTAAAAAAATTTACACTTCAAACATGTGTGAAAACTCAGAGATAACAAATCCAAATATGAGACAGGTTTTATATGATTTTAGAATTAACTTATTGAATACAAGTGTAGTCTAGAAGCAAACAAACTTATCAATACTTCTCTGTTGAAGGCCTTTCTGTGGTTGTGAAAATGTTTGAAACAAAGAACTATGATAAATATGATCCTTTCATCTTCTTCACTTCCAGCTCATGAAAAGCTCTTTGGTGAAATGTCAGGTCGGTCATTAAAAATAAATTTACCTGGGTCAGCCCACTTTAAAATGAGTACCAGGAAATATATTTGGAAGTAAAGGAGCCGATGTGTCATTAACTACATCACAAATCTAGTACCCAATGGTCTGGGGACCAGCACCATGTAAATATGGAAAAGTTTCTTTTTTTTGTTGTTGTTGTTGTTGCTGATGATGTCTTCAGCTTCACCAGATTTAGTCATCAGTTTTTGTATATTCAGATATATGAAATGTTTTATAACCGTATACTCAAAGTATTTGTCTAATCATTTTGTAGTTGAGTAAAATCTTGACCTATTTTGCATCAGATCTGAGTCACCTTGCACTGAATGTCATAAAGCACTGCTAGGGTCATAATGCACTCACTGTCATTACTACTGTAGATCATATATGATTGTACATTACACAGTGTGTTGGTGACTGTATATTGCACAGTGTGTTGGTCATATAGGGGTGGAGATCGCTAGGACTGTAGTGTTGTATAGTACTGTAGTTTTCATAACACTGGGTCACATAGCCGTGTAGGTCAGTTAAGGCTGTAGATCATACAGCTCTGTAAATCTTATTGAAGTATAGGGGATATATCACTGTTTGTTCACCATTTATTCATTTAATATCATCTCTGATTTTCACCATTAAGAACTATCATGAGCTTGAGAATGTAGGGCCACATGACTAGTGCTGTCGCCACAAACTGTGCAGATTAGTTGTTTTTTTTTCCCCTGACATAAAAATAGCCATCATTTTGCCAGGCTCAGACTTGTGTCTCGAGCTTGAGAACCCAAAATTGTAACCGCTCGGTCAGCCACCCCTCAGTCGCCACCTTTCAGTCAGCCACCCCTCAGTCAGCCACCCCTCAGTCAGCCACCCCTCAGTCAGCCACCTCTCAGTCAGCCACCCCTCAGTCAGCCACCCCTCAGTCAGCCACCCCTCGGTCAGCCACCCCTCGGTCAGCCACCCCTCAGTCAGCCACCCCTCAGTCAGCCACCCCTCAACTATTATATAATTACTGTAAATTCCAGCATTCACTGAGAATTAAAGTGACCAGTATTAGGATTGTATTTTTTATTTTAAATCAGTATAATTTTCTGTCATTGTTGCCTGTTTGTCTGCTGCTGTTTCAGATTCAAGATCATCTTAAAATGATTGAACAACAATATGAAGACAGTGTCACCCAAAGAGAAGCCCTCAAAGAGAGACAAAAAATCACAGGTCTGAGGCTGGAGAGAGCATCCATTTTAATCTCTGCATTGGCTGATGAAGAAGTAAGTCAGTAGTCCAGACTGATTTAAAGTTAGTTAGTTGATACATCACTCACTACATATCAAACTGATCAGGCCTTAAGTGCCCAGTTCTTTTTCTCATTTAATCCCCCAGTGTGTAATGGCTGACAACTCCAGTCTTGTTTTGGTTTACTACTTTTCTTTGGCACCTGATATAGTGTTTGGCATCACCATTTTTTTTTTTCCATTTCCGGTTTTTACTGACTAATCACAGTTACAGATTCAGTCATCAGTTGGTTCATGTAGTCGTCTTACTTCTCATATGGCATTTAGCCCATTTCTCATCCTTTATTTCTCAGTGGCTGTGTTTGCAAGGTTATCAGTTTGTATATTTCCTCCTATATAACATGTCCTGAAACAAACATACGACTGCTTCAGAGACTCCAACCTCTTTCTTGGTCTTCCTGGGTATTCTCTTTGAGTCACTGAGAAAACCAGCCCAAGGAAAGACCTGGGCTTTAGTTTAAAGGTTATTCCTTAATAAAGCGTAACCAGGTTTAACAATAGGCCACTGAAAAATCTGGTAAAATGATGTGTTCCAGATAAAAAGGGCTATGTTGTTGCATAATGAGTGCCATAACAATCTGCATTGTATTGTCAGCTCTACTTATGTTAAAACTTTTTAAGTCAGTGGTTTTTTTGTGTCGTATCTCTATAACCTGTCTGATACAGTTTTTTTGTTGAATTCTGCAACAGTCTTATGTTCTTCATGGCTTTTGAAGTATATTGAGATAATGATGGCACTGAACAGGTATGAGCTGCTGAGCTAATGCACACAGAATATCAAACAGCTTCCATGTGTTGTAGAACTGTGCCATTATGTGGGTCAGTTTTCCAACCAGAGAGTATGTTATGTAAAGCCGTACCATAAAAGGCATACACTAAAAGAGGAGAAGGACATAGAGCATGAGGTAGGCCAAGAACAAGATGGAGAGAGAAAATCAGAGAAACTCTACAAAGGCATGATGTGTCTTTAGTCGAGGTGGTCAGGAGAGTTTTTTTTTAAAGTTAGTTAAAGTCGAGAGGATTGCACCGGGTTTTATCCAAATGGCTCGGTCTCTCTTCCCAGAATGGCTAGCTGCCTGCCGAAAGCATAGCACAGAGCATGAGCTCTATAGCTCTGGCAATAATCGCCAGGGACCTCCGTAACAATTGCACTAGTGAACTGATGGGCACAGCGAACCCATGACCTTTAGAGCACTAGACAAACAGCTTGACCAACCTTATATCTCCCTTGACACCCAAAGTGGTAAGAGGAAGTAAAGAAGAAGAAGAGGATAGGGGTGAGTGTTGTTGCTGACAGAGTTGGTGGTTGGTGGCACATTTTGTTTTTTCTGCATCTGTAGCTCTTGGATCTATCCAGCAGGGGAAAAAAAGCACCAGATTATTCTCAGAATGTATATAAATTTTCCTGACGGGAGAGAAGTTAACTTTAACTTTCTGCCTTACCTTATTGATGAACTGCTATTCGGCATACTTGAAGGCATACCTGTTAATCCTGCTCTAATATGTGATGCACCTCTACGATGCCTGCATGATTTCTGTGTAATATTTATTAGATAATAAAAATATCAAGTTGTATTCTTTCAACTAGACTGATCTAAAATGCTTATTATCTTGTATTTACAATTTGATTTGCTGACTGGGGTATTGGAATTAGAATCAGCAATTATTTGTTAATCTTCATTTGCATATTTTACTAGATTCCTAGCTTAAAACCTGACTTCCTCTGTGTAATTAGTGATTACTGAAGACCATCATTACAGCACTCATGACAAATCTATAGGTCCTCCGATCTTCTCCTCTGTAGCTCCACACCCACAATGACTTATCACGCCTGTTCTGTGTTAATTAACGAGATTTCTTGTGCCCTTAGTGAAATGTTCATGTCTGGCAGATCCAGGCTGTGCTCTTAGTGAAATGTTCATGTCTGGTAGATCCAGGCTGTGCTCTTAGTGAAATGTTCATTCTGGCAGATCCAGGCTGTGCTCTTAGTGAAATGTTCATTCTGGCAGATCCAAACTTTACCCATAAACCCACCCATATTTCCACTAACCTGTAAGTGTTCTGTAGGAGCAGTCAGCTTTTCTTGTGCTATTTTTATGCAACTCACTATTTTCCTTCTATGTGAGGATATTATATTTGTGTGATGGATAAATTAGTCGTTAATATTATGATCAAGATAATTATAAATCATTTGTTTTTTCCTGCAGGTCCGCTGGTCTCAGTCCGTTAAATCTTTAGATATTAAGTTGGAGGGAATTGTTGGAGACACACTAGTGACTGCAGCATCTGTTGCATATTTGGGTGCCTTTACTGCTCAGTACAGGAATGAACTAGTGAACCACTGGGTCAGCATGTGTCAAGACATGGAGGTGCCGATATCCACAGATTTTGATCTTCTCAAAATTTTAGTTGATGCAAATCAGGTTTGTCTGATCTTAGAATAAATGAGACAGAAATTGATTGCATACTTTGTGTGTTTTACAATATAGTTGCTTCAGTATAAAAGTATAAACATGTTATTATATTTAAATAATTGCATTCATGTGTAGAAAACATCCAGTAGCTTTTGTTGAACCACATCCTGAAAACTTTGAAAATATTTATATTTGAATTGTAACATTTGAGTTTGTATATGTTCATAGTGTTGAACTCAAAATATCACATTCTGGAGACAAATAAAAAAATTAAAAAAACGCACACACATACACGGAGAGAGAGAGAGAGAGAGAGTATTAAAAAGTAAAGAAAACCTTGAATTCTCTTATGTTAATAATTTGAGCATTGAATTGTATAATTATATTCAGTGATTAATTGAACCCTGAATTCTGTTATTGTATTTAATGATAAGATAGAACTTGAATTCTATTATCATGCTAAATGAAAGGGTTAATTATATTTCTGTAATGGTAGATAAATTAAGCACAGATACCTTAGATCACTCAAATCTGCATCATAAAAAAAATCATCAGTATTGAATAAATTGTATTAGTTCTGTTGATTGACAAATCTACTCATGTCTTTAGTCTGCTGCTCTTTCTGGTTACTTTGAATTTTGATTTGAACTTCTGCATTCTGTTGTGTTGATTCATTTACTTGAAAGTTTCTATATCGGCCTTGCTCAGTCAAGTCAGATGCCCTTTCTTACAGGGAAAGAATCACAGATTAGGTCAGTTTGCTTGTCTTGCTACATCCATGGAGCCAAACCAATCAGGTATTTATTTCTCTGATTTCCTCTTGCTTTCTTTGCGCCAATCTTGCCGGTTGTTGCCAAGTTCTTGAGTCTATTCCTACTGTGATAAACACAGACTACTCTGACATACATGTGCTAAAATATCATAATATTTGTTTATTGTCTGAATAATAGGTAAATACATAAGACTATGTATGTATGTGTACTTGAGTACATGTGTATGCATACACAGTTGTGTTTTTGTATGTATTTCAGGTGATGAAATGGTATAACTGTGGTCTGTCCCAGGACAGACTGTCTGTAGAGAATGCAGCATTTATCACCAAAGCAAGAAAATGGCCACTGTTGATTGACCCACAAGGACAAGGTCTCAGGTAGTAGGGTTATAAACAGGAATAGATTATGTCACACATAATATGAGATTAGTAACCCCAGCTGTGATCACAAGTACCTCCACAGAAATTGCTTTTGTGAACCAAATGACACAGTTTAACCAACAGAATGAAGCCAGAAGGTAGGACAGGGAAAAGAAATAAATAACATTTATTGCAGAGTTGATACTTCATGTCGAGACTTTATGTCATGAAAATGAAAGTAACACACAATAGTAGTAGCCCTTAAGAGGTGGGAATGCAGATAGAGCTTCTCTAAAGTAAAAGAAAGTCATGACGCTCACGTAAAAACCATACTGAAGGGAAAGTCTGAAGGCAGGTGGTCAAGAGATTAACAGTGATAACAGTTTAAAGACAATATTAACCCTGCCGCCCCGAGAACCCTAAATCTAGTTACTTCCAGATGTGACAGTCCCGTATATACCAGAGGTATCAGCATTTATGCAGTTGACTGTTCTCAAAAAATCATAGTTAAATGCCAATGTTGTATTTGCACTTGTGTAGTATTTCCAGGACCCGTATGGACATTATTTTTACTAAAAATAGCATTAAGGGTTTTTGTTCTTTTTTACCATAAGACTTTTTTTTTCTGTAATCACCCTTCATCTATAATTTTAGGCCCGGGAAAATGTAATCCATTTAATGCTACACACTGTTCTATTTATTGATTATTTCCTTTATTTATTTGTTGTGGGGATTTTTCATGTATATAAATAATTTTTTTAAATAATTGTTAGTAGTCCATGTTTTTTGAAGAAAAAAAAATGTCAGACATTTTTGAGGAATTCCCACAAGTTGATCACCTGAGGTGAAAGAGTTAAGGGTTGTGCAAACAGCATTTTATATCTCTGAGAGACAGAAAGTATTGGGAATCAGTTGTAATCAGTCTTTGTTGTGAAGATGGCACATAATTAATTATCTGTAATTGATTGTTTGATTGATTCATTCATTGAGTGATTGATTAATTAAAATCATCAACCCATTTTAAAAAATATGTTGAAATTAATGTAGTTAATTTTATATACAGATGGATTAGAAAAATGGAGGGTCCACATCTGAAGATAGTTGCTGGATCAGATACAAATATTATGCAAACAGTTGTAACAGCCATCAGAGTGGGAGCTCCCTGCCTTCTGAAGGTAATTTTTGACTGATATTATCCCTTTCTTAACATATGACATTTTTTTTCTCCAAATTTAGTTCTAAAAAAATGCATCCTTATAATCAACTTCAACTCTGCCCTAGGAAACTACTGGGGGGGGGGGGGGGAGGGGTGGAGAGAAGCAAATTTGAGTCCTGGTCAGTTTTTATAAAAGGGGTCAAATCTAACCACCAAGCAGATAATAGAACATGAAGCCCGGTGCTTCATTGTGGCCATCAAGTCACACACAGCAATTTTACAATTTTCTTTTTTTAATCATTTTACTTTACAAATACCAAAAATTATATTTTTTTTAATATTAGGGGAAATAATAAACTAAAAAGAACAAAACAGAACAAAGAATTAACTGATCTTTCCCTTTTACCATAATAATAGTGTTTTGTTGACCTAGCCACGTCTAGCAGTTGTACATAATTATGAGATTATTATAATGTCACAATTTTCAAAAAGGCTAATTCCACCCCCCCCCCCCCCATCCCTCTGCCCCAACCCCCTTTCCTCAGTTCTCACTTTTCTGTAAAAGGGGAGTGGTGGTGGGGGGGGGGCATATATAGTTGTACCCACTATGTACACACAATATGCAGTTGTAGCCAGTACCAAAACTGTTATATAGATGTAGTGGCCACTACCCAAGGACTTCAATTTCAGGAAATACCTGTAAATTTTCCTTTAAAAAAATAGCAGAGGAGGGGGGTGTAATACAAATACAATCGACAATGTCATAAATTTCTAATCTTTGAAAAATTATTTTTTTACAGAGGAATGAATGCACATTTTGAAAGTGATGATGTGGGTATGTTTAATGCTGTTATAGTTAGTAGGAAAAACAAGAATTCAGCAGGTCTTAAGTTTACAAAGACACAATTTTACACACACACAAAATTCTTCATTTACTATGGTTTTGCAACCACAAGAGCAGTAAATATAAAAATTTAAGAATAACACTTAAAAGTATGTTCATTTTCCTAACACATTCAACAGTTTTGATAAGTTTCTGGTTGAGTTTATCACTCAAGGGCTCTAGGTTCTTATGGAGTGCTAAACAAAAGTTTTGAAGACAAAATGGCTCAGAAATGAACCATTACTCACAAAATATTTACTCTCTACAGTAGTTATTTACAGACTGTAGCTCCAGTGATTTCGGTACAGCTTAGCGATAGTACGGTAACAATCCTTTGAATGTACAATGATTCTCTTGGCTCTAATTCATGCAGTCTTCTCAGAAACATTGACAAGTACTTCAATTCATCCTGCTTAAAATATGAACATCTGTTGAGAAACATTGAACAACTGATGACAACTGTCGTTTATTATCCCAGTAATATTCCTCGGTCAACATGCCAGAGGTCAGAGGTCTAGAAATATTTTAGAGAACATTAAATATGTTGTTACCTTAATAAAGAAAGCATTTCCAACCATTGACACCTCAAGACTCACCAAGCTGCATTCACAACCTCTTAGACAGCAGACAATGTTCAGCCATTGCAAGATGTCAGGCTAAACAAGATGGCAAGGTTTTCCCGACTCACAGTCGACGCTTGAGCAGAGATTCAGTTGCTTGTCGATTCACTCGACTTTCACTCTGCCAGCACTAAGAGACAATACTGTCCCAGGATCGAAAACAAGACTAGACTACCTCATTTTTCATGGCTTAAATAGCCTCTTCCTTTCCTCTTGAACTTCCAGACTCTACTCAAGCATTCATGTTTTCTTTGCTTAGCATGCTTTTAGCCCAACTGCACTTTTCACTTGTGCCTCGGTTTAAGGTTTAACACTTGGTTTGTTTACACATACATTATTGTCAGTAACACCCACTCTGAATAATTTATGATATGATACTATACTTATGAAGGAGAGGAGAAAATGACCCCTTACATTGTAAATGTGGTGACTATCACATCCTTCGCAAGTGAAATGGGTCCTCTCTTTCTCACTCTGACAAAGAAAGATTGTATAAAATATTCTTCATTTTATGAAATGCCGCCTTTGCTTGAGCTGTTCTGCATTCGGTCTTTAATGCATCTCCTATCTGTTGTTATCAGGGTACCCAAGTAATTGAATCCATTAAATTTGCTTGAAGTTTGACATATTTACTTTGATGTTGCATTTTGGAGGGTCAGTTTCCTTTGTAATTACCACATGCAAGAATTTGGTGATATGTAATTAAGTATTTAACATCTGTTACTAAATTTCACTATCTTCCAGCATGTAAGTAAAACTCAACTAAACACTCCTGTCTAATCATAAAGGTAACAGTTTTGCAAGGTTTAAGTCAATGGTCTCCAACCTGGGTAGCATGCCCCCTGGGGTGGAAGCATGAGGAAGTTTCAAGGAGAAGGGAGGGGGGGGGGGTCAAGCAATTTTACAACTAAGTCCATCTGTATTTAAAATAACAGCCATGAAGACAAAAACAGCACTGCCATCTTGATGTGCAGAGTGGTCTTCATTGTGTCTTGTCCAACATCAGACCACAAATAGCAGATATCATCAAGACAAAACACTGGCAACTATCACAGTGATGTTTGGATACTAAATCACCAGTTGTTTGTTATTGTTTCTTTTATTATGTGGCACTGTGAATTATATGTGTTTTTCTCCAAGTGCTTATTAACATTACCTTTGATTTTCCTTTGTATCCTGCTCTTTTTTTAATCACATTTTGTTCTGTTGGTCGGGGGGGGGGGGGGGGGGGGGGGGGGGGGGGGGGGGGGGTGCAGGTGGTCCTTGCCATACATCAAGAGGGGTGCCAGGTGAAAAAGGTTGGAGAACACTGTTTAGGTGACAGTGAACATAATATTGATTTCTGTTTCCCTGCATTCTTGTATGTAGGTGAGCTGAACTAAACATTTATGTTTGTTACAAGTGGTTACCTTTCTTTTAACATAAAGCAGTAAGGAAGCACAGTAGCATAGTAGCTAGCATGCTTGGCTGCTAGCTTGTGGTCATGTGTTTGAATCCACTTAGAGATGGAAATTTTTCATCATTGACCTCACTCCCAGGTCAACGAAGTCAGGATATTTTCATTTGGAAATGAATGTGATCTCATCAATTTTACTTTCTTGGTAAAACTAACTTCATTACACATTCCTGCCTGTTACTAAAGTTAACTATCCTTCATAAATATTGTTGTTTGTTTCTAGAAGTAAATGCATCATGAAGGTGAAACTAAACTCTCCCAATGGAGCATAGTCTTCAACTAGTTCACACCAAATCGTTCTATTCTTTGCTCTTGCATGCAGCTCACCCCATGTCCTCCCCATCCTTTTAACTTCACTCTCTAGCTCCTTTGTGTTTTTTGGTCTGCCTTTGCTTCTGTGAGCCTGTAATTTCCAGTGCAAAGACATTCTAGTTATATTGTTCTTGTGCTTTATGTACATATATCCTATCCAACACCAGCATCTTTTCATCGCCTCTTGATCAACTGGAATTTGTTTTAGATATCTCTTGAAGTTCCACATTAGTGATCATACCATACCGTTTAATTCCCACTATTTGGCACAGGTATCAGTTAGTGAATGTTTGTAATTTATTGGTGATAGTTTTAGTTGTTCCTATCTGTTACAAGATGTTATTCTCTTGCAGGATGTAGGAGAAGAACTTGACCCAGCTCTTAGGCCAGTATTGTTGCAGGAGACTTTCAATAAAGGTGGACAGCAGATTATGAAAATTGGTGATGTGGAACTAGAGTACAATAAAAACTTCAGGTAGATAAACACTTCTCTGGTTAACACTTCTCTGGTAAACACTTCTCTATCAGCCTGTGATTATTGATGGTGATTATTACATTTTTTATTGTGGCTGTGAGCTTTCAGTTTTCCTATTACCATTTGCCAGCTACTTATAAAGAATGCCTGTTGTAATATGTCTGTCTCTTTGGTGTCGTAAACACAGTGTGTTAGTCACAGTTGCATCTTCACGGCTGTGGAGCCATAATAATGACTCCATTCTTGTGCTAGAGAAAATTACACATAATTCCTATCAATATCCCGTGTGAAGAATGAAACAGATAGCACTCCTGGCAAAAATAAACAGCTTGCTTAATGCATTAGATGCATAAGGCAACCACCTGAGGTACCATCACTAACAGGCTGCCACTAGAACAACAGTTCATTTTCGATGCAGCAGTAGTCATCCCAAACCAGCAGTTACACCGTTGTTTGACCAGTCTGTGTTCTTTCAAGTGAGGCCAAGGACAGAATATGCCACTTGTAAGTTTACGTTTCTGTTGCTAGATATGAAAAGTCTCAGGACTTACTACTGTACACACACAAAAACTCTTTGTGCCTTTAAGGTTTTTACTTTTTTTTCAAATTTCTTCATACCTGTTTCATAAATTGAATGAAAATGCCTGCAAATTGTGTGTAAAATATTCAGAGCCTTATAATTAGTTAAATGGTACAATGAAAAAAATTTTAACTCTGTCACTCAGAAAGGCTGGTGGAGTGGAAATTCCCCTAAATGTCACTTTTCAGACTTGTCGTTAGTGACTTGTTTACTAAACATAATTAATGCTGTTGGCAGTGTTCGTGCTTACACAAACATTTGTAAGGTTAAGATGTGATTACATTAACTAAAAAAAGCATTTAGGGGGATTGTCCTTCAAACAGAATGTTTTTTTTTTTTAAAGCCAAGATAACGTCAAATTTTCTCATAAGCCTCAGTGATAGAGCCACAGACTCACAGCACAAGTCACCTTATACGCATATGTTTACCCCTCCCCTCCCCATTGTTTTCCATTTAATGTGTCACTATGTTTATGGTGTTTTTTGTTTTTAATTACTCCTTTTATGTAACATTTTTGTAATTAAAAAAATGTATATGAATAATTTTTAATGTATTAGTGACCTGTGTAAAACTGGTTTTTAAAGAATTTCCTTCCAGAATTCCAACAGGTCATTACCCATTTTTTTCCTGGTGTTTTTTAGCACTACTGGGGTGAAAGGGTTAATAAACTCAGTTACCTATTGATAAAGAAATATAGCAGCATAGTATTAAATATGTTTACCTGGCACATTAGTTGTTCCTCAGCAGTGGCAGGATTCTTCTCTCCATTCTTTAACCATTAGGGTTCTTAAGTCTGCCCAGCTTCATAAAATGTGTGCCAGCCATACTTGAAGATTTTCTGGGAATTGTTTGGGAAGACAAAGTTGAGAACATGTTATCCTACCTAAATACACTATGGCCTAGAATATATGAGGCTAAACTGTGCACTGTCACTGGACTCAATTTTACGTATTGATATTTGTGCATGTGTGATTTATTCATGACCAGAACATATTATATATAGATTCTAAGTGTGGCTCTTACATCCTTATAACTGTATAATTTTATAAGGCCAACTATGTTGCTGTAATCTTGTAATGTTTTTTTTCCATATAATATCTGCTTCTTCACCTACATTTGTAATTGTTCTCATCTTTAGGTTATATCTGACGACTTCCTTGGCCAACCCTCATTATCTTCCAGACATCTTCCTGCAGGTCAATGTCATTAATTTCATGGTCACATCTGATGGTCTTCAGGAGCAGCTTCTGTCTGCAGTTGTAACACAGGTCAGCATCGGCCACGGCACAGTATATTCATGGAAAACTAAATGTAACACCTGGCTTAGGAACTCAACAACAACAAATAACATTTGAAATCAAATACATCAACTACAGTTTTTTTCACTGTACATTAAACATTTTTAACTTTGTTCAAAAACTTTGCAAGAATGTATATATGTTCAAAGTGCAGTCAGTGAATGAACATCTTTACAATTATTTCTTGTAAGAAATTGACATTTTGTCTGTTAAGTTTGTATGTTTTATTTGGCTGTGAATTCGAGACTATTAGAAAAAAAGAATATGTATATTGTTTTTTGTCAAATTCAAAGCCTCAGATGTGGTTTTTTTTTATGACGAATTATGAAAAAACCAATGCCAGCCAAAATTTGTATTCTAAATTTTCTAAAAGTTGCTAAGCGAAATAGGGTATCGCTCATAAATATCATCAATTTTTTAATACATTATCCCTAGAGGTGTAGTGCCCCTCCTGGCTCTCACCAGCCCGCCCCCAAACGCATGGGTGAAAAGTTTAACGGAACATGAGTAAGGATTGCTTGCTAAATGTACCATCAAATGACAACTCTCGGTTAAAATTCTGGAGCGAATGGAAAACTGTGCTGCTGAGACTCAACCCTGACTGAGAGATTTACCCGCAGCCAAGACGAGTAACATCTCTTGTGGGTGATTTCTCGCAGTAAGATCCTACCTACGTACATCCTTTGTCAATCCTCAGTGTCATCGTCACCGCGCTGAGGTACACACTCTTCATAAGCTGGCTAGGAAATAATGTCCGACAAAGTTATACCCCACGGCACACATGCAAGCTCAAAAGTCCGACGATCATATTTCGTACCGAGTAGGAAAAAGCCAAATGTCCGTATCCACTGGTCCCACTCGCCCGAGTGTTGGGACCAAACAGGTGAAGCCAGGCCCGACGCATTTTGCTCCCCCATTCTGTCGTGCTAAGGGCACAGCTGAAACAACGTTAAGGTGTCTAACGTACGATGAAAAAGAATGTACCTATTTGTGTGGCCACAAAAGTCCTGGACCTGCGGGCTGCTCCCCGCTGATCTCCGGAGAGCGCAGCCTTGTAGCGCGGGAAGCTCAATACACGGTTGTGAGGTTAAGCAGTCATGGGCAGGACGTGACGATTCCTTGGGTGCGCCCAGAACCATCATGTGTCGGCTCTGCATTTATGGAAGCCTCCTTGGATGGCAGGGAATGCCCATGATCTGCCCCTGCCTTCCCTTGAGGGCTGAAAATTCTACCTAGGGCTGCCTTAAGGAGGATATTCCGGGAGCCACACCTGTTAAAGGTCAAAGAGGACACCACACAAATTAGACAACATCTCGACCCACACAAAACAATGGCCACAGTCAACCTAGAAATAGGCTTGACGTCTTCCCTCGAAGTCGGAGTACATCTGCCGGTGAGGCAGGGAACGAGGACTGCAAACAAATAAGACAGTAAAACGGATGTACATGCAAAACTCAGGTCAAGGTAAAAGCCAAAAGTCCATTTGGACGAACAACTGCGACTTACCGCCGGAATTCACAGCCGGTGAACAAGAAGAAGAAGAAGAAGAAGAATACATTATGGGGAAAAAAAAGAAAACCTGGAAAGATTTATGGAAAGAGATATAAAATAAGATAATAAATTTTGACAGCCGATCTTTATGTCACAGAAAAGTGTCAGCACATAAACTGATGCATGTTGTTGGGGATTGCAGTTTGTAGATAAATGTGTTTATCCATGCCAGTTGGCAAGACACTTGATGATAGTTTCTATGGGTTTAAACAGCAAAAGACTGGGTCACTCACTTTCTGACACAGTTGTCTGAACCTTTTATGCCAAGAAAGTTTGATCCTGAGGTTGGTCTGGTCTTATAAAAATGTCATATGAGAAGAAGCAACGGCTGGAGTTTGTCCTTTGATTTTTATTGTTGAAAATGCATGTAATGCCAGAATAAAGGCCTTCACTATAACTGTATGTGCTTTCAGGAAAAACCCATGCTGGAAAAGCTACGCAGCAAACTGTTGGAGAGTATTGCAGCAGACAAGCAGGTGCTACTAGACCTGGAAAACAGAACGTTGTCAATGCTTGCAAGTTCAGAAGGTCAGGACATATATGTCTCTTTGTTTCACAGTTATTTTTAGAAAATAAATTGCATTTAGGAGACAGTATATGAATATCCATTATTCTCCATTTAGATAAACATTCATTCACCTAGATTTATTTTTCGCTGTTTCAGCAGATGTTAACATCCCCAATACTATTTGTATTATTGCTAGCTCATCTGTCATTGCTATTTAGCATTATAATTAACACAACTATTTTTAACATCCATGTTAACAGTGTCTCATGAGAACAGTCAGTACACTAACTTTTAAGTGTGTGCACTCAGAGTTAACAAAAAGTAAGGAAATAATAGTTTTATTTAATTTTATAAAAGTGTAAATCATATTGATGTCCTTATGTACATTATAAGACAAAGGTAATCATATTTAGAGAGACAAATGTAATCATCCCATCCCGTCATTGGACCACAGGTTACTCTGTAACCAAAGGGGTTTCCTTATGTAACCATGCTATATTGCTGTACGGGAGTTTCTGGCGTCTGCTCTAATCCTTAAGGTGTTAACCTTCATCATCATCATCAGATGCCTTGCCGACTGGCGTGGGCGATCATACCTCTCCATAATCCGCGATCTCCTGCAGCATGTATCAGTTCGTGTGCCGACACACCTCCATGACATGCAACAAGACTGTCAAGCATCTTCTCTCGTTGTCTTTCTCTATCCCTCCTTCCACAGATCTTTCCAGTGGTCACAACATGTTCTATTTTCCCTCTTCTCCTAACATGGCCGAAAAATGATGACTGTCTCCTTCTGATGTCAGTGATAAGTTGTCTTCGGGCTCCCGCCTCTTTTAAAACCTCTTGGTTGCTTTTTTTGGCTGTCCAAGGTATTCTAAGCATTCTTCTGTAAAACCACATCTCTGAGGCCTCTAAAAATTGTTTGGCCTGCCTACCGATTGTCCAGGATTCACATCCATATGTTAAAACTGGATGTATGTAGCAAGCAAGAATTCTTTTTCTAACTCTCAATGACAAGGATATATTGCACAAGATGTTTTTCATTTTATAAAATGCAGTTTTTGCCTGTGTTAACCTTACAGGAAGCAATCCTAGAGGGTAGCAGTGACCAGCCAACCAGCCTGTCCAGAGATAAGACAGTGTTGAAAATTATGTCAGATTTTATTGAGACAAAAACAATCAACTACAGAGGTTCCAGAGAGACTGGGGATTAAAATTAAATTACTTAGTAGGTAGGAGTTGAACAAACAACAGTCTGAAAGAGGGTACATAGAGACATAGTATGCTGGAGATCCACTGCAGCCTACCTTTTTTGTGGAGATGGCACCTGATTGATTAACTGAATCTCATGGCAGATATTATCACGGGGTGTGAATTATTAAGCCTCCATAAAAACACAGTCACTGTGTGCATAAATTAAAATAACTAGTCCCTTCTATGTCGCCCTTCCCTTAGACAAAAAATTTGAATTATTACCTATTTGAGAAGACTGGATCATGATTTAATTCAAGAACTGACATTACAGCACTCGGGGCATTCCCTAGAAAAAAAGATTCAAACAGTGTTCTTTACCTTTGACCTCTGAAGCGAAGCATGCAACTCTGCACAAAGTATGCCTGTCGTCACCTTCCATAGCATGCTTTCTGAGTCAGTTACAATCATGCTGTGCATGTGTATCATGTTTTCTAGACAGGAGAGAGTTGCAATGACCCCCTCCACCTCCATTTTTAAGCTGGATGTTGTGGTATCATATGCTAGGCTCTCCTGCACCAAACGTCCACATTTAGCCTTTGCTAAGAATCCCTAGACACTTCTTTTCCCTCTTGACACTGACTGGATCATGCTTATCAGAAACATACAATCCTTTCCTGACTTGAAACAGAAGTGTGGATCACATTGTTGGTAACCCTAGCTCACTGCTATGACCCTCAGGGTTAAGGTACAAATATAACTGATATTTGCAGGTCACCTTCTGGATGACCAGGCTCTCGTAGAGACACTTCAGCAAAGCAAGATCATGTCTCAGGAGATTCACAACAGGGTTGCTGAATCAGAGCAGACTGAACAGAGCATCAGCCTGGCTCGACAGAGATATTTGCCAGTAATTTCTTTTTTTTTTTAATGTCAACTGCTTTCTGTATCATTGTTATTTGTTTGTTGTTGCTTAAAAGACCTTATTGACATCTGTCAGTCCTTTAGTGGGTTCAGAGGTGGCTGGTTAGATCTTTTGTAGATCTGCCCATTTAAAGTCTGTTAGAGTAGGACCAAGAAGTGACAAACATCATTCAGACTCTGGTCAATATGGGCACTAGGCGCTGCCACTGTTTTGAGCCATGGCAAATTTTTTGCTTCTGCCAGAAGGTAGCCGTTGTATTTTTGCTCCATTTATGGACTAAAAGGATATGGTTTTGTCGCCCAGCTTCTGAGTTGAGTGCATGGCGTGACACTGTGAGCTACAGATTTCATTTGGAATATTTTTCGATTGTACCAACATGGTGGTGTGAATTATAGATTCAGAAAATGGCGCGATGCCTGTTGTCGCAATATTGGTGGTGCCATGATGTGATTAAAATTGATCGGGTGTGCAACTGCTGATCTGTTGGTGACTTCCGCTACCATCCATGATGAACTGCATTTCTAATTTCGGACTGTTTGTGTTACCACTTTGGATAGCTACCGTATGCTTTTAGTGTGTGTGTATGCTAGTGCATATGCTGAGACAGCAGTCTGTCAATCTCTCCACAAGGGACTGTGATAAATATTCTGTGTGTTTTTCGTTGGCACAGGAGCGGAGCAACTATGGGGTGACCCGTTGCTGTGAAGCTGAAACTAAGATTACTAGATTACCAAACATCATTCAAGCAGAGATAGTTTGATGTTTTTAAACCATGCCCAAGTATCCTGCAGCAAAGATATGAGTAAAGCAACAATAGTTTTCTCTCATTGTTAGCAAATAACAGATATATTGATAACTTCCCAGTTCTGATATGACATATTATTTTAAAACAGTGCAGTGCAGTATTATTTATTTACAGAACAGTTAAAATACTTGAGTGCTCAGTTTTCTTTGACAGATATCACAGAGGATGCTTTTTGTCCTTATCTTACACTGACTGTGCAAATGCTTTTGATGTTTTATTGTGAGCTATATCTTCCCAGCCCAACTCGAATACCATGTTTAACGCTAATTATTGCTCACATTGAGTGTTTTTAAATAAACAGCAAGTGATTTAGTGTCCATCTTGCATGTTGTTTCATTAATTTTACCTCTTGCATGACCGAGTCAGCATTGGAAACTTCTTATGTATTATAGTAGATCCACTGTTAACTATTGTTAGCCTGCTGACGCATGCTCAGTTGCAAACAATAACTTCTGCTCTAAATTAAACTTCTCTGTGTCCACTAAATATCAGAATAAATAGCTGATTTGAAAGGAGTTTTAAGTGAACAGTTGCAACACCTTGGTGAATTATAATGTATGATGACTACTGTCTGTTCTGACAACTGTGCTCGGGTCTTACTTCTCATTGTCATCTAGAAATGTCAGATCACGTGTCACATTGTATATTTACATTAGCTCACATTATACTAGACTACCCATAATTCCATGCATAGATACACAGAAATTCTGGATCTTAATCCTGTTGTTGACAATCTTTACCAGTTACAAACCTTGGGATGTTATAATTATACTCTACCATTGTTTTAGAGGAGAAGAAATACTGTAAAGTATTTGACTGTATGGAAGCACAGTGGTCAATTGATTCAGGAGATGACCATGAGTTAACAAGATTCAAAGCTCTACATGAACTTCAGGTCAAAAGAGGTATTGTTGGACATGAGCACTATACAGGTAGCCATAAAAGAATAGTCAACCAACACAGAACTGCTGAGGCACTTGTCCTGTGTGCAGTGAGGATAATCTGTCACTTAACTAACTAACAATGGTTAACATGGTAATTGAGCAAGGCATAGGTTCAAATATCCATCAACACACATTTTTTTTAGATCTCAGGCCTCCCAGATCAGCTTTTTTTTAAATGTGTACCAGGAAATTTTCCAGGAAGTAAAGCTGACCAGTGAGATGTTGATCACATCAAACACCACATACCAGTTGACCCATGCAAACTGACACCATAAATCCAATACATGTGAGGATGTGGAAATGAGACATTGACTGATTGACTTATTACTCATCAGGCCCTCATATCTGTAGCTACTTTAATGTCACCAAGTTTTATTTATTTTGTCACTGCATTATCAGTTAATTATACTGATGTGAAGAAAGCAGTAGTTACGTTTTTGATCATCTGAGCGTGTTTGTCTGTAAACTTAGGTTGCCACTCGAGGTTCTGTCATCTATTTTGTGGTGGCTCAGTTGGCAAGTCTGGATGTCATGTACCAGTACTCGCTGGCCTGGTTCCAGTCCATGTTTGTAGCATGCATCAGCAGCAGCAGTACCAGCAGTAATAAATCAGTGGCATCCAGCAAGGATCTGGCTAGTGGTGTCCTCAGACCTGCCAGTGCCAGAAACATCAAGTCCATGCATAATGATGCTGATGAGGAAAGTATGTGGAGAACTGTTATCATGGTTTCCTTGGTTTCAGCATTGCTGTTTCAGTTATGAAAATAAATTGTGTATGTGTGTACATGTTATTCTGTTATTAATGAATATAGATGGAGGTGGAAGTGGCAGTTTTTAGATGGCTGGAGGGTAATACTGTCATGTTGTATTTGTAACAGATGTTTACCTCTGACTCGTGGTCCAAACATTCACCCTCCCATGTTTAGTGATTATCATTGATGCAGACATTTTTCATGTCATCTCGACCAGGCACCATTATGTCCCATCTGACATACCTGGGTCACATTAATGTTTGTCTGTGTAATAGTTTAGATAAAGATTTTCATAAGTGGTGACTGATTTTTACAGGTTTTTTTTACACATGCACACACACAAACACACTCACAAGCACACTGACAAACACACTCTCACAAATACACACACTTGCATGGAAAACACACACACAATACAGTACTGAGGTTCTGGACTGAACAATATTTTATGATAAAGAGTTAAAGTGTTTATTAAATTGTCTATCACAAGGTTCCAAGAACTCTATCAAGTCAGACATGCAAGAGAATGCCGATGATTTGAAGAAACATCTACAAATGATGATTGAGCAGCTAACACACACCATATACAGAACTGTGTCGGTTGGACTTTTCTCTCGCCACAAGTTCATCTTCTCCTTTCTCTTGTGCTCTAATATTATGCGGGTATGTATTTACTGCTTGCAGGTATGACATTTATCATGCATTTTGTGCTTTTAAAAGATATATCATCATCATTTATGCCATGCCATTAAACATGCAGGATCAGGGTTGGCCATTTCACATAATCTTTAAAGACTCGTATTTTTTAATTTTCTGATTATTCAGATTTGGCCACTCTTATCTTTTGCCAGTTTCCCATAAAGTTTGTATTGTTACTTCTTTGTTACGTTTTCTCATAACATGTCTCAAAAGTCTTAATTGTCTACATTTAATTTCTGAAATAAAGTTAAGATTCCTCTGTTTCTTGAAGGCCTTTTGTATTTGTTTTCATCTTAGACAATTGTGTCATTGTATTCTTTAGAATTTCTCTCAGAAACCACATCTATGCTGTCATGTGATGTTTCTCAAGCTACTACAGTTTCTTTTCTTATTAGTTGCTACTTCACTCTGTGAGTCCCTGAATCAGCTGTGGAGAAGGGCCAGTTTCTCTGTAAGGCGTTCGAATTCACACACACACACACACAAAACACACAACTATACACAACCACAACACACAACAACACACACACATCTCTATTTTGTGTTTACAGATATAATTCTAGTTACAGTTTTACCAAAACCTGCACAAGACGATTACCATTTTATGGGCAGACCAGAGCAAGTTATTATTCTATGCCTTAGAACAGGACACAATCGACTTTGCAGCCACTTGTACACAAAATTTTTAATTGGTGAATCAGCCATGTTCACATGTGGACTGGCACCTGAGACAACAGATCATGTTCTCCAAGACTGTCCCAAATACAACATATGAAGGCAAAACTTTTGGCCAAGAGAAACATCGCCAAATTTTCTGGGTCACTGAGTGAATTACAAAAGACAGTGAAGTTCATACTAGAGACAACACTGCAGATGTAGATAATCTATTTCAAGCAAACGAAAGAAGAAGTTACAATTTTGTTTTATAATGTTGCTTTTTTCTTTGAGCTTCTTTGAAACTATAGAAGCTCTCTGTAGTGATGGGATATACTGTCAAGTAAATCAGTTTGTCAGAGAAATTGTCTTCAGTTGGTGTTAGCTTACAGCATGCCCCTTCCATGGGTGGTATTTTGCCTTCTCACCACTGCCAGACAGTTTCTGTTAGACCAGACAGACTGAGTTACTGGCAAGAATCACAACTGTCCCTGATGGTGAGCATCTCAGGTTCAGTTATATGAATGATTATACATGTTAAATTGCGTGTCCATTTGTCAGTATTATCTGAGGTGGAGGGGGAAATAGATTTACTACCCCTCTTAACAAGCATGTTGTAAAATGTGACTAATTAAAGTTGTTACATTCAAAGTCGGAGTGCAGCTGCCTGTGAGGTGAACAACCAACATTCTGCATGCAAATAGGCCAGGTCTGTAAAACAGATGGGCATGCAAAACTCAAGTTCTCAATCAAGACCTAGGTCCTGAAGTTAACTAACAGTCAGAACATCCCGCTGGAGTTTACCGTTGAAGGTGAAGAAGAACAAGATAAGTATAATCTGTGAACTGGAAGAACACAGATTGGCTAAATGATTGATCTGTTTTGTTATTTATCTGAACCTTGTAGCTGTCATTATATAGTCAGAGAATATTTTGATCTTTCTGTGACAGGCAAATAGTAAATATGGCTGTGAGACCAGTGATTTGGGCCTTATAGAAGAACATGAATGGCACATCTTTCTCCATGGAAGTGTAACAACATCACTGGTTATTAACAACATGCGGACAGAAGAAAAGGGTAATTTATCAAGTGAAAAGGAATAAAAATATTTGTTTTTAAAATTCATTTTCACACAGATTCATCATCATCATTCTCCCATAATCAGGCGTGTAATTGGGTCACCAGTTTTTGGTGACTGTCTGATCAATTCTTTCCACCTCTGTTAGTCAGTTGCAGTGGATTTGATGTTTGCATATTTGAGGCCTGTCCAGTCAGCCCAATTTTGTATCCGGTTCCTTCTTGGTGTGCCTCTTCTCCTCTCATCCTCTACTGAGCTCTGCACCGATTAATAAACACTAAAATATCTCTTTTTTTTCTTTTCATTCTCTTGGAATCAGCCTATAGCTGCAGTTTTGTTTCCTGCATGAGCTTCTTTTACTTCTGTAATTCTTGCAGGCTTCTGTAAAGTTTGACTTTGTGGTTTGTCTCACCTGTTCCAGGAAACAGACCATTTTGTGTTAGGGTAGAACCCTTTCACCCAAGAAACCCTTGGAGGAAAAGACCCAGCACTGGGGAATTCCTGAAAAGAAAATCCTTTCAAACAACAACTTTACACGTTTCGCTGGTACATGTTTTTTTTTTTCATTTATTGATATATATTTAAATGGAAGTAATCAATATACAAAAAATCGCCTTACCCTGTCTAGATTTCAGGTTGCTTTGTAACTGTCAGGGGTTCTAATACAACCACCCAGTGCTGAATGGGGTTTCTGGAATTTGAATCTGTAGGGTTCTCATCTGAACAGTGACTGTACTTTGCCTCACCAGGTGTTAATCACTCAGCAAGCCGTCCTAATGGAGTTCAGCTTCACTCATTTTAACAAGAATGGGGTTAAGAATTTATTAGATTAAATTCCCTTGGGCCTATAAGGAAAAAAAATTGTTTCTGTGACTCGTTTCATGACCTCCGTCACCTTGGGACTGCTAAAGTTAAACTATGACAACAAAGTGACTGAACCCCCACACACCCAATGCTATTTTTTAGTATATATATATAAATATATTTAATCATATCTGGCCCTCTTTAGCATTGCTTGATGCAGACAGAACCAGCTTGTCATGGATTGGCCAAGGCAGTCATTAAATCTTTTGTCAAGCTCCTGACTTGTACAGGCATCAGTTGATATTTTTAGTTTGTTGGTTATTGTTTAAGTTGTTCTCAGTCTTTCTATTAGACACAGCAGTACTAAATTTGATATTAGAGTCTAAGTTTGGTCCTAGGTAAACATTTCTTTTGATTTTTCAGATTCTTTATTTACTGTTTGTTGTATAATTATTATTAAGGATGTTTTTATTTGTTCCTTAAACATATATTCCTTTTCTACACTATACAGGTACAGCAATTGAAGGACTACAGCAACAGACCAATTCTATGCTGGAGTCAAGTGTTGATGTGTCGCATGATGTAGACAGTAGCAAACCTGCTTCTGCAGAAGAAAAGGCGTATCCTTCCTGGATATCAGCCTCTGGCTGGCAACAGTGTCAGTGTCTGGAATCAGCAGTCCCAGCCTTTCACCTGCTTTGTCAGTGTCTGTGTGCGAATCACCAGCAGTGGGAAGCTTTTAGAGCAGCAGATGAGCCTTTCAAGCTGATGAGGAAACCTTTCACACCAGGTGAATAAACCCAGTGTGTGTGAGCCACTTGAAGTGTACACATTTGGGACTAAAAGAAACCATCACAGGGGGTTCATTGGCTGTTCCAATCTTTCCGCCCAGTTCTCCTGGTCCTTCCACCTGGTTCCCTGGTTCCCACCTGTTTCCCAGCTGGCCGAGTTCTAGCACAATTTAGTCTCGTGACCGTGATGAACCTCTATTTCTGTTCTTAGAAAAGACTGATCCTCACCCACATGGGAGCTGCAATAATGGAAACAAACACATACGTGTAGTATCTTGACTTATACTAAGAATACATGTGTCAATTAATACACTACATAATAATACATTATATCTCATCACTCCTCCTCATATTCCACATTCTCTCCAGTCTGTTCTGAAGGTCTTTGTGTCTCACCCCGACGTCTCACATATCCTGCCTTCCCTCTAAGGTTCTGTCATGATAGTTGACTTTCTGTTGTCCGTCATCACTCAGACTTCCAACTTGCTGACATTGATTTGACATAAACATGTGGCGCAGGTTATGTGCTGAACACGCCAAACATTTTATACGAGCATGCTGTCCTGAATATTATCTTTCAGTGACAGTGAATAATATACACTCATGATTCTTCCCCTGGGGTTATAAATCCCCTGTTTAGGTGAACACATTAAGTGAGCACATGGTGGGCACACAAAACGTAACAGCATAGCTGCATAGGTGGGCATCATTTCCCACAGTTGATGGTTGAAACATTATAGTTTCATTACATTTCAATATACAAGTCTTATTTTATAAACATGAAAACATACACTGAAACACATGTGCCACAAACATACAAGAAATAGAAATTGTTTAGCAGTTCCCTAACTGAGATACTGAATACTCACAAAGAACTATTTCAAGCAGAATGTGTAGAACAATTTAGGAAAAGGTAGAATAGTCTTTAGCTAACTCCCTAACCTATGTATAAAAGATTAAAAATAATTGTACATGCTTACCTGGAAACTTCCAGCAATCACCAAACTCGAATCAAACAGTAAGAATTACCTCTTCTGTCGTTCTGAGTTTGTTGCCTGTGGCAGCGATTATGACGGGAATTCCAGGGCTAGTCTTATTAATACCTCTATCTGTCTGCAAGGTTAAACTCCACCCTCTACTAGGTTCTACCCAACCCTCCAGGAGATGACCTAAACCCTGCCTCTGAGGTACGTAGCAGATCAACCTAGCTATCAATGGGCCTGTCACTCACAGTGAACGGCCTACAGAACGACCTTGACCAAGATTAAACATTCCTAATTGCCAAACATCTGTTCTCTTGAGAATTTCACTATCATGTGTGAAACTTCAGACGCTGGACGCCATCCTGTCTAGAAATGTCTACCAGACCACTTAATTCCCCTGATCTAGTTTTTCAAAGGAGCCCTCAGTCTGTGTTATGTAACTTTTATGACACTACGGTCGGGTTAATGGGAGCTAATCTCAGGTGTGATACTACGTTATCTCCCCCTTTACTTGCCTCTACAGACTGGGCAGGAGATAATATTCTGACATGGGCAGGTGAAACTCTAGCTACAGTAGTATTCCGTAATATTACATAAAGCAAGGTTGCTTTGTCTGGCGAGGGACTGGAAACAAAGTTTAAACAATTCTCAAATCCCTTGTAGTGGTTTTAGAACTTTTTTGGGCTCAGTGTCTATTGCTTATAATTCTTTGTCCTTCTCTGAACATAAGAAATTATTAAACACAATATAACTTCTGAGACCACTGAGGTCATTTCGTCACACCCCCATTAAGTGTTAGCTGAGTTGTCAGATCTGGGACTGGCACCATATGCTTGATGTGTTTCAAGGCAGGAGAATAGGTCCTTTCATTGTTTACAAATGGTTTCTAGGGGTGGAAATTTGCATATTTAAAACAAATGTAAGACCATCTTCTTTTAACAAATATGTCTCAGTTTTAATCATAGTAACTCTTCTATTTATGTTTCTAGATAAACATATGTTGCTATTTCACGATCATGATGTATATAAATATAGACTGTCTCGTTTTTGAGTATCTATAAACTGTTTACTTTCCACACACAAAAGCAAAGCATAGTTATGTATTTGCTGCATTTCTGCTGCATACATGGACATTTTATATCTAGCAGTTTGTAAAGAAAGCTGTCATTGAATGGGTTTCTAAAAATCACATCTGTGTAAGGACATGCAGTCAGTTTACATGATTTATTTATAATCTCATCATGTTTTTAGAAGCTAGCTGTCAGTTAATTAAATTATGACCGATGGATCTGTTGTGAGATAATTAGATTATGATTGAGGGATCTATTGTCACATAATTACGTTATGATTGAGGGATCTATTGTCAGATAATTAGATTATGATTGAGGGATCTATTGTCACATAATTACGTTATGATTGAGGGATCTGTTGTCAGATAATTAGATTATGATTGAGGGATCTATTGTCAGATATTTACATTATGATTGAGGGATCTATTGTCACATAATTAGGTTATGACTGAGGGATCTATTGTCACATAATTACATTATGATTGAGGGATCTATTGTCACATAATTACGTTATGATTGAGGGATCTATTGTCACATAATTACATTATGATTGATGGATCTATTGTCACATAATTACATTATGATTGAGGGATCTATTGTCACATAATTACGTTATGTGTGAGGGATCTATTGTCACATAATTACATTATGATTGAGGGATCTGTTGTCAGATAATTAGATTATGATTGAGGGATCTATTGTCAGAAAATTACATTATGATTGAGGGATCTATTGTCACATAATTAGGTTATGATTGAGGGATCTATTGTCACATAATTACATTATGATTGAGGGATCTATTGTCACATAATTACATTATGATTGAGGGATCTATTGTCACATAATTACATTATGATTGATGGATCTATTGTCACATAATTACATTATGATTGAGGGATCTATTGTCACATAATTGCGTTATGTTTGAGGGATATATTGTCACATAATTACATTATGATTGAGGGATCTGTTGTCAGATAATTAGATTATGATTGAGGGATCTATTGTCAGAAAATTACATTATGATTGAGGGATCTATTGTCACATAATTAGGTTATGATTGAGGGATCTATTGTCACATAATTACATTATGATTGAGGGATCTATTGTCACATAATTACATTATGATTGAGGGATCTGTTGTCACATAATTACGTTATGATTAAGGGATCTGTTGTCACATAATTAGATTATGATTGAGGGATCTCTTGTCACATAATTACGTTATGATTGAGGGATCTGTTGTCACATAATTACGTTATGATTGAGGGATCTGTTGTCACATAATTACATTATGATTGAGGGATCTATTGTCACATAATTACGTTATGATTGAGGGATCTATTGTCACATAATTACATTATGATTGAGGGATCTGTTGTCACATAATTACATTATGATTGAGGGATCTGTTGTCAGATAATCAGATTATGATTGAGAGATCTATTGTCACATAATAAGATTATGATTGAGGGATCTATTGTCACATAATTACATTATGATTGAGGGATCTATTGTCACATAATTACATTATGATTGAGGGATCTGTTGTCACATAATTACATTATGATTGAGGGATCTGTTGTCACATAGTTACATTATGATTGAGGGATCTGTTGTCACATAGTTACATTAAAATTTATGTGTCTGTGTCATTTCATTACATATTTTGTGTGTCTGTTGTTACATAGTTACATTATGTTTTATCTGTGCGTTTACACTCATTTACAAATGGTTACAATTACACCCAGTTTTCTTGTTAGCAAGCATGGTTTTTCAAATCAGTGATGTATTTTTGTCAGGGTCAGATTTCACCCAACCTGTCCAAATTTTTGAGTGGTTCAGACTTACCAAGTTCCAACAACTTTTGCTTATCAAGGCATTAAGGTTAGATGTGTTGGCAACTTCATTAGCTCAGTTTATCCAAGATCAGCTCGGAGCTAAATACTTGTCAACTGGAACTTTTGACCTTCATGAGATTTATGCTGAATCTGTGGCCAAGTCACCTTTGATCTTTATCCTGTCTCCAGGTATGGTTTTTATTTTTTATTGTATTTTCATTTGAACTTGATAGATCTTTATTCCTATTTTAAAACCAGCCTTAAAGTTTTTACACAGTGGTACAAGAGTCATACCATGGAAGAGATTGAGGCCTCACTACATAATATTCACAAAGATAGATTTGAATACAAAGTAAAAGTAAAATGAGTAGCCAGCCAACAACCGATAGCTAACCCAAGTCAACCCTACCTCCAAATTGTGCACACTGGAGATCTGAGACTATTAGGGCTCAGGCTAATGGGGTTCTTGCTTCGTAGGTGGGATTGGATCCATCTGCTTAAATACTCCCTGAAACTGTCCCACTGGATAAAAGCTTGCTCAGTGAAACATCAAGAAGCGATAAAGAACAGTCAACTACATAAAGAGACACCAAAATAAAATATTTGGACGTAGGTCAAGACTAACGTAAAATAGTGCACCACAAAAAGCCCTTAGACACAGTGGAAGCAGAGCTATGGGTTGACCACACTAGCGGTGAAGAGAGGAAATATCTGAGGCCTTGAATACCAGCAGCTTCCTAGCACACACCAAAGTTTGCACCAGATGGCTCTTCCAAACTTGACAATGAAAGGTAGAACAGTACTAGAGAAAGAAGAAGAAGAGTTGGCCAGTCTCACAGTGACACTTGTTAGTCACAACTTCAGTGTGACTGGTAGGCTGCATTGTTGCTGTAGTGTACCCGTTTTCTCCTAGATAAATTATGTCCCAGACGGATTGACATCAGTTAATAAATGTGAGTGGAATATTTTGGGTGTAACTGGGACAACACGAGAATTGTAGAGAAATGCTGATCAGACGAACTTCATGTGAATTACAAAGAATTGCTGACCAAATGAAATTCACGAGTTTCACATAGAAACTGCTGGCCAAATGGAATTCGTGTAAATCAGAGAACACGGAGAATTCGGAATCATGAGGAGGGCATTAGAAGGTTATATAATGCCTTAGAAAGGGCTGGTGGGCAGTCTAGTTTCGGCCTAGAAAATGAATACATGAAGTATGAAGGAGTGTCTGCGGGATCCAGAAAAATTGTTCAAGTTCAAGATGTCTGCAGAGTGGTTTCCAATGCTTACCTGGCCATCAGTAACGGCTGACGGAAGTGCCGTAGCCAGCTGAGTATGTGTGTGTTTTGATCGGATGGACTCGTCGTTATCTTTCTATTGCTGTGGCGATGTAATGTTTATTGTAAGGTATAGTTGATAATTTCGGTGAAGAGGATAGATATGAGTGACTGTGTTGTACCATAACATTTACTGGCTGCAGTACCAGCGAGTGAACAAATAAACAGCGGTATAATTTGTGTTGTTGGCCAGCATCCATGTTTTCTCGTGTGTTGTCGGTCAGTGAAGGGAAGTGTGCAGTGACTAGAGCCAGATAGAAGAGTTTAGAGAGTGTAGAGACATTAGAGAGTCATTGCAGTTGCTATTCTTTGTTTCCTTAACGAACCCAGTAAGACACTGATCTGGTATTTTAAAGTACAGTATGGATGATTTTTGTTATTTGCTCTGAGAATTTGTAGTGGAGCAAGTGAGACTGATGTTAGGTCAACATGGTCAGAATGCAGAAGTTAAAGATAGTGAAGAAGAAGTGTATCTTAATCACACAAATAAAAGGTCACTAAAGGAGAAAAAAATTGAATGGTAATGCACACAAACAAATATAACTAAAGGGCAGTTATGGTAGTTGAAATAAAATTAAGAATTTTGTATGAGAAAATGATGGAGGAAAAACATAAATCAAGACTACAAGTTACAATGCTGCTGTGTGTGTGTGCGTGTGTGTGTGGGGAAGAGGGGGGCGGGGGGGTCTTGTTAACTTAAAAAAATGCTCTTCTGTAACATTATTAACAGCAGCTCTCTCTACAACACTTTGTACTTCATCACTATTGTTCGCTATTTTTAAATACATAAAAAATATATATACGTATATATATATATATATATATATATATATATATATATATATATATATATATATATATATATATATATATATATATATATATATATATATATATATATATATATATATACATATATTTACATATATATTCATATATATATATACACACCTAAAATGTATTTAATTCTCTTCAAATGCTCAAGGTGAAGGTAAGAGAAATGGCTTCTTTTTTTTTTCATTATTACTTGTCAAAACTTATCTTTTTTTTTTTTCATTTTGTAAAAAAATATTTAGATACAGAATGTTATGAACTATACTTATATTTTACTATGTATAATGTCTGTGTAATCAAAATATTTCTGTATTTCATTAGAAAATTGTCTTTTTCTGTTTTACTTTATTCCATATATGACTGACACTGTAGTGGTGCAGTGATTTCAATTACAGTTTTAAGAAAAAGATAAGATAAGGAGATACTCCGAACCTCACCTTGGATGTCAGCAAGCTCTAGCTATACGATTCCTGCCATATATCTCCATCATGTGCCAGACAATAGCCTATATCAGCCTAAACCATGCTGGCAGGGAATCTCTGTGAACCCAGAGATGTAGTGTCCAGAGATCCACTGACACTCATAGGTCCACCATCAATGCATGTGTTGTAACGTCAATGGAAAACTCATTTGGAACATGAATGAAGTCTGCTGGCTGAGTTTCCTACTAAATTAAAAATTGTGGGTCAGACTTTTTCTATACACTTTCAGTGAAACATTGACAGAGAGTGGTCATAATCACAGAAATGTTTAGAAACCTTAAGAAAAGGAAGACTCCTAGACCGTATGAATTAATCCTGGACCCAGGGACTACTTCAAAAGAAATGGAAGGAGGCAGAAATAATCCCCATAGCCAAGAAAGGGAAAGCCCAAGGAAAACAAAATCAGTTACCACCCCATAAGCCTCCTAAGCTGCCTTGGAAAGACCTTGAAAAACAGATTACTTAATTTACTGGAAGAAAACAAGATATTGGATGACAGCCATTCAGACTTCAGGATATACAGAAGCACTGAAGACCAAACCTCTTATCTCACACAGGAAATAGAAGGAGCTTTCCAGAAAAAATACAAACTGCTGGCTACTTTCTTTGACCTGACCAAAGCCTTTGATAAGGTCTGGAAGAAAGGACTCTTGCTAAAACTAGCACACAGTGGGATAAAAGGGCATATGTTTGCCTGGATCAGAGATTTTCTTTACAGACGCTGTGTGAGAAGGAGACTGGAAGAACACAAGAGCAAGCTGGTCAGGTTACAAGAAGGTGTTCCCTAGGAAGATGTTATATCTCCTACCCTGTTTATTGTTTTCATCTGTGACCTTTCAAAACAGTTCACGACTCACATTCACAAGGCGCTACACGCAGATGACCTGGCCATATGGATCCAAGCTGAACACATAGGAACAACGAAAACAAGAATTCAGGAAGCTATAAGTACAGTTAAGAAATGGACAGACTCTTGGGGAGACACAATAAACCAGACCAAAATCATCTCGACTCTCTTCTCTCTTTCTCTCTTCTCTCTTTCCACAAAGCTAACAAGTTGACCTATATCTAGAAGGCAACATCCTTCTAAAAGAGGAAAACCCCATATATTTGGGAGTAAAATTCAACAAAAGATATTAAAGACACCCAAAGGAAAGCTACCTTGCAGCTCAAACTTATGAAGAAATTTACTGGAACAAGCTGGGGTGCAGATGCCAACACTGTATGACAAGTATACACTGTATACGTATGACCAAATCTGGAGCATACTCCATTGCAGCCAAATCAAACCTATACAAACTAGACGAAATACAGAACACTGGTCTCGAATCATCACTGGAGGTATGAGAAGCACACCAATCCATGAGCTGGAGGCAACCTGTGGCCTCGAGAGCTTGAGCCATCGAAGGGAAGAAAAGGTGCTTACCCTAACAGTAAAATGTAAACGCATGAACAACAACCCCATGCACAGAATAGCAAACAACTGAACTAAAAACTGACTGAAAAGTCAAAGCTTTCACCATCTGTCAAAATTGTACTACGCAAAAAACAATGACATTCTTTCTAAAGATCCTTCAATGTGGGAAATGATCCAGGCATACAGCATAGACCTACAGCCTAACTATGCAGTCACAACAACAATTCCAGGCATAGACAGAAAGGCTAAAGAATGTGCATGTAAAGACCCTTGAATATGTCTACAACTCTTACCCAAAACTCGAATAGACACATGTATACACCGATGGATCATTGGAGGGAGCAGGAAAAAAAACCGGAGGAGCTGGATCGGTCATTATGCTGCAAGATGGGACCACAGTAGAAACATCATACCCCTCTGGAAGACCCTCAACAAACTTCAAAAAAGAGCGGCAAGCAATTATTGATGCAACCAAAGTGCTTGAGGGAAGAAAATTTAAACACAGCAAAATTATTTTCAGTCCTCCAGGTGACTCAGAGGGATCCACTAGACATCCTGGAGAGAGAACTGACCCGCCAGCTAAACAGACTCTCAGAAAACAATCAAACTGTTCTCCAGTGGATCCTGGCTCACTGCGGCATACCAGGAAATGAGTTAGCAGACAGACTTACAAATAATGGAACAAAGGAAAAACAACGCACCCATTCATTGTCATTACCACTGAGATTAGGAGTGGATGGAAATAAATGCCTGGATCACATTGTCTCAGGGCAACGGGGTTAAAAGGCCCTTACAAGAAAGTAAATGTTGCAAACATTTCTACTTTTCTATGTAAGTTATAGTTTTTGGTTTCATTTAGATTGCCATATCGTATACTTCATATTGTAACTTTTTTTTTATTAGCTTGTTTTCTCACTTATTTGTTTCATGTCCCAGCCTGTAACATTGCTATCTAGATTTTCATATCACACTATTTAGTTTAATTTTAGAGCACATATTTATTTGCTTTTCCATCTCACTTTTTTGGGTACCTTTCTTTTAAATGTTTTTGTAAAAAAGAATAATTTATCTTATAAAGGTATAGATTAGTTTGAACCGTAATTTATCCATCTTCATTTTATTCCAATTTTTTTTCTTAAAAATGTTGCTAGAATAATTTGTTATCATGCCACGTATACTAAGTATTATTATATTTCTTATTCAAAGAAGATGCTTTTTGTTTTTACTTGAGTTTGCTTCTATTTTGACTGTATACTTGATGCTTGTTGTTTTTACTTTAGTTTGCTTCTATTTTGACTGTATACTTGATGCTACTTGAAAATTTTACTCCTGTGAGAAAGCCATTGTTTTCTTGTAAACCATGGCTAACAATAGTATGTGTATGTTTCACTTTTAAGTATGGAGATAATTAAACTAATTCCATATTAATCGGAGATTGAATAACCAGTCAGATAGATTGGATCCAAACAATGACTACCAAGGAAAGGATGGGATTGATAAATAAATTCAAGCTGATGAATTGTGGGACATTGTATGTGTTCCCAATAGCTGAACCAAGAAATCAACATCAGGATTGGCAGGGCAGCAACAACAGTGAGCAGCTTAACAAAAAGAGTTTGGGAGAACAGAAAGCTCATGATTAAAACAAAAACTCTTTGTCTATCAGGTTTGTGTTCTCAGCACTCTGCTTTGTGCCAGTGAAACTTGATTAACTTATTCGCAAGAGGAGAAACAGCTAAACAGCTTTCACATGTGATACCTAAGAAGAATAAACATTAAATGGCAAGACAAGATCACAAACACTGAGGTATTGAAAAGAGCATGTATTTCAACAGTTGTCTCAATGCTCAGTCTACGGAGGCTCAGGTAGATGGGTCACACCTGCAGAATGGAGATGGCAGAGTCTCTAACGACATTCTCTGTGGTGAAAAAAGATGGATAGATTATGTTGAGGCCGACCTCTACTATTATATAAAGATGTGTGCAAGAGGGACATGAATGATACAGGTGTTGAGGTGGACTTGTGGGGAAAAAAATGTCATGAACCGTGTTGTGTGGAGGAGACACATCAGGAAGGGAATGAGAATGAAGGAAGAAATGATTGCAGAAAGGATGAGAGCTGAGTGTCTGAGAAGAAACACACTAAACACAAATGTTGATGTTTTTCCAAAAACATTTGTAGTTTACCAGCAATAATCTTCTCAAGCACCTTGCCAAAGGTATTTTATAAGGTGATAATCCTGAAACTGCTGAGTCTGGAATTATCTTTGCCTGGTTTTGGAAGATGGATTAGGTAGCTGTGTACCCAGTCCTGGGGTACTGAAGCTGTTCTAATGCTCTGGTTGAAATGAAAAGCCATCTCCCTCAAGTCTTCATCACTCATGCTCTTCAAATGGGCATACCTGACTCCGTCTGGCCCAGGCGCAGTGTCTTTTGTTTTTTGCAAAATATATTTTATTTCCTCCACCCTAATGATATCCTGAAAATGATTATTATTTATAGTATTGGACAGATTAACGTAATTTCTAAGCTCTCTATCATTATGATCAGTTTGGAATACAAATCTCTCCAGAAAAACTTTCCCCTTTCTTTGTCTGTTGTCATTGGCTTATCATTTTCAGTGTATATAATGCCTGTTGTGACTGGCCAATCTTTCCTTTGCATCTGTCTGTGAAGTTTCCAGAACCTACCCAGTGATTTATCCCCTCCAATTTCACTCATAAAATGTTCCCATTTAGCCTTTTTTTTTTCTTCGCATCTGCTGCACACCGCATAAACTCTTCTACTTTTTCTTTTCTCTCTTTCTAACTTCTCTACATCCTCGTGTAACCTGTGAGATGCCTTTCGCACTTTCTGTAAGCGCTTTGCTCTCCGTGCCTGTTCTACTTCTTGGGTCCACCATGGAGGCTGCACAAAAGCAGAGGAGGTGGTTTTGCTGCATACCTTCTGTCAAAGGTTGAGTTAAACTTCTAAGCCATTCCTATGTGAGTATAAACTGCTTTTAATTTAGCTGCACTTAATTTTGGTGCAGCATTTGTTTGTTGTTGAATTTCTACTTGTAAATACTCTAATAAACTTTGTTACATGATCTTCAAGGTTGTGATCCCTCCACCCAACTGCTCACATTTGCCAAAGATCTCCGAGGTAGCACATCACATCTGGATATGATATCATTAGGAAGAGGTCAAGGTCCTAAAGCAGAAGAACTCATCTCAAAGGCCCAGATTTTGAAAGGCAGATGGGTGGTGTTGCAGAACTGTCATCTGGCTGCATCATGGATGCCAAGATTGCAGAATATAGTGGAAAAGTATTTTTGTTTTGTTGACACTCATTAGACTATAAATTATTAACATTTTGTTTTTGTTTTTCCCAACATTGAAATCAGTAGACAAATTAATTAAAAGGTGTATACATCTGTTTATGTGTCAATCATGGATCCTAAATACAGTGGTACCTGGGGTCACAAAATTCATGTGTTCTTTTGACTTCATTCGCCAGCCGAAATGTTTGCCAGCTAAAACAATTTTTTCTATTGAAATTAATGCAAATCCAATTAATACATTCAGCAGCTCAGAAACATTTTTTTCGTTTTTTTGTTTTTGTTTTAACTTTCTTTATGGATTTTTTTGTAGCAGAAATATAGTATGAAATATACAGCATAACTTTACCTTTGTGTTGATAGTTGCTGACATGTGGATAGCAGATGAGGAGGAAGACTAGTCCTTAGAAGCAGAGTCCCATTCCATATACTGAACAACTGTGTTAGTGAGTCTAGTGTTTTTTTCTCTTGTTTTTTTCCTGGGAAGTGGTTCGAATGCTGGCTTATTGGCTGAAGTTTTCACAAGATAGCAATCTAGAGACATTTGTCTTTGTATTTTTTGGATAATGTGAATTCCAGTTTGTCGACGAAATTTCTCAAACCAGCCTCAACTTGCTTTAAATGAATGAATTCTAGCACCTCTAGTATTCAGCATTTTTGCCACTAAATCACAGTGCAGAAGTAAAGCTTTCTGGTATATTAAAGCCTGGCTAACACAAACAGATAGATTGCAGATAGACTAAGAGCTGAGCATTTGTGAAGAAACACAACACACAATGACAAAAATGGTCCTGAATTCCCATGTAGCCATTGTGGAAAAACTGTTCTTGTCACGTGCTGGCCTTGCAAGCCACATTCGCCACTGCCATAGGTTGTAGTTTCTACTTGTCCTATAGCACAATACTATACCATAGGTTGTAGTTTCTACTTGTCCTATAGCACAATACTATACCATAGGTTGTAGTTTCTACTTGTCCTATAGCACAATACTATACCATAGGTTGTAGTTTCTACTTGTCCTATAGCACAATACTATACCATAGGTTGTAGTTTCTACTTGTCCTTATAGCACAATACTATGCCATAGGTTGTAGTTTCTACTTGTCCTTATAGCACAATACTATGCCATAGGTTGTAGTTTCTACTTGTCCTTATAGCACAATACTATCGCCTTGAAAGACAGAAAGGTGATGTGTGGATATTATTTCTTCTTCATTTCTACTGTAATGCACTTAGGCTTCTATACACCCATGTCATTATCGCTTTCCACTTTCTTGGGAGCCATAATTAGGGATAATTTAACAAAAAAGCAACAACAGTTATTTTAAAAAGTGTATTAATAACAACTCAGTGACAAACAATGTTCACAGCGCGCAAACTTCAGTACAAATGATGCTGTTTATGAGCCAAAAACGTGGCGCGAAAGCAAAATCTGCATTAGTATGCCGAGGTATTGTTGGCAAGTTGAGTCAAAATGTGTTCACAAATTGTGTTCATGTGTTCATGATAAGTGGGGTTCGTGACCCAAGGTACCACTGTTCCAAGATTAGAAATACACTGTTAAAAGATGTGGTGTTTGTTGTTGTTGACTGAGTACTAAGAATCTTTCTTACTGATGACTGCTGCTTCTTCAAACAGTCCACTTGATGTGATGTTTATTATCGTGTTTGCCCACACCTTATGGCGTGTGTACGACCCCTCATTTCTGCACAGATGCCCTTCCATGCCATGAAGCCAGACTGTCCAGCACTTTCTTTCTTAGTCTCCTTTCCCCCCAGCTTTGATATTGTTACAACTTACAGCTCTTTCCTTTTCTCATGGCATGCCCAAGGTATGTGGATTGACCTCTTCCGACAGGGTAGTCAGCTCTTTCTAGAAGTTAATTTTGTTCTTGACATGAATGATTAAGAAGACTCATTATCCAGGTACTGCAGGAATCAATTACGTCATGATATGCCATTACAAACACCAGGACAATATTATTATAATTCTATTTAGGAGAAGGCAGGATCTAGATAATGACACAATACATTCAGGTCTTTGGAGACAAAGGCTGTAAGAAGAAGAAGATACTAGCTGAACTGTCATTGACTAACAAACTGCAGCCTAGGATTACATAAGCACACAGAGCCAGCTGACACACAACCAGTATGTTACCATAACAACCAGCAGATATACTATGTGATGTCTGCTGACAGACAAGACAAATTGTGTGTCATTTATACATTGTACCAAAACCATTTTTTTGTCCATGACTTAACCTACTGAGGTTTTATCATTGAAAGTATGCAACTTGGCTTTCAGGTATAACAACCCACATGAAGACAGTCTTGACCCACAGTTTAGACTGTGGTTGAGTTCAATGCCTGACCCAGCGTTTCCTGTTTCTATCCTCCAGGCAGGTATCAAGGTAAACCCATTCAGACATATTTCATGTATTAACACAGATATTTTATTTCTCAGTGTAAAATTGCCACTTGTATGAAATATGCAGCATTTGCTCTTATCCATCATATTATCTGATTTTTTTTTAATGAGGCAAGTTTAATTTAAATGTGTTTTAGAAAAGAATGTTTTATTTAAAATAATGCTCCCAAAGGACCTTAACTACATCTCACTGGCATAAATTAACCACCGATTGGTGCAGAACCAGTCAGTCTGTCTGCTTGTTTATTTCCTAACACTCCTGCATTACCTGGAGAAAATATCAAAATAACGTTACTATCTAAGACCTCTGAGGTGATGCTTGCCACTCTGCATGGAGCATGAATGTCTCCACCTTTCTCCACATGCTTTGTGAGTTAGTTATGTTCACTCCAGGTGTGTGCAGCTGGTTCCCAAGCCAGCAGAAAGTTGCTATGACTGTCTCCACCTCCATTCTCATACTGCTGTCTCAATCTCCATTCTCATACTACAGTCTCCACCTCCTTTCTCAAACTAGATGTAGTATATTATGCTAGACTATGTTGCACAAAGTGTCATCAACTTGCTTTCATAATGAACGCCCATTCACTTCTGCCTCTTAACACAGAGCCATCTGCATCACCTGGGCAGGGAAATATCATGAATCAATTGTTGCCATTCTAGTTCGCCTCCTATCATTTTTACACGTCACTGCTCTATCCAACATAGCTTTTGCAAGGGCATTGTTTTGTCGATTTTCCCCAGTACTGTCCCATGCTCTATTCCTAATATTAAAATATATTAAGGTATTTCTTCCAAATCCTGGAGCCAGTCCCAGAGTTCTTTTGTGACAATAGAGTCCACAGCAACATATACATTTACTATATTCCAGGTTGTGCCACCAATATCTATCTGTATACCCTGAACCTGTCTTGCGCTGCGATTCCACTCGGCCAGATCAGGTAATTCATTCTTCACACCCTTCTTCACTAGCAGACCTTGCTGTTGTGTTCCCTGGCTGTGGCTGCTAATGTTGGCTAAATATTATCAGGCCAGGGCTAGTTGCTTTGTCGTGTCGGGGACTAGCATAGTCAACTTTATTATTCTTTTGTTGTATTTTAAATACATTATGAAATCACTGAGTTGATTTCATCCCACAGTGTTATTTCAGTAAGTGAACTGTTTTATTCCTCATACTGGCTTAGATCTTGCCAGGAGACCTTGTGGTGATGCTTCACTAAGGTTATCAAATATTGCCTATCAAGAAATATATGGCGATTGGCTTGGTACATAATAAATTCACTCATAACTGGGCAGATACTGCAATATTTATGTTTAAGGCCACATATAAATGACATTATTGTTCAAATGTATATATCAACATTCATCAAGATGACTATTGAGGCACCTCGAGGACTCAAGGCAAATCTGCTGAGAACTTTTGGAAGCTCTGGTACCGGGATTGTATCAAGACAACTGTATGATGAGGGATCTGTAAAATCAGAGTGGCACCCCCTGCTGTATGCACTGTGTCTGTTCAACAGCATTATTCATGAGAGAAGGAAGTATGGAAGCCTGGGATGGAACATTTGTTATGAATTCAATGACTCAGATCTTGAGGTAAGTGCACATGTAGTAAAGTAAAATAACTGTCATTTACATTTCATCACAGTTAGCAGCGGTACCTTAGTGGCTAGATCACGGGTAGACCTGAATTCAAATACCTTTTCATATTGAGATCTTCTTTTACTTGACAGAGCTTTGGGAGAGAGTTAAATAAACTGCGGTGAATCAAGAAGTGAGAAAAAGATGCCAGTGCTTGATAGGACATACACTGAGAAAACCTTATAATAAATAACAGGAATGTTCTTGCTCTGGAACCCACAGAACACAGGAAAAGAGGGGTAAAAGTAAAAAAAAACTAGACTGCTTGGAGAAGACAATTAGACAAAGAGGTGAGTGAGATGGGCCGGGAGGCTATACTAGATAGTAAAGCATAGGAGTCACTTGGCAGATTTGGTTGAGGGCCTAGGCTCCTTATGGGAATCAAAACAAATCTGCCTGTGAATACAGAAAAATACCTTTCAGGTAGGGTTGAATCTATAGAAAGTATTTAGTTACCTATTTTACTGAACTACAAATCAGAATGATCTCAAATGATACAAGTATCTAACTGTCAACTTAACTTTCATAATGTCTCACAAATTTCAGATAAAAGTAAGTAAAGGTAAAGGATCCTTTTCCACACCTTTAGGCGTATAGGGCTAAACCTATATTTCTATAGACCAATTAGCACAAGATAGGTGATGTGTTCAGCATAATGCAGGCCGCATTTACTTCCCAGGACTGCACGTGGTACCCACTCAAGGCTGGATCTACCTGGAAGCCAAGATAATTTTTGAAACAAAATCCATCTCCGCCAGGGAGCGAACCCACAACCTTCCTATCCGAAGGCGAGTGTCTAGCCACTACACCACGGTGACTCCCTATATTCTAGATATTTATAATTACAAATATTGATAATTCGCTCTCACAGGTGTCTGTCCTCAAGTTACAAATGCTGCTCGAAGAATACGAGGAAGTTCCATGGGCAGCTCTGATTTATCTGACAAGTGAAGTGATTTACGGTGGACGAGTGACTGATGACTGGGATCGTCGATGTCTGAAATCTCTGCTTGTCAAGTTTTACAACCCTGCTGTCTGTCAGCCTGGATTCTGTTATGATTCCAGCCATGTAAGTGTGTTTTTTTTCTTACAATGTTCTTTAAGTTGTTGTATAACATAATGTCATATCAGGGTGCTGAATAATATAAATCCACATCAGTTTACTATAAATATAAAACACTGTAAGCTATAATTTGTTGTATAACAAAATGTTGCATATGGTTGTTGTATAATATAATGTTACAACGGGTTGCTGAGTAACCTAATGACATATCAAATTTACAGGACATCAGGAGTCTCTCTCGGCAATTTTGAAACTGTGCAAGCTAGCTTGGTTTGGGCACGTGGTGAGACATCATTCGATTTCAAAGACTGTACTTCAAGGAACATTAGGAGGTAGTCGAAGAAGAGAAGGGCAAAGAAGAGCCTGAAACGACATCATCAAGAAATGGACAGGACTAAATTATACATTTATTCATCAAGCAGAAGACAGAGAAAGTTGGCGGGTTTTTTGTTCTAGTGTTTCCATCAGAACACCTCCATGACCCTAATGGGTCAAGGGTTATGTTATGTTATGTTATAATGACACATCAATTTTATATATATATATATTTATATATATGGGTCAACGGTTATGTTATATTTTGTTATAAGACACATCAATTTACTATATATATATATATATATATATATATATATATATATAATATATATATATATATATTATATATATATATATTATATATATAAAAAAATACAATGTCCTTTAAGTTGTTGAATAACATAATGTCACATATGGTTGTTGCGAAATATCACATAGGGTTGTGTAATATAAGATACATTTGTTGTATAACATAATATCACATTAGATTGTTGTATAATAAATAGAAAGCCACATAAGGTCGCTGTTTGAGACAATGATTGCAGATAGATCCAGAGCTGAGCATTTGAGAAGAAACATGTCAACATGCCGCGGCAACAGTGGTCTTGACATCCTATGTACTTTGTGGAAGACTTCTCTTAGTGTAGGCATGTTTTTTTAGTCACCCTGGCCATCACCAGCTGAAAGGATTTAACAAAAATATGAGTTCATAATAAACTATCTAAAGTAGTTTAATGTATTTATGAATGAAGCTGGATGTCACCTCAGCTAGTTTGAAGCTTTCCTAAAGTTATTGGCATCATCTACTTTTTTTTTCTGATGACCTATTTGTTTACAACTTGTTCACAGATATACACAACAGTCCCAGAGAACATGAACTTCAGTAATTTAGTTTCATTTGTGAAAGAGCTGCCAGAAGTTGACTCACCAGAAATCTTTGGCATGACACAGAGTGCAGAGAAAGCCTGTACAGAGTTTCAAGCTACAGACATCATCAATACAGTGCTGAGTGTACATCCTAGAAGATCCATAAACTTGCCAGGGTAGAAGTATTTATTACAACATAACATAGACAGTATATATGCATGTATGTATCTGAGATAACTAGATGCATTATATCATAATAGATACCACTTCATTTGTTTGAAATGCTGATAATTTCACAAATAATAAATCACCGCATTAAAAATATCAGCAGTGAAGAGAACACTCATGTAGTGACTAGGATAGCTGCTTCAAAGTCAGAGTGCATGTAATGAAACCATAGACTGTGCACAGATAAGACAGATCTGTAAAATAGATGCACAGGTCATGGAAAAAAAAAAGGTCTAGAAATGGATCAATAACAGGATTTCTCCACCAGAGTTTAAATCCGGTGAATGTACACTGTCAAACTAAGATAGAGCATAATAATGATCCGACTGATGCTTAACATTCAGGGAAAAGGCATCACAGAAATACAATCAGATTGCTACAGATACCATCTGGATTGGAACTATATGCTGGCTGCTGAAGCTGAGGACAGAGTGCAAATGAGAATGTCCCAAGTGCTATAATGTTGGTTCTTAACTCAGCTCAACACAGAAACAAGATGAACAGATGCTAGCTACATAAAGAGAAGACTACATATTTGTTTATGCTGATAGAGAATAATTTAGAGAAAGGCAATCCCGGCTCGCTAGCATAGTCGGCTAAACCTGACTTCGTATGCAGAAAAGCCACATTTCTCCCAGATTTACGGTATTTATCATGAAATCAAGGCCAAAGGGTTGCAATATCCATAGTACCAAGCCAAAGGGTTTTAAGAACTCATGGTTTCTGGATATTTAAAAAAAAAGAGAAAGGCATTAGTAGATTCTAGGCTCCTAAAAGTAGAATTATATTAATAAAAATCAAGGCAAGACCTGTTGACATAGCAATAATTCAGACATTTGCAGATTACAGTCATTAACAGACACAGA